GAAGCCCTTATGAAATGGGTAGAGATTTTAAAACTTTGAGACTCCAAATGTGAAGCAAAAATGAACATAGCACTTGTTCTTAAACTTTTTTCCTCAGCATCTCATTACGTTCTTAAACATTATGGAGATCTCCAAGGCTGATGTTTGTTTAGGTTTTTTTTTAAAGATTTATTTTTATTTATTTATCCATACAAGAACTGGGGTGTAGGCCAGAAGTGCAGTGGGGTGGGGGTGGGGGAGTGAGAGGATTCATCAGAGATCACCACCAGAGACAGAGTGGGGAGCAGAACAGGCAGATCTACTGAAACAAACTGCTGAGGGGGGCAGTGGGCGAGACAGGAGAGGTCTGCTGCACCATGTGGGTCAGCTCCCTGGCTGGGGATTGAGCTCCTGCCACAGTGGCTGGTGATAGCTTCATAGTGCTAAGACATTAACTCCTGCGCCACCAGGGAGGTCCTGTTTAGGTTTTTTTCTATTGCTGTTCACCATATTAAAAATTAGAACTACACATACTTATTCATTAGAAATAATAACACACTATTACATGTTACATAAAATTTTAACTATTTTCTAAAATAAAATATTTAATGAGAAGGTGGCATTGTTTTTTTTTTTTTGCACATCTTACTGATGTCTGGTATTAACGGAAGACTAGGTTACTAGACTGCAACTATTGCATCTAATCTGTAGTTACATAAAAATTCATTAGTCTGACTTGTTCCCTTATCCTTGAGTGATTTTGTAACATGCATTGTTGGTTGGAAAGTATTGATGTAGCCAATGACGAAAGCTTTTAAATATTGGCACATTTCATTGTACGGTATATTAAAAAAAAAACAAACCCTTTCTTAACACCACCCATCACAACAGAAAGGTTCTAGGATCGGGAAGCCACCAGATTCCTGTGGAGGGTGTTTTCCAAAATCCTTTCTCCTGAGAGCTTAAATTTTATCATTGTCAACAAATAGTAAATTTCGTTGAAGCACCCGGCTCCTGGGCCGGTTTTCAAGAAGATGCCTGCCCATTACCTGTGTCTGCACAGCCGGGGACGGTCATTGATGCAGGTGTGCAGACGGCAGGGGCTCCCTGTGGGGTTACAAGAGTATTAAGAGGCGTGGATTCCGGGGTTAAAGTTTAACAAAATCAGGGTTTTACCTCATCGCGTTCTTGTCTGAAAGGGGCTTGCGCCCCCAGCTACCAGGAACACGGAGGAGGAGGGGCGGGATGGCTCCACTGCTTTCCGAGGGCACCTGCCGTTGGTGGCTTTTGCACCGCCAGTGCCAGTGCCAGCTCCAGCAGAGCGGAGCAAGGCAGAGACTGTCTTGATATCACTTCAGAGAGCTTTTGGACGTCCTGCAACGGTGTCTGGGGCGCCCTTAGTGTGTGGAGGGTGAGGGCGCGTGTGCATCCCTCTGCCTCCGAGGGCAGACCCTCTGCTCTGGGAGCTCAGCAACTCAGAGGTCAGCCTGAGCTTACATACTGCAACTTTGTGTGCTTACAGTGAGAGAAACGTCAGGAGACCATGCCCTTGGGTGGTGGTTGGGAACCCGCGGTGGCGGGCAGCAGCAGCTCCCGCATCCTGATGCCAGTGCCCTGCAGACTCAGTGCCCTGCAGGCCCCGCGCCCCGGCCGGGGAGCAGCTGCCCGCTCATCACTGACACCAACACTTCCTTGCCAACTCCATTTTTCTGGAACCCCCAGGCTATACTTCTTAGTTTGGCAAGATTTGGTGACCTTTTTTCATTTTGGTGTGTTTTCGTGTTTAAAAAACTTAAATTATACACAGGAAGTACGTGTGCGTATGAGTCTGCAGTTTCACAAGATGCCGCGGGAGGGCGCCCGTGCACACCCCAGCCTAAGAAATCCAACATTGCGTTTTTGGGTTTCAGTGTTTTTATAACTGATGACAAAATAGGCGTTTTCCAGTTGTTAGATGTTAGGTCACTGTGTCTAGGTTGTCTTTATTTTAAAATATCCCTCTTAATTATTACATAGGACAGGTAATTTTGAACTTGACTGTTTGCCCTGTACTGCCAGGTTCCCCTGCGTGGCACAGGGTGAGAAAGCTTACTCAGAGCCCCAGTGCGTTGGAGCAGTGAGAGGCCTAGAGGGGCTACACCAAGAAACTCCCCAAGGAGGGTGAATCTAGATGTAGCCCCATTACTAGGGCAGCTTGTGTTTAGAGTCAAGCGAGCGAAGATAAGAAGGCAACGAGCAAGAAGCAGCTGTCCCTGGGACATCTGGGAGGTAGGGGAGGCCTCGGGGTTTTGCTCATCTAAGTCTAGTATCTATTGCTGTTTTCAGCACATGCTGCTTCAGCATGGGTAGATCCTCACACCAGGACTTTTGCCCTGCGAGCTGCTTATCTTAAACTGTCCTGTTCCTACCCTGGGTGAAGGGCACAGAAAAGTCAAAGCTCGGACACAGAAAAATCCACGCTCCCGTAATCTGCTACGTGTCGAGCCCAGTTCTTTACTCCTTTACTCCCCGGACTCTCACTCTGCTTCCTAGTCCAAGTGTGTGGTGGCCACGCCTCTGTCTGTCCCCAGTCCCCGCTCTGAACACTCTCTTCCCCTCCTTGGCTTGTCTGGCACTTGGCTGCCCTGGGCCCTCCCCCGGGCCAGGAGCCTGGTAGTGGGGCACGTTGTCAGTGCTTTAAACTTCTGCTTCTCCGGCTTCAGACCCACCCCCAGCTCCATTACAGCCCCCCACCTGCAGCCCCACCCGCAGCGCAAGCCCACTGACCTCAGTGTCTTCATTCCTTTATCTGCTTCCTCGCTGCTGTCAGCCTCTCCCCCACCCCATCCCTCCAGCTCCCAGCTCCCAGCTCCTGCCAGCAACAATCCCTTTGTCACACACGCCCCTTGGTCCCGCCCATGGCCAGAGCCTTTAAGCATCTCACGCTAACCACCTCCTCTTCTCAAAACAGCAATACTGATCTCCTGGGGGGCCAGAAAGCGGACGCTGGGGCTCCGTCCCAGCCCACTGAGCCAGAACCTGCAGTTTAACAAGCTCCGGGGACGTTTGCACATCTGAGCACCCATGTCCTCACCGGGACACCCTCACCCCTTGTGCCCTCTCACCCTTTGACCTGGACCCCTTCCCACTATCACCCACCTTGTCCTCACTTCCCTCTTGACCCAACTCAGACTGCTGGTTATTTTTTTTTCTTTTAAGATTTATTTATGCAGACAAGAGCTGGGGTACAGGCCAGAGGTGCGGGGCGGAGGGGGTGAGAGGACTCTGACCAGAGGCAGAGTGGGGAACAGAACAGGCAGACTGACGAAATCCACTGCTGAGGGGAGCAGCGGGTGAGTCAGGAGAGGTCTGCTGCGCCATGTGGGTAGCTCCCTGGCCGGCCGGGGATCCAACTCATGCTGCAGAGGCTGCAGACAGCCTCACAGGGCTGTGCTTAACAGCTCTTGCGCCAGCAGGGAGGCCCAGACTGCGTTTATTTTAATCACTCCTTTAAGACAGTCCTTGGAAACCTCCGTGGCTTCCCTTCTCCCCTCCGCTGTAATTGAACTGGCATCCTCTGACTAGGTGGACTTTGGAACCACACCTGTGTTTACACCTCTGCGGCTCCACAGAAGGCCGGCAGGTCACTAACAGACCAGGACATGCTGTGCCCATTGCCAGGTGCCCTCAGCCACTAAAGGATGGTGTTGGCAGCTAATCCGTGTAGTGAGAGGCTCAGGTGGGGTAATGATATGCATGGAAATTATTTCTAAATTATAATCTCCTGTGTGTTATAGTCCTTACCTCTGGGCCAGGAGAGAAGAGTAGTTTGTCTTATTGCAGGTCCAAAACCCTTGATGCGGTGAACACAGGCATCAAACATTCAAGCGTGCTCGGCTTGTTGGTGAGGTAACGTCTTCCTCCTCTGTTCTGCGTGTTTGGCATCGATCACTTTCACCATGACATTCACTGACCTTGAAGCCTCCTGCAGAGATGTTGCTTCTTGGTGATTGTGTTTTGTGGGTCCTGTGACCAAGACTTTGCTCTTTTGTTTCACAGTGAATTGATTTTTTAGAGCAAGCCTGCCGTGTCATTTATTAATAATGCATGAAGAAGAAACTTTAAGTGGAAGGTTTAAAACACCAGCATTGATGGTCCTGCCCGTCATTGTTTTCCTGAGACCGAATGCCTTTTCCTCCTTCATCAGACTTGCTCAGGCTGTGTGCGCGTGCTCGGCGGGCGGGGAGAGGGCTGCGCTCCCTGGTCCCGGCTCTCCCCGCAGCCAAGAAGGCGAAGCGCAGTCATCTGAGAGTCCATCAGTGTTTTTTTCTCTTTGACTAAACGGTCCTGTTTTAGGTATTCTATCTAGAAATATTTTCCCATGGCCTAAAATCCCAAAGTATCCCGCCTCTCTGAAAGGCAATAGGACAAGGTGCTTTTCTGTTTAAGCCCATAAATTGTAGATTCATACCTGGTCTCGAGCCAATCAGCTTACTGTATCTGTGTAGACAGAATAAAGGTGGTTTTCCTGCATCACTTCCCAGATACAGCTTTTTCTTAAAGAGTTTGACTCCTTCTCTGGTGTAACATATAATACACTTGGTTTTATATTGAGCATTGCATAATCATGTGGCTAACAAGTACACAATATAGGCTGGTGGGCAGAGAACTCAGGCCGTGTAGATGTGAATGAACTGAAAACTGAGAGCTCCCGTCTCTCCCTTAATTCCCGTGCACATTTTTCTGACTCCTTTCCTGCGGAGCGCGGCTTGGAGGGACTGTCTGGTCTGGAATTGTGAGTGTCCAGAAAGGGCGCGTCCTGCCAGCCTTCCTCCTGTCTTTAGCGCAGCGGATCGCTTTTAGCTGCATGCCAACGACATCTTCATGTGATGAAAACCCAGAGCCCTCGAGGCTCCGGGGTTCGCCGTGGGGCTGGTCTGTCGTCGTGTGGAAGGAGGAGTTTGCACTTTGCCTTAGTGACTGTAGTTTCTGCATCCTTCCTCCTGTGGATTCTGAATCTCTTCATATATTTCTCTTTGCAGATTTCACCCAGAGACTGACTTCACGATAGAAACACCCACAGCTGTGTCAATGGTGGGGGACAGATAGTGGTGGCCGGCGAAGGACACACCCGCAGCCCCAGACGATGAGCATGCTCAAGCCCAGCGGGCTCAAGGCCCCCTCCAAGATCCTCAAGCCCGGGGGCTCGGCCTTGAAGGCCCCCACCACTGGTACCTGCTTTTCCTTATAGCAATAAATTCGTGTCCTTTACGAAGACTTTGCATTTGAAATTTTAAAAAATCTTACAATATCATATTCTTGAAACTATTTGAAAAGGTTTTCATCAAAAGATGTGGAGTTTTAGATCTTGAAGTCATCCGTGAAGAGTTTGGTTTGCCTGACTGAGTTGATTTGGTCTAAGATGCTAAAATTGTCACGTTCAGTAACATCAGGGTTCGATCCTTGCCAGGTTTAGGTACTTGTCTTTCCCCCCACGTGTCTTCCTGAATTCTCCGGGACCTTTCTCCTCGGGCCTTAGGGATATGGAGAAAATGGACTGGTCGGGCTTAAAGGGATGATTGACCTAGAGCAGGCAGCCCTGCGGCTCAAGCCTGGCGCGGGAGGGCAAGCACCCCGCTGTACAGATGAACCCACGCTCCCTGTGCCTTCCCCGCCGCCCCCATTTCAGTTTACACCCCCTGCATCTTCTGTGAGTGAGCTGGGGGGAGGGTGTCTGGTGCTTGCTCTCGGCTCCCTCTGTGCGGTTTGCGCACGGCTGGCTCTGTTAGCCACCCCTCCAGGTGGCCAGGCGTTTCCTGACAGGAGCGAGTCAGCACGGGCTTTCTCAGGTTCTTCCTGAAGTCACTCCCTGGCCTACCCGACAGCAGGGAGCTTTGAGGGTTTTGGTGTTTGCTGCTCCTTTTTACCCGTGCCTAGAGCACCGGCCTGGCCCAGGGCAGGAGCACAGTAAATACTTGTTGATGGAGTGACCGCCCCCCGTGACTTACACGTTACATGTCAGGACATAGCCGGTGCCGATCAGAGACACCCCGAGACATCGTAGAGGGGAGGAAAGCTTTACTGAGAGACGCTGTGAAGAAAGGGCTTTGTGACCTTGGGGCGGGCGGGCAGAAAAGGCACCCCTTAATCTCCTTCCCGCCCCTCCTTCCTCTTCTTAAGACCCCTTCAGATACCAGCCTGGCCTCGGAGCCTTCCCTGTTTCTCTCATTCCTGATTTAGATTTGTCTTTCTCATCGGCCGTTTTCACGTGCACCCCTTCGAACATGAAGTCCTCGAGTCAGGGCATCAGCGAGCAGTTTGACTTGGTGTGGCAATGGATGAAGTGCTTTTTTTTTTACCACTTTGTTCACAAAAGAGAGAGAAACAGAGCATCTCTAGAAGGCCGCTTTTCATTTCCTCGAGTTCCTGCTCCTCTGGGGAAGGCGGTGTCTGCTTGGGTAGGAGACCCATCTTTTCCGACCCCCTGCTCTGTGTTCAGTTGCAGCTCCAGTAGAGAAAACCGTGTCCAGTGAGAAAGCGTCGGGCATTCCAGTCTCTGAGACACAAGAGGAATTTGTGGATGACTTCCGAGTTGGGGAGCGAGTTTGGGTGAATGGCAATAAACCTGGATTTATCCAGTTTCTTGGAGAAACCCAGTTTGCACCAGGCCAGTGGGCTGGGATTGTCTTAGACGAGCCCATTGGCAAGAATGACGGCTCGGTGGCCGGAGTTCGTTACTTCCAGTGCGAACCTTTAAAGGGCATATTCACCCGGCCCTCGAAGCTAACCAGGAAGGTGCAAGCCGAAGATGAAGCCAACGGCCTGCAGATGCCCCTCGCGGCCAGAGGGACTTCGCCTCTGCCCGCTCCCAGCGCCTCCCCGGCCACTCCCGCGAGCACGCCCCACAAACCCGTCCAGCCAGCCCCGAAGGAGCCTCCAGCTCCCACGCAGATGAGCAACCTGACAAAAACCGCCAGCGAGTCCATCTCCAACCTCTCCGAGGCCGGCTCAATCAAGAAGGGAGAGCGAGAGCTCAAAATCGGAGACAGAGTGTTGGTGAGTCCAGAAGCCTCGCGGCTGGCGGGCAGGGCTGAGATCGTCAGCGGCCTGGGGCTGAGCCTGGCACACAGTTTAGGGCCTGTACAGGAGGAACCCAGTCCTCTGTGGGGCGAGAACCCACTTTCCTAGTTTAGTCTGTGTGAGCACAGGGCCGACTGCAGACCCGCCATGCCTGCCAACGTGGGCTTGCATGGCCCACGCTAGTTCAGCTACAGTCAAGCCCAAAGAATATTGAACTTTCAACTTATAAATATGAGGGTAATTTTCCTTGCCAAAGCAGCCTTTAGCTGTGTTTAAAGAAGTATCTTTAAAAAAAAAAAAAAAAAGGTAGTATCTTGTTCTGTGGGTTTTTTAAAAAGATTTATTTATTTATTTATTAAGATTTATTTATTTATGCATACAAGAACCGGGGTACAGGCCAGATGTGCGGGAGGGTGAGAGGATTCACCAGAGACAGAGTGGGGAACAGAACAGGCAGACTGACTGAAATACACTGCTGAGGGGAGCAGCGGGGAGACAGGAGAGGTCTGCTGCGCCCTGTGGGCTGCTCTGTGGTCGGCAGGGATCGAACTGGCACTGCAGAGGCTGCAGACAGCGTCACAGTGCTGTGCTTAACTGCCGCGGACCAGCACAGCAGTAGACGATGAGGCCACCTCAGGGTTGAGAGAAGCGTGCAGGGTGGTCAGGGCGTCGGTGAAAGAAATGACAAACAGACACACTTCAAGAGTGAAAATCTGAGTGTAATTTTCTTTGAGTTTGTGACCAGTATATATATGTTTTCCAAAAGCACAGGGACAAAGAATATCAATGAAATCAGCTTGCTCATGGGCTCAGTCTATCACCGTCAGGGAGGTGATCTACATAACAAGCAATGACTTTTATAGAAGAAAGAAGGAAGTTTAGAAAGACAATAAGGGATTAAAGTTTGTAGTTCTAGAAAGAGGGGATAAGATTTTTAGCATTCTTGTAGTGGTTCCTGGTGGTCGTTATCTTTTGATAAGCTTCTGTCTTTTCAGGGAACTTTTCCGCTGCACTTCCTCTGCTTCAGGGTGTTATGCTGTTCTCCCGCCGCGGGCTGGTTGCCCAGCCAGACCTAGGGACCATGGTGAAAGCCATTCCTAAAGGTCACTGAAGGGGGAGGTGCAGCAGGTATGTAGGGTTTTACTGTTCTCCCCCTGCGCGCTGGTTGCCCAGCCGGACCTAGGGATGGTTAGCCCTAAAGGTCACTGCAGGGGGAGGTGCAGCACTTAACCACCTATGCCACCAAGGAGGCCCAAGCTTTATTTATTTATGCATGTAAGAACTGGGGTATAGGCCAGATGTGTGGGGGTGAGAAGACTCACCAGAGACAGAGTGAGGAGCAGAACAGGTGGATCTACTGAAACACACTGCTGAGGGGAGCAGCGGGGAGACAGGAGAGGTCTGCTGCTCCATGCGGGTTGCTCTCTGGCTGGCCGGGGATTGAACTCGTGCTGCAGTGGCTGGTGATACCTTGACAGCACTGTCTTTAACCCCTGTGCCACCAGGGATGCCCTTGTTCTGGTTTTTAAGTTTTTGTTAAGGCGAGCGTGTGGGTCTCTGAAGCCCTGGCCCATGCCCTGCCCTTCTCGGGATGTGCCGCCTGATGTGTTTCAGAATTTCCGTGCCTTATAAATGATCACATTTGGGAAGATGCTGTTGCTTCTGTCTTACTGATGGCAGCAACATCGCCCGTCAGGTCTGCGCTGTGTGTCCAGGGATGGCTGGTCTGACACAGTGATCTGGGCTCTGGTTTTAACCGTGAGGCATGTGGCATGGTGCTGAAAACCCAGGCCCAGGCCTCTCTCTGCCTTTGTGACCTCAGCAGGCCATTTGACTTCTTGGCTGCCTCAACTGTAGCGTGAGGTCAGGCCCCATAGCACTGCTGTGAGGATTGCATGACACGGTGCCGGGTCTCATGGTGTGTGGTGCCACAGGTGGCGTGAGCTCAGGGCGTGACCCTGTGCCTCTGAATCACGTGCAGTGATGGCAGCCAGTGCTGCTTCAAGCAAATAATGAGAGACAAGGGAAAAATAAATCAGCGTACATGTAATTCCAGTGCCCGGGACATAGTAAACAAGAAATGGCAGCTGTTTTTGTCAGTGGTGAGATGTGAGGGTTACGGTGGATCCGAAGGTGAGCAGGAGTGTCCAGGCAGAAGAAAGTAGTGGTGGTGAGAGGGAGTGCCCTGGCCCTGGCCCTGGCTCTGGTTCTAGTTCTGGCTCTGGCAGGGGGAGGGGCAGACTCCCAGAGGAGGGACGGCGTTGGCGTGGCCGGAAGTTGGATGCTGAGGGAGAGGGCGCGCTGGGTGGTGCTGCCCGGGGTGGGCTCGGGGGGATGTTGCTTGGGTTATAAAGGACAGTCTAGGAGCTTCCTCTGGACTGAAGTGACCTTGGCCGGTAACCCGGATGGAGATGGGGCAGAGCGCGGGTTTCAGTGATGGCACAGCCCCTGCGGGGACGGGAAATCGAAACATCTGATTGGCAATTCTGCTACTTCAAAAAGAATTTTGTTGATTATCAAAATCCTAATGGAACTGTATCTGCTCAATGATTGTTACTAAGAATTGATCTAGAACTTGCCGAGCTCCCCAGAGTGCCCGGGTGGCTCCTGGCTTGTCGGCAGGTGCAGGGCGCAGGGCTCTCCTGCCTTCTCACAGCTCCTGCCTGAACTTGAGCAGACGGCTCTCCTGTTAGGGGTGATGGCTCGGAAGGTGACCCTGCTAACGCCCAGTCCTGAGTGTCCCCTGCTGCTGGCCCTCGGCAGTGTGGATGAGAAGCGTGGTGGGCCACGCCGCTGCTGCGCACGCAGCCCCTCACCGGCCTCCCGCCTTGGTGTGGGGATCAGCCCACTTGTCCTCGAGCATCGCCTGGATCCCACTGTGGGAGCTGCTGTGGCGTGTGCTGTGCCACTGCTGTTTGGGCTGAGGTCAGGCTCCTGACGCCCAGACCAGGGCCCTGGGGTGACAAATCACACTGAGCGCTTTTGACGTGGTCTTGCTGCCTTCTGGGGGCTGTTTGACATTCCCAGGATATGACATCAGGCTCTTGAGAGACTTGACTGCCCCAGCTCCGCGGGGCTGTCTCGTGGCTGGGCCTGTGTGTTCTCGGCCCATGACCATATATGAGAGGGAGACTTTGCAGCCTCTCACCGTTGCCCTGAGCTGCTCCCGGGGCTCTCCCACGGAGGCTCTCACTGTGAGAGGAGAAACAGTCTTCCTGAGGATAAAAAACATCTTTATTCAGAGGACCATGTAGCTTGTGCTTGGGCCTTCACAGCTGCATTTCCCCTAGGGACACCTTTTTGGTGTTTGTCTTCGTTTGCACAACATCCTCTCCGTGAGGTTCTTCTACAACATGTCTGTTTAGAAAACACATCTCACAGTTTACTTTGGCTGATTCTGGGCATTTCTATGCTGGTAAATACCGCTGTTCGTTTACAATAATAAGCTGGTGTTTGGCATCGCATGGCCAGGCCACATGTAATCATATTTAGCTTGCTCCCATTTTTCTGAGTCAGATCATATATAAACATTTAAAATTGTAAAAGACGCTGCCAAACTGTAATCTAAAAAGCCTTTATTTATGTTCCCCCAGTGTACAATTATACTCTTTCTAATCATTTGGTTTTTTTTTTTTTTAAAGATTTATCTACCTATGCATACAAGAGCTGGGGTACAGGCCAGAGGTGCAGGGGGGTGAGAGGATTCACCAGAGACAGAGTGGGGAGCAGAACAGGCAGACTGACAAAATGCACTGCTGAGGGAGCAGTGGGGAGACAGGAGAGGTCTGCTGCGCCATGTGGGTTGCTCCCTGGCCGGCTGGGGATCGAACCTGTGCTGCAGAGGCTGCGGATAGCCTCATAGTGCTGTGCTCAACCCCTTGTGCCACCAGGGAGGCCCTCATTTGTTTTTTTCCCCCCTATTTTTCACAGTCCCCTTGATGACGAACCCCCAGACCTTTGAGTCTGGTTGGGACATATGTGCATTCTGTCTCTGCTCACCACCTCCCTGGGAATTCCTTGGGTTCTTATGGGTGGGCTTGTGCTCTGGGAAGCTCTTCTGACTCGGCCCATCCCTGGATTGCTGATACAGGGGCTCTCAGCAGAAGGGTCAGGCATGCTGTGTGGTCCAGAGGCGAGGAGGCAGGTGCTCACACTGTTCAAAGTTTTTAGAGACCTTGGCATCTTTTCATCTTTACCAGCAGGAGAGGGTTCCTGAGCCTGCCTCGTGCCTTTGCTGTGGAACCTCCCGCATAACCTTGAAATAGCAGATACACCCCAAGGTGAAGTTTGCAATGAGGGTTGCTGCAGATGTTGATTTTAGTTTTGAGCTTTTTCACTTTCAATTTCCAGAAGCCTTAACCTCACTCAGCATAGCCTTGAAGGATTGTCTGGGAGGGAAAGGTGGAGTCGGCTGGATCTGGCTGCTTCCCTGGCTGGCTCACAGCCAGTCCTGCAGTCGTGCTGCTCTGCTCCTGCTTTCTGCAGTGAGAGCGCAGAAGCAGCGTGTGCTTTCCCCATACACTTATGGGATGTGGGAGTCTCGAAGCTGTCCACCTGCCCGTCAAGTTTCATGTCTTTGGCCTCACGGTCCATCCTCCCCCTGGTCCTGTTGACCAGAACGGCTGGGATCAGCCAGTACCCCCGTGGCTGCCGGTCCAGATAACTGCCCGCGCTGGCTCCCGCCCCTCCATGCTGGCCTTCACGCAGCTGCGCCCGTGTCGAGCCATACCTGCGCCCCGCCTGCTGGCGCTGTGGACTGGCTTTCACAGTGTTTGAAGAATTCTCTGCAGACTCAGTGCACAAACCTACCCCAGCATCTTAACCTGAAGGCGCCTAGCGGCTTCTGTCCAGCCCGAGGACTCTGTGGGCTCCTGGGCTGGGGAGCGTCCTGCCCAGGCCATGGCCAGGCCTGAGCCTAAGGTTGGAATGCTATTGCCAGAGCACGTGCAGCCCGAGCTCCGCTTTTGGGGCTCTTGAGGCATAATTATAAAAATGCCTTGGGCCTGAGATTCTCGGTTGCTTATGATTTTATACAAATTAGAAAAGTGAACTTTACAAAACTCATTTTGCTCAAGTGGGCTTCCCTGGTGGTGCAAGGGGTAAGTCAGCACTATGAAGCTACCTGCAGTCACTGCAGCACGAGTGCGATCCCCGGCCAGGGAGGTGACCCACATGGCGCAGCAGACCTCTCCTGTCTCCCTACTGCTCCCCTCAGCAGTGTTCAGTAGATCCACCAGTTCTGCTCCCCACTCTGTCTCTGGTGAGTTCTCTCACACCCCTGCCCCCACCTCTGGCCTGGACCCCCAGCTCTTCTGTGTATAAATAAGTAAATAAATCTTTTTAAAAAAGCAGTAGGGCCGCCCTGATGGTGCAAGGGGTTAAGGTGCAGCACTATGAAGCTATCTGCAGCCACTGCAGCACGAGTTTGATCCCTGGCCAGGGAGGAAGCTGACCCACAGGGCACAGCAGACCTCTCCTGTCTCCCCGCTGCTCCCCTCAGCAGTGTGTTTCAGTCGATCCTCCTGTTCTCCTCACTCTGTCTCTGGTGAATCTCACCCTCCCAACCCCTGCACCCCTGGCCTACACCCCAGCTCTTGTATGCATAAATAAATAAAATAAATATTTTTAAAAAGATTGATTTATGCATACAAGAGCTGGGGTACAGGCCAGAGATGCTGGAGGTGAGAGGATTCACCAGGGACAAAGCGGGTAACAGAACAGGCAGATCTACTGAAATACACTGCTGAGGGGAGCAGTGGGCAAGACAGGAAAGGTCTGCGCCATGTGGGTTGCTCCCTGGCCAGCTGGCGATTGAACTCGTGCTGCAGAGGCTTTGGATTGCTTCGTGCTGCAGAGGCTTTGGATTGCTTCGTAGTGTGGTGCTTAACCCCTTGCGCCACCAGGGAGGCCCAAAATAAATACCTTTTTTTAAAAAAAGTCAGCATTTATGCCCACTCTTGAGATAACCAGTTGACCCCCACACCTCTCCCCCGCTTCTTGGTGTTCTTGAGGTCCCGGCTCCTGTAGGAGCTTATGTGCCTTTCAGAAGGAAGATTAATTTCAGGAGTTAAAGTTAAGCATAACTTTTTCATCTGTAGCCTGCTTGTTGTAAGGAGGTGAGGGTTGATAAGAGACCGCTACACAACCTCTGATCTCACTGTATTAATTTTTTAGGAGGTCTGCTTGCCATCACGAGTTACAGTTAGAGACTGGCCCATTTATTCAGGCTCGAAAAAGCACAGTGGCCGTGGCGGCTGTTTAACACCCTCTGGCTCATTCAGCAAAGAACAGGAGGGCCGGGTGCGGCTCCGGGTACTGTGGAGTCGGCACAGCCAGACCAACTCAGGGTTCTATGGTCCTGCAAGTTGCATCAAAATGAAACCTGAATCCTCCACAGGACCTGGGGGTCCCACGTGGCCTGGACGCTGCCCATCCTGTGACCTCACCCTGCCTTTTTCGCTCCACTGCAGCGACTCTGGCCTCCCTGCCATCTCCTCAGCACCCCAGCCTCATCCCCACCTAGGACTTGCTGTTTCTTCTGCTTGGAATGTTCCATCCCCAAGTCTTCTCACAGCCAGTGCCTGTTGTCACGCAAGTCTTGGTGCAGAGGTCACCTCCTCAGGCCGTTTCCTGCCCTCCGCCCCCAACCCTCATAGCACCACAGCATCACCCTCCACACTATTAGACGTGATCTTGCCATGTCCTTACTTGCGCATTGCCCTTCTTCCCTGACCAGAAAGTCTGGGCCCTTCTCCCCCTTCACTGTTGCAGCCCCGGCGTGTGGGCAGCGCCTGACATGGAGCAGGTGCTCCTGGGCACCGCTGAGGGCGCAGGGGCTGTGAGTGCAGGTGCCATGTTGTTCCCTGGAGGGCGCGGGTGAACTGTGAAGTATGACAAGAGGTACTGTGAGGACCAGCAGGTGAAGACTGGGGTGTGGGGATCCCCTCTCTGAGAGAGTTGCCAAGGCTGGGTTGGCTTGCTAGTTGAGGAAATAGAAAATGCCTGTGTTTCACAGGTGAGTAAGTTTGAAGTCAGGGCTAAATGTGTATTGGGTAAATACCAGTTAACCTTTACAAGCAGCTGCTTAGCATAGAATATGGCAGGTAAGAAGCCACCTCACAGGGTTCCTGGGGTCAGCCCCTCCTACCACTCACTGGGCGTTTTACAGCTTTATAGGTCAAGGCACAGAGAGATTTAGAAGCTTGTTTGGGACTTGATAATGGACCTAGGGACAGTTCAGAGAGGGCTGGATGTCTCCCCTTCCCATCAGTCCACCCATTCATTAGCCCAGCAAATTTGCCTTATTCTGACTCGCTGTAAGAGCTCGCAAGGAGGGCCTCCCCTGGTGGCGCAGCAGTTGTGCGCTGGGCTGTGAGGTTGCCCACAGCCTCTGCAGCGCCGGTTCGATCCCCGGCCCTCGGTGAGGGTCCCACATGGTGTGCAGACCTCTCCTGCCACGCCCGCTGCTCCCCTCAGCAGTGTATTTCTTCGTTAGTCTGCCTGTTCTGTTCCCTGCTCTGGCTCTGGTGAATTCTCTCAACCTCCCGTGCTTCTGACTGTACCCAGTGCTTGTATAAATAAATCTTAAAAAAAAAAAAAAAAAGCTCTCAAGGAAGTGTTTGCTCTGTCCCCCCAGCACTCTGCAGAGCCCCTTACAATGCTGGTCACCCTTTGCTGAGACCGTGTGTCTGGGTCTCTCCTCATCAATGTCCTGTTTGTCTCTATGCCCCGAATGCCCAGGCCCTCTGGTATGTGTTGAATGAATGAATGGGAACAGAAAACCTGAGCTTTGTTAGCACATGAAAATAGTGACTAGGTTTTCCTGTTGTTGAGTTTCTAGTTTAAGCTAATTTTGTTCCCAGTGGTGACCTCTCATTTGGGCTTAAAGCGAGCACAGTTTTAGGAGGCACACGCTACCGCCATGTCTGAGTTCACTGGAGATTACTCTGTCTCAAAGTTGAAGGCTGCGCCCTTTACTAATCCTGAAATCTGCCCCTCAAACATAATTTGAACACTGAATTTTATTTAATGTAAATGCAAGTCCTAGAAGATGCTGGAGTCTCCTGGGCACATGAGAAATAAAACTAACTTCGAAAAACATGTTGAAATGTTTAGGGAAAAAATTGTAGAATGACTAAGTAGGAAAGTGTTGGAGCAATTTTAGGACTTCATGTGACTTTTTGTCTGGGTGTTTTGAACGATTATGATGATGAACTTGGACGGAGGCGGGAGCTTGCTGTCTGTTAGGAGAGTCAAGCGTTCCAAGTTTGGTGGGATTAAAAAGTCAGGAAACTACCCATCCATCTCAAACCCCCTGGCTTGGTGTTAGCTCCACCCCCTCCCCCCAGGGCAAATGGGTATTGTATTACCTGCATTTAGGCAAAAATAGTTGCTCCTCTGCTGTTTGTGGTTCCCCCCTCTTCTTTTTTTAAATCCTCCAATCTGGGCCTCCCCTGTGGCCTAGGGGTTAAGTCCCAGCACTGTCACCACTGTGTCCTGATTTCGATCCCGGCCAAGGCGCTGACCCACATGGCGCAGCAGACCTCTCCTGTCTCCCCACTGCTCCCCTCAGCAGTGTATTTCTGTACCTCTGTCTGTTCGCCACTCTGTCTCTGGCGAATCCTCTCACCCCCGCCCCCTGCACCTGGCCTATACCCCAGTTCTTGTATGCATAAATAAATAAATCTTAAAAAAAAAAGAAGCAAGACCTAAAAATAAGCCTAGTGTTAGTCTTAAGAAACTAGGACGGGAAGAAAATAAACCAAAGGAAAATTGGAAAAAAGGAACTAGTAAGGGTGGAAAGTGAATGAAGTAAAACAGAACTTCAGACACAAACTAAAGGGGGAACCTACCAGCTGTTCCCCCCAGTGGGAGCGAGCCACCTGCCCAGGGTGACCGAAACGAGCACAGTCCCTTAGCCTTTCTTCTAGAACCCAACAAAATGATTTTTAAATTTATTAAATAATGAAACCTACTTAGCCCGTTCAGGGCCTGTTCAGGGGGCTGGCGTGATATGCTGGAGGGTGTCTACACAGTGGGGCCTGTGCAGGTCACGGGAGAAAACGAGGGTCAGGGCGAGTGGATGGCACGTGCTGCCAGCTCCTCATGCCTGCTGGTGGGGGCAGGCCATAGTGCCCGCGGGTCGCGAGGACGGGGGTCTGGGTGGGCAGCCTGGCATGGAGTCCCCTGGCCATGCACGTCTGCCAGGTGAGCCTCGCCTGTCTCCGGAGAGACCCCTGGAGAGTTGAGGCAAAGGCAGAGAAGGGCTGCAGGGAGAGGTGAGGGCCCGCGGGACTGAGACGTGGGTTGCGACCGCAGAGAATTATGATCCTTCACCTCCATGTTCTCCTCTTCCAGGTTGGCGGCACTAAGGCTGGCGTCGTCCGGTTTCTCGGGGAGACCGACTTTGCCAAGGGGGAGTGGTGTGGCGTGGAGCTAGACGAGCCTCTTGGGAAGAACGATGGGGCTGTGGCTGGAACCAGGTTTGTGGGGAAACATGTTGTCCGCCCAAGGCTGAGGCTGGACGCCCCAAGGGCCGCCTGGGCTGGCTCCCACTCCCTGGACAGCAGCTGTTCCTTTGTCTCAGTAACTTGGGGGGTTTGTCTGGGGAGATTTAAAGTGTTCAGTTTGCTTCATTTTTCATTTTAAGGCTTATTTTTTTAGAGCAGGTCTAGGCTCAGCAGAACTGGGAGGAAGGTGTCCCCACCTTCACCCCACGCGCCCGGTGTCCCCACACCGCCTCCTGTCATCAGTGTCACCTCAGAGGGCCCATCTGTCACGGCTGATGGAGCTGCTGGCCACGTCCTCCCAGCTCAGGGCCCAGGACTGGAGCTGGGGTCACTCGTGCTGCTCTGTTGAGTCACATGTGTGCAGACGTGTGTCTACCTCCATAGTGTCATGCACACAGGAGTTTTAGTTTATTTTTCAAAACAGAAAGGAAATACTATGTCATCCTTTCAACACTCTCTCCACAGCCCTCGGCCTCTGGATGCATTTCTGGGTGTGGGGTGAGGAGCAGGAAGTTCCCACTTCAGGGAAGTAGCCACAGCCTCTCTGATGCCCCAAGCTCTGACTGGGGCAGCGGGCAGGGCCCGGCAGCTCTGGCCTGCCATGAGGATGCCTCCTCTGGCTCCGGGGCAGGTGGGAGGCCTGTGTGGATGGGTGCAGGGCACCTGTGCTGCTGTCAGGGTGTCTGGCGTTGGGCACAGGTGAGGGATAGACTGTGTGCCAATGGCACACGTCCACGTTAATGTGGAGCTCAAGTATTAAGACGTAGTTAACGTTTTGTTCACAAAATGTGTGCAGGTTGATTTCCAACATATGGGCTTTACCTAACAAATACAGTGATAAAGGCTCGAGAAAAGTCTCATTGCTGCGACGTTAGGAAGCCTCCCCCTCTTGACATTAAACCACTGATTCCCCCCCCCCCCCAATTCTCGTGATCTCCAACGGGACGATGGTGTCCTCCCGCCTCTGCTTGGGTGAATCTGCCCGAGTTGGCTGCTCCCCCTTCCTCTGGTGAAGGCTCTTGGTTCTGTGAGGTGGGGTCACACTATGGTGAACCCCTGTGCTGCAGACATGTCAGGCAATAGAAACGTCACTCCCCGCTCGGGACTCCAGGGAGACGAGGGGCTCCGTGGCGAGCGATGTGCTGGTGTTTCTGCACCACCCTGAGGTTGCCGCCCATGTCTCTGACCTTTACTTACCCGCAAGCAGCCGTTCACCCCAGGGGTGGCTGGGCTGAGGCCTTAGGAGCTTTCCGGTTGTGTGTGTTGTGACTGCTCCCGTTTTGTGTTCTGAAGGTATTTCCAGTGTCAGCCCAAGTATGGCCTGTTCGCTCCCGTCCACAAAGTCACCAAGATTGGCTTCCCCTCTACCACGCCCGCCAAGGCCAAGGCCGCCGCCGTGAGGCGCGTGATGGCCACTACGCCCGCTAGCCTGAAGCGCAGCCCCTCCGCCTCCTCGCTCAGCTCCATGAGCTCCGTGGCCTCCTCCGTGAGCAGCAAGCCCAGCCGCACAGGACTCGTAAGTGCCCCACTGCACCCCGCACCCCGCATTGCTGGCAGCTGGGAGTCGCCCCAGCTCTGTGCCGAGTGTTAGTCACGGCTGCGAGGACTCTGACAAGTTTCACAAAGTAAAACTTTAACCAGATAAACCTTGAGCAAAGCATTTTAACGCCCCCTGTAGGCTCCTGAGGCTCTAGGTGGTGCCGGTTCTTGGTGACGGTGTAGTAGCTGTTGTTCAGTCTACCTGAGGGGGTGGTTGCTTCTCTCGGAAGTTATTTGGACACAGGAACGACAGGAAAGTTGGAGCACTCCTTCTCGTCACGGGCACAGGTCACTTTCAGTTTTAGGAACTTTTGAGAAAAGGTGTGTCCTCGGGGTTTTATGTCTGATGGATCCTGCCTGCCCTACCCTCCGAGGGCAGCTCCAGCATGGGGGTCCCTCTGGCCTGAGGACACGGGGCTCCGGAACATGGAAGGACTCTCAGCAAAGTCGTGTTTTGTTTGTTTCCTCCCCCCATCTCCTCTCCCCTCCCATCCAGGTCGCCCTCATCCCGTCCCTGGTGTGCACTTGTGTGTGTGTGTGGCGGGGGGGGCACTGGGTATTCGGGCTTTGGCCCTTCAGTTTACTTCCAGAGGTCAGCTAGACTAGCTCTGAATTTGAAATGGCAGCAGCAGATTACGCCCCAAGGTGGAATCTGGGTCTCTGTACCCCGAGAGGGCTGTGGATCAGAGCGTCATCCGGTCTGACTTGGGGGCCAGCTGCTGGCCCCTGAGCTCTTCCTTGTGGCCGCTGTGCAGGGCGAGCAAGCGGGGAAGTCACTCCCTGCGCTGGCCAGTGCTCGCCTGGCTGGGCCTGCTCTTGCGTCCAGACCAAATAGTGCCTGTTTCCCACGGAAAGGAGTCTGCCTCCGCGCCAGCACGGATGTGGGGGGAAAACTGGACAAGAGCACGAAGTGGAGACGATGAAGCTCTGCTGCGCGGGTCACAGGCCTCAGCGGGACGTCCCGGAGAGCCGCCGGCGTCCACGCGGGCCAGCGTTCTCTCGCCAGCCTCGTTATTGCGTCCTCTTCTTTGGAAAATACTCAGGCTCCGCTTGCTTTTCAGACAAGTTCCCCTCCCTCACCTCATTCAGGGAAGAAAACAGACAGATGTGAAATGAGTCTCCCTACGTAATAGCTTATGTTTGTATAACTTCTCCCTGGGGGAGGGAGGGGCTTGGTCTATAAACCAAAAGTCACTGCAAAAAATATACCAAGAATATAGGATAATTGTGTCACTTCCTAGAGTACATCTCAGCAATTATAACCCCAAGTACAAATATAAGAAAAAGAGATTCTGTCATGCAAAGTGACTGTGAAGTTCGCGGAGGGGCCCAAGCTTCCTGCCATCTGGGCCCCTTGGGTGTCTCCACTTACCTCCCCACGTGCCCTTCGGCCCAGACAGTTCCCTGCTCTCACTAGTAAGTAATTAGCTACAAAAGACTTTGATATTTATGTCCTAGCAGCTCAGCAGCTATTTGAAAAAAGTGACACACAGTAATTGACAGAACCGTGTTCTCGCTCACTGGTGAACACCCACAGCATCACGCCCTGTCCGCCCTGGGGGTGCCACCACATCGCTGCCTGCTTTCCTGGGCCACGGGACTTCACAGAGTCGCGTTGTCATGCCAGAGCCAGGCTGCGCTTCGGACAGACGTGGCCTCATCCAGAGGAACGTGTGACCTTGCGCGGGACCTGGAGCGCCCCAGGCTAGTGGTGTTCGTGGTGCCCGGCAGCTGTCAGTGCTGTCAGTCGAAACCCCCCCCCCCCCCCAGAGCCCTGGGGTCTCTCTGCGGCCTCAGATGGGGTGTGTCCAGGCAGACGTGATAGTACCGTAAAGCATAATTGAACCGTACAGTGAAATTGGAAAATCAAGGTCAGATGGTTAATACAGAACAGGAAACTCCCCCCACCAGTCTGTTAAGTAATTCAAGAAATTGCACTAAATAGAAACAGCAAAGGAAACTTGGGATTGAATGGATTCCTCTGCTCCCATAGTTTTCGGTCAGCCTGTTGATTGGTGGCAGACCTCACCCACGTCTGCATCCTGGCCGAGGGCTTGGGCAGACTGATGGAGAGCAGAGCACCCAGGCCACACTGGGGCTCTGAGTGCAGAAGCAGAAGTCGGGTTGATCGCATCCTGGGCCAGCGACCCCGAGTGAACATCCATGGACAGGGATGAGGCCTTCCTGTGGCTGCTGCTGGCTTCTGGAGCCCAGCTTGAGAGCACAGTTCAGTGCCCAGTGACCTGATAGCCTTTCATGGGGAACCACGTTCTCTGCGCTTTCACATGACAGTTGACCTCAAGACTGAGGAGTCGGGTCTATGGAACAGCAAAGGGGAACAGGATGGAACTGACATGTCTTCTCCTCCCCCTTCCCCTACTTCTCGTTCTCCTCAGATGTCTCTTTTCCCTTTTTCCTCTTTCATGTTGATTTGTAAGCGACCAAAGCAGGTCTTTTGCTTGCACTCAGAAAGCCAGACTCGGAACCGCAAGAAGTGTCTTTACATGGAGGAGGTGATTTGAGGTGGCCATCATGCGAGTCAGCGCGATAGGCATCCCAAAACCTGACTCCCCGAGTGGCGGGCAGGCTGGGGCTTTGTCAGGGGAGGACCGTGAGGACATGCAGGGCTTCCCATGTCCAGTCCAGGGAGGGGGGATAGTCCAGGCAACAGGAGCCAGGGGGCTTGCCTTTCCCAGCAGGGGACACAGAGGATCTTACTCGGGATGTGACAGTCCGTTTCCTCAGTTCCCAGGACTGCAGGGGGAGCCGGTCAGCGGCTGATCACCAGGAGGGGTAAGAGCAAGGGGTGGGAGTTTAACCCCACTTGCTCCTGACTCCAGGCTGGGCAGGGGGCTCCAGCTCCCCCGTGTGCACTGCGTGGACGTCCCCATGCACACTCACGCTCGCCCACGCTCTGGAAGACAGACACAGCTCCCCTCCCAAGCCTCGTGACTCTGCTGCTGGGGTTCGTCCTCAAGACTGGACTCCTGGCTAGGGGCTCCCCTGCTGTTCAATTTGAAAAAAAGATGAAGAAAATCCCAACAGATCCAGCCAGCCCGTTGAAGGAAGGCTTATGACTCCCAGGGTGAGCTGGGTTACTTAGTGGGATTGTAACAGCTTAAGAAGTTGAACAGAAAGTCTCAGCCTCAAGCCTAAGGATCAAAAGATTGACCAAAATGCGGTAACAAGAAGTCACTGGTAATGAAGCTCAGGCCAAAGTGGAGTTGAAAGCCAGTCGCTAAATGGCACCTGTGGAATTTCTCTAGATTCCTACAAGGTCCTGCAGCCGAGCTCAGGTACTTTGATTTGAGCCACTCGCTCTCCTTTTAAACATCTTCTGAACATTCCAGGACCACTTTGCATCGATGTGTTCTTTGTGAAATTTGCAGACGAGAGGCACAGGCCCTCTTGTTTCTTGATGAGAAGCTCGGCTAGTAACCGGCACGGGCCCCGCTCAGCTTTGCCAGGAGACACCTGCCCTGCATGCTCCGCTCGCTTCCTGCTTCCCTGCTGGCCTCATTGCCCTTCACGTCTCTAACTTTCCTTTGCAGTTGACCGAAACCTCGTCCCGCTACGCCCGCAAGATCTCCGGCACCACTGCCCTCCAGGAGGCCCTGAAGGAGAAGCAGCAGCACATTGAGCAGCTGCTGGCGGAGCGGGATCTAGAAAGGGCGGAGGTGGCCAAGGCCACGAGCCACGTGGGGGAAATAGAGCAGGAGCTAGCGCTGGCCCGGGACGGACACGACCAGGTGAAGTCTGGGCGCTGACCTCGTTGTGGAGATGGTGACGGTCTCTAAATGAGGGAGGAGTCCAGGCGCCGTGCCTGGTGCTTGGGGCCAGGGAGCGAGTCTTGAGAGCATCGGGGACGAGGACAGATGTGTTGAGAGCACTGGGGACGAGGACAGATGTGTTGCTGGGCTGGCATGAGCTGTGACCTGGGCACCAGTGTGCCTCATCTAGGGATGAAGTTTGGTTCTCCTGGCGTCTCCCTTAGTGTTTGGTCTCCACATCCAGGTTTCTGGCCTGTCTGCATGAGGCGAGCTTGTTGGCCAGGGCCCTCCCAGGGAGGCCAGCTCCTGGTTTGTAGGTTGTCCTCTGTACGAGCTTGCAAAGAAAACACTGGTTTAACCTTGCCCTCTATTGTTTTAATGGTGTGGCTTTTCATTGTCTAGTTTCCAGGAGTACTGATTGAGAGTCAGCTCGTAGAAAGCATTTTAACATGCCAGGGTTTTAGGGGAACACCAGCTCCAGTGGTAGCCCTTAGCCATAGCCCTTTGGAGGCAGCCCCAGGGCAGGTAACGGCCACTCACCAACTCCCTTGCCTTTCCCAGCACGTCCTGGAGCTGGAAGCCAAGATGGACCAGCTGCGGACTATGGTGGAAGCGGCTGACAGGGAGAAGGTGGAGCTGCTCAACCAACTTGAAGAGGAGAAAAGGTGATGATGCCTGGACCATGCCCTGGCATGCGTGGCCTTTCCGTGCCAGCACATGAGGAATAGCTCTTCCTGTCGATCACCTTGTTGTGTCCAGCCTTAGACAGAAATGGCTGACCCCTTGTCCAGCGGGAATTGATCTCTTGATACTGTGTGGTTTTAGATCTAGCATCATATAGATTAATAATATCAATCAGATATTGGCCTGATTGATCGAACATATTCACTGAGCACCTACTATGTGCCCCACACCCCCTGAGGATCGCTTTGCGTGGGGAGTTCATTCACCCCAGCTCCCATCCAGAGCCATTCCCACTGAGGAGGTCCTGCATCCAAGTCACCAAGTGTTTCTGAAACCCCTCCCATGCATTGATGAAACCATATCCTGCCTGGTGGTGACACGAAGTCCCTGTACTTGAGAAATTCAGCACCTCATTAGGAAAACAAAACTGTCATGTGAAGCAATTAGAATTATCCAGGTCAGGATGCAAACAAGTCGCTGAATTATGTCAAAGGAAACAAATTTGATTCTTTAAAAAGTCGGTTCTTTGAGACCATGAATAAGCAAAATCTCCAAAAAATGTGCATGGAAACCATTTGAGGGTTTTGGGACATTTGTCCTCTGGAGTGTTGAGTGCGTCCTCTGTGACTCCATAGTAATGAGCATCACTAGGACTCAGTACAGCCACAGCACCACGAGGGATGCAGTGGAGGCGGATGCCCGAAATCCCCTTCACTCTGGGAGAACGGCCCACCTAAGGGATGGACACCTCCTACAATTGCCCCCAAGTAAAAGGTGGACCCTCCTGAGCCCTTGCACAGCACCCGCTCTCCTGTTTCGCACTGGGTAGTCCGAAATGCATTCCTGCCCCCGCCCCCAGAACAAGCTTGAGGGCTTTCGCCTGTGATTCTATTTCTGATTTAACTAACTAGACTTGTCTTCTATTTCGTTTTGCTAGAAATGCTTGTGAGTAGGAAAGATTTTCGTTTTGCATGTAGGTCTTGCACCTTGTCCTCCTTTTCTGCTCTTACACCTGATTTCATAAAGATTCATGATATGGATCATGCCAGATCATCTAACTCCCCGACCGTGTACTTCGTGGCGGTGTGATGGTGTTGACTGAAACCCACACCCTTATCGGGGGGTCTGAATCAGGGGATGTGAACTTCAGAAGCAGAGATAGCCTTTGGTTGTTTCTCCCCCACATCAAGCTCAGGCTTCCCCTCAATCTTGGCGCGGGGGTTGCTCTGAGCTTTCAGGCAAGGGCCTCTGCGCGTGTGCCTGCTCGTCTCTTCTCAGCCCCTGATGTGGGTGGTAGGAGATTTGTCTTCTAGGCTGTTTTCCCCTATGCCGTGTCATTGCAGGTGGAAATGAGGGACTTGACTCACACACGGTGTTTTTCAGATCACTGCCAGATACATGACACATGTTGATCAGAGATTTTCCTCCAGGCTGGTCTGTTGCTTAGATCTACTCTGTGGCTGCAACCAGGGCCTGGCAACTCACCCCTCTCGGCTCATACCTCCTGGAGTCAGTACCTGGCTCTGACGTTGGCGCGTCCTGAGCAGTGTCGTACTTTCGGGTCTGCAGAGCAGAGGCCCAGAGATGCATTCTTTATTTTCTGTGTCTCTAAGACAATTTCTTTCCACCATCATCAGCTAAGTCCACCACACTGTGATGATAGTTTTGTTATTTTGTTTCTGTAGTTTTTTGTTTGTTTTTTGTAAGGCAGGTGTGTCCCTTAGTTGATTTCTTAAGTGTTTTGTCTTGATTTGATTCCACAGGAAGGTTGAGGACCTTCAATTCCGGGTCGAGGAAGAATCCATCACTAAAGGCGACCTTGAGGTAAAACCCCTCCAGCTCGGGAAAGCTTTTGTGGGTGCCACACCCAGACATATGGATGAGAGCCTTGTGCCCACTGGTGCGTGTGTCACAGCAGGCTGTGGAGGGGGCAGCAGCCGACGGTGCCTGTGCCCGCCCGGTGGCGCCAGCTCCTTCCATGGCCCCTTTCTCTCCCCTCCCGATTCAGAACCACAAATTGGGGTTAATCAAGTCCTAGATCTGGCAGTATGCTGCAGGCGAGACCGCCGTGCCGCTGGTGATCGGAAATGGCATGTTAAAGAGCATTTCTTATTTTGTCCAAATGGTCCAAAACAAAAACTTTTGCTTTATTTCAGCTTTGCTTCCAGCAAAAGCATAAATCCTTTACTACCCTGTACAAGGGGCACATGTATGTTCTGGTAGTTGAGCTTTTAAAAGGAATTACCAGAAAAAAAAATAGCAACTTATGTTTCAGTTTCTTTTCCTTCCACACCATAGATATTAAATTCATAGACTTTCCTTTAACTTTAAACTTCTCATCTCTTAATTGTTTACTTTAATAATTTTAATTAGACACCCAAATTCAATGGTTTTGATGCTTTTCAAACCACTGCCAGATATATGACACATGTAAATTACTACATTTTTCAAATTTTGTGGGGTTTTGGTACTTTAATCTGCAGTGTTTTAGTAAAAATTGCACCTGTCTGTGCTGTCTCAGAATACACATTTTTGCCGCCTTTATAGAGTCCTCCCACACCAGGCTTAACTTTCAAGAGCCCTGCCAAGTACAGTTGTCATTTCTTTGAAAGTAAATACGCAGTTAACAAAGAGTAAGCGAAACATTTTCTGGGTCTGCGCTTCATAAGGCCCAGAATTTAATGGTGCTCAGTACTGTCACAGCTATCTCCTCGCTCATCTCCCACACGGTCACTTTCCTTTACTTGACTCCTGTGTTGTTCTCATCCATTTTTAAACACCCAGAGTCTCATTAGAAGTCTCATAGCCGCATCTAATTCATATGAAATACAGCCTCGTGGTGTCTGGGGAGGGACATGTTCAGATATTTACTTACATCAACACTAGACTAGTATAGTCTGTCTGGTCAACTTACCTGAACTAATCAAAATTATTTTGAAACCCTAACACTTACTGGAACTTTAGTTGAGTCTTTTGTTGTTGTTTAATTTTTTTATTTTTTTTACTGATAGCAAAAGAGCCAGATTTCTGAAGATCCTGAGAATGTAAGAGGGACTTCACTGTGTGGACATTCCCCTGTAACACAGATTTTACAGACTACAGCGCTTATTGATACAATTACTAACTGCATCACCTGGCCTGGAGACTTTGACCTTATTATTTCTGTGCATGTGGCTTTCAAAGCAATTACAGTTGAATCTCGAAGAAATTGTAATGACTAAGCTCACTAAGTCCACTTGTTTGATGCACTGGCAAGTGTTTGACTTACAAAGAATTTTGCCAAAATGAAAAAAAAAATTCAGGGGGGCGCCTAGCCGCCTTCATTTAATTCATAATGCCTTCTAATTTTAATAGAATCCCTCCAAAAGAGGTGATAGTTGACTTAAGCACAAAGCATGTCAGGTGAAGGGCTTAAGAAATCCCAGGACTCAGTTTCCCCAAGCTGTCAAGGTGCAACCCCGTGAGCAACTTTGTGCCCTTTGTGCACGCGCCCTCGGCTGGTCAGTGCCCGCCACTACAGCCGCCGGGACGCGCCGTTCCTCGCGCTGCTGCTGGTGTGTGAAGTTAGAGTCCTGTTTGTGAAGTTAGAGTCGCAGCGTTCTTCGGGGAAGACATTGTGTGTTTTAAATTTGTCGTGACTGAAGAGATTTTTCTAAATACAGTGCCACTAGGTAGCTGTTTTTCTTTTCCTTCCTCCCTCTGGTTAAGTTCAAATCCCACCCCGGGGCCCGGCTAGCTGTGATCCAACAGCAGGGACCTCGCAGCCTTTCACTTTGACTTGCCATCGCAAGAGAACAAAAGCACGGCAAAGAACGCCCCCTGCCACCTCCTGGCAGTGGCCCTAGACAGCTGAAGACCGAGCTTGTGAAACAAGCCTCCTTTCTGTGAAGCTCCTTCAGTGATCTGGTCTCCCCACCCCAACTCTCCTCCCCCCAGGCAGGGCTGCTGCGGTGTCTGTGCATGGGCTGCCCTCGCCTCTCTGCGCTTCCCGGGCCTCTGCTTCCCTCTGCAGTCCCCGCCCCAGGCTTTTCCTCCCTCTGTCTTATTCTAAGAAAGGAGGTGTTAGAGCAGGGTTGTCTTGCGCCCCCAGCCCTCGAGGAGGACTGCACCCCTGAGGAGGCCTGCGCCCCCAGCCTCGTTCACCGTCAGGTCCCGAGACAGACCGGGCTGCAGTCCTCCAGTGTTTGTTTGCTTTTTGTCCAAAAGTGGTGACCTTCACCCAGGGGACACTGAGTGCAGCTTCACTGGGAGAGGAAAGGGTCGGCTCCCTTCTGCTCTTTGCTCTTTTGGATTTCAGTTCTTGAGACTGTGACCCGGTGATGATGATCTGGGTTGGATGTATTTTTTTTTTTTTGTAGTAAAAGCAGGTAAATTGAACAACTGCTGTCAGAGGTACATTGTGGAGCAAGGGGACTGCCCAGACAGTTAGGTTATGGAATTTTTGTCATAAATTTTGGTGAGTGTAAAAAGCTGCAGCAGGGGAAGAACTTACATTTTTATTTGTTTCTGTTAAATATTCCATGATGAGTTATACCTGATTCATGCGCAAAGCGACCTGAACGCACTGCAGCTCCCAGCGCTGGGACTGGGCAGAGCCTTCCGCGTCAGCCCGGCACGGCTTTGTGGTTTTAGTTAGACTTTGTGGAGATTCCCCATTGCTCATGAGTGTCCACAAGAGAGACCTGACCACTTAGAACCACAAACTATGTAAATGAATGAATAAAACCAGCAACAGGGTGCTGCTGGGAGCAGTTCTGTCAACAGGTTTTATCAGTCAATTTGCTGCAACCTCCAGAGGGGTGAGTAGGGAAAGAGGTACTTTCAACCCAAAATCCAGATTATTTCAAAGTGTACAGTTCTGTTGCCCCTAAATCTATCGGAAAGAGAGGGCCTTTGGGTTTTTCATCAGTCTACATCTCAGTAAGTGGTAATAGGGAGTCGGGGGGGTGGAGGGGCTCGAAGACAATGGGATCTTACCAGCTCTTTTTGCTTGGAGTTCAAGCTCCTGCCTTTCTGCCGAGTCCCCGCTCCCACGTCTGAGCTCGCGTCTGACCCCCGCAGGGTCAGGACAACGCCCTTGCCAGCTCGAGCTCGGCTTTCCTCCTTCTCCGAGTCTCAGTGATGGCGGCAGCTGAGCACAATTTTTACTGACTTTTCTTTTTGTATGAGTCCCTTTTGTTCCTCTTTTCTGGTGACAGATATAGTCTTCAGAAAATCCACAACTGGAAGGAAATTAAGAGCTTTAGTGCCTCCTGGCCTGACCTCTCTGAGGCTGTTGCTGAGAATCTCAGCTCCTTCTCACCTGTCTCGGCAAAGGGTGAGGTGGGTTTCCTTAGCTTGGGCTTCCAGAATCCCTTTGCCCGGTTTAATACGTGCCCCTTGTTCATATCAAATTGTGTGCCAAAGTGCAAGGGACATATTGAGCACTCAAAAGATGATCTTTCCCATATGCAGGTGATAACAATGATGAATTTGAGGGTGGATCAACTTTTTAACTCACCGAGTCAGTTACATACACATTAATGTCCAACAGCCATGGTGGGGAGGGGGGGAAATGATAGTTTAGAGGAATATTAACTGTTCTAATTCGTGCTGATAAACTTCACTTATCAAGATAACTTGTGTTTGGCTGCATGCACCTGACACTCCATCTTGCCTCGCGTGTGTCCATCTTCCTCTCAGTCGACTAGCTCCTGTCCCAGCCCTCCTCACCCGTCGTCTCGTCTCCATCCTCGCCCCCAGCCTCGCCATCTCGGTTCTGTCCCCCACCCTCCTCGGCCCTTGGCCCCTCCTCTGGCGGAAGGTGCTGGCGGCTCAGCCTGCATGCTGCTCCCTCTCCTCTGCTGGCACGTCACGGTGGCACTGTTGTCTTCTCTTCCTCTCCCTTTTCACTAACAGACGCAGACCAAACTGGAGCATGCCCGCATTAAGGAGCTTGAACAGAGCCTGCTCTTTGAAAAGACCAAAGCTGACAAACTCCAGAGGGAGTTAGAAGACACTAGGGTAATGGTTTTCACTATTTCATGAAGCAGAGCCGTGTTTGTGAGTGGCCGACCCCCGGGGTCACGTGCCCTGTTGTTGGCCTGAGCCTGACCCAGTGGTTCAGTCGGAGTCTGGTCTGGCTCCTGCTCAGGTGCTCGTGAGTGGAGGCTCACGGTAGGCGCAGGTGTGCGATGTCAAGTATTTTGGAAGGTAAAGACCATCCCTTTGGTTGACTCCACCGAAGCCAAGACCAGAAATCCTGTCAGCCGTGTGCTGCACTGCATCCTGGCCACACGCGGGGAAGTTCCCCTGGGATGCCTGCGATGCGTTTCTCCAGCTCACCACGCGCTGCCAGTGTCCTCCTGTCCTCACAGCCGCTCACTGGGTTTCTAAATACTGTTTTGCTGTTGTCCCACTTCAGCGCTCTCTTCCTGCCACCTTTCCTGGCCTCCTGGGTCAGGGAAGGGGATGGAAACCCTGACTTGTTTTAGTAAGAGTTAAAGGTGACGTCACCAAGTTCCCTTTTCCCTTGGTACCCGATCTCTGCATTTACCTCCTTTCACGTGGGTAAAAGTTTCAGGGTCAGGAGGGATCGCGTGCAGGGAACAGATGGCTCCTCACACCCCCCTTTCCATGCCCGGCCCGCGGAGACAAGGTGCCAGTCCCCTCGCCACTCTTGCTTGTATGTCGCAGCCCGCACGGAGCGCGCCGTCAGCCTGGCGCCGTGCGGTGTTAGCTGACACGGTCCTGTCCCAGCCCTCCGAGGAGGCGGTGGTACTGTTTTCGTTGTCCAGATGAGGACACTAAGGCACAGAGAGGCTAAGTAACTTACCCCAGGCCACACAGCTAATAGGAACACTGGAGCCAGAATCTCTGCCTAGGCCTTTTGGCGGCAGGGGCTGTGTGCTCCACCACCACGGGGTAGGGGCTCTCGGTGGCAGAAGTAGCTTTTGCTGAATGACTTAAGAGAGAAGCTGAGTCATTTACATACAAGAAGAGACATATATTTGTGCATATGTTTTCTCAATCATTAGTTTGACTATCAATGGCTTAATTGCACATTCTTTAAAATTTCAAAAATTATTCTCTCTGATCAAATTTATTATCCTGATTTCTTTTGTTTCGAATTATTACTATTAGTAATAATTGTCGAAATTCCTCTTCTCGAGAAATCATTGATCTGAAACACTAGGTAGTCAAGTCATTTTTCTTCTCTAAATCATAAGTTTTTACTTTTTCAAGAAAGAAGAAGCCCTCAGTCTGCCGCGAGGGCTGTGTGTTTGGCAAGGGGAAAACCTGGTCTGTCCCTCCCTCGCCCGAAAGCCAGGCTGGGTCTGGGAAATACAAGGGACTAAGAAGCTGAACTCCACTGGTCTCACTGGCTGTTGAAATAAGGGTTTTGGGGTTTTTTTTTGGTATGTCTGGACTCCTCTCCCGTATAGCTTCGGCCAGCAAACAATTCAGTGCCTGCTTTTTTTCGCTGTGAGAAAGCCTCCATTCACAGCTTCGTCTCCTCAAGTATTGATAGTTGAGATTTTTTTTTCATTTTCTCAACAATGGACGTCTTAATTGCCATGTGTGACATTTCAGATTTCCGTAAGAAGCCATGTCTTCCTCAAAAGTCTCCTGGTTTGCCAAGTGTGAAACGCAGCAGTCACCCACTGTAGAAGTTTCGTTTTCCCTGCATTCCTTTCTAGGAAGCGCGTGGGCGTCCTCTAAGCCATTTCATCCAGTTTATTGGGGTGTGCTTAGTGCTGGGGGGACATTAGCAAGAATAACAAAGGATGTCCCACCTCAACGGCAGACCCCGGGCGCAGTGCTCGGATAGAGAATAAAAAGTGGCAGTGCTGCCAAAATGTCACCCGAAGTCCAGCCCCGTTGCTTGTGATTCTCGCTTGGTATTTTCTCAACCTTACTGTTTGGTTGTGGCTAATTAAGGACTGCTGCCCTCTTGAGTTTAATTTATGTCACGGGCCTTGGATGGAGTTTGTTAATGTTCTGTATCTTATTTTGGGGGTAACAAACTCTTGGACTCCCCTGTCCCAGGAAAAAGTATGTAAATAAATTAGCAGCTTTAACTGGAAACACCGATTCCCCGGAAACACGAGATTTAGATGAGCTGTGAGACACTCGGGGACTGGGTGCTGTGGTGTGGGGAAGGCCGCGCGCTCCCCTTTCTGTCCTCCTGCGGACGCTGCGGCGTTTCTGTGCTGCGGGGGCGGCAGAAGCCGGTTGGCAGGGCTGTGTGGGAGAGGAGCCCCGAGTCAGGGCGGGTTTTGAGCCTTCACATTTGGGGCTCGCTGGTGTGAGTCGCTCATGTTCCCTTCTATTTCTCAGGTTAGTCAAAAAACGAATTCCCCTGCCTGAGGCCACCACGTCCCATACACACCTGCCCACAGGTGGCAGAGGGAGTCATATCCCAAGGACGAAAGGGCACAGGCAAAGTGCACCCTCTAGCCCTGGTGTTTAGGAAGAGCGGGTCCCCTGTGGGTGTAGCGGGACGGGAGCCCGAGACTCAGGGTAGAGGCACCCGCTGCGCAGAATGCCGGCGCTGTCAGACTAGGGGGCCTCTGTGTGAGACTCCCAGAGCACTGCAGGTAAGTAGCCGTTCTTCCTTCATCATTTTTAAAAACGGTCGCTGAGTCAGTTCTTCACGACCCAAGTGAGGTGCCTCTGCAGCCGCCACAGGGTGGCCCTGCCAGCCCCCAGCGTGTGCCCTGGCCTCTCGTGCCCACAGCGGCACACACTTTTAATAGGAAGAAACAGGTACATTTAATGCATTTCCTTTAAAACAGTATATCTAAAATAAATATCAGCAAGATATTTTGTCTTTTCCCCTAAGTCTTCAAAGCCTGTGGCATCCCAGCATGTGGCCTGTCAGGCGAGCCCACCCGAGGGCTCGGCAGCCGCGAGAGCCCTGGCCAGCACCGCCTCCACTGGAGAGACAAATGTTTCCGCACCTTGGGTGGGGCTGCAGCAGGTGAAATGGGAGGAGTGTGCCAGGAGGTCGGTCACTCTGGGAATGTCACAGCTGCTGTTTGTTATTATGAGTTAATGGGTGCTTCCTTGACTTAAGCTTCTTTAGAGGAAAAAGGAATGTTTTTAGGAGTGAGTTAAACTCAGTATCAGGTTTTAGACTCTTTAGCATACCCCAGTGGTGGAGGTTGGCCAAAGAGTATGATTGTGAATTGGTCCTCCCAGACCTGGGCTTAAGCCGGGTCGTCCTGCAAGCCTGGCTATCACCTGGGCGCTGCGGAGGCCTCCGCCACCTGAGACAGGCGGGAGTCAGAGGGCTTCAAGGCTAAAGAAGCTCATCAGCGGCTTGTTATCTAAATAAACTCTTTTTCTTTGGACTGCTAATAGGTGGCTACAGTGTCAGAAAAGTCCCGTATAATGGAACTAGAAAAAGACCTAGCGTTGAGAGCACAGGAGGTAGCTGAGCTTCGAAGAAGGCTGGAATCCAGCAAACCTGCTGGAGATGTCGACATGTCACTCACCCTTTTGCAAGATATGCGCTCTTTGCAAGAAAAGCTGGAAGCCACCCATGCTGACCACCAGAGAGAAGTCACTTCCCTGAAGGAGCATTTTGGAACCCGGGAAGAAACGCTTCAGAAGGAGATGAAGGCTCTTCAGGCCTCTGCAGAGAAGCTCTCCAAAGAGAACGAGTCCCTGAGAAGCAAGCTCGGCCACGCCAACAAGGAGAACTCAGATGTGATCGCTCTGTGGAAGTCCAAGCTGGAGACGGCCATTGCATCCCACCAGCAGGCCATGGAGGAGTTGAAGGTATCCTTCAGCAAGGGGGTGGGAACGGACGCCGCAGAATTTGCTGAGCTAAAGACCCAGATAGAGAAGATGAGGCTGGATTACCAGCACGAAATAGAAAATCTGCAGAACCAACAAGACTCCGAGAGGTCTGCCCACGCCGGCGAGCTGGAAGCACTGAGGGCTGAGCTGATGAAGGTCGTCAGGGAGAAGGAGGAGAGCCTGGAGGCCATGAAGTCCAAGCTGGACAAAGCTGAGGACCAGCACCTGGTGGAGATGGAGGACACCTTGAGCAAGCTACAGGAAGCCGAGATAAAGGTAAAGGAGCTAGAAGTACTGCAGGCCAAGTGCGGTGACCAAACCAAGGTTATTGACCAGTTCACATCCCAGCTCAAGGCCACCGAAGAAAAGCTCTCGGCTCTTGACGCGCTTCGGAAAGCCAGTGCCGAAGGTAAATCGGAAGTGGAGAAACTTAGGCAGCAGCTTGAGGCAGCCGAGAAGCAGATTAAGGATCTAGAGGCTGCAAAGGATGCTGCAAGTGACAAGGTTTGCACCCTCACCCTCCATCCTCTTCCATGTGTCGTTTTCATTTTGCGCCGTGTGTTGTCTTTAGTTGACGCAGTTCATCCTTCACATCCCACATTTAGTGGAGACAAACTGCTCGGTGCTGCTCATGGCTTTCCCCGCGAGCATGGTCTCCCCCCTGAGTCTTGAGTCGTGGGGTGATTAGTAGCATTGGCCACAAAATCAAGGCGGCCAGCCTCGGGCCCTTTGCACGGCCACGTCTGTGGCACCAGGGTTTCTCCTGTGCCCGGCGAGACTGTGAGCTGCCCCTGCCCCTGAGGGCTGGGCTCGCGGGCTCTGATCAGGGAGCAGTCGGAGGCACTCGGGCTGCACTTCTGATCACAGAGCCTGTTGTCATCTTCACTTTTAAGGAAGGAAGATGAGAGTGTGGGGATTGAGCACGCTCCCAGCTCTCCTGCCGCTGGTTGACCTGCTGGCCATCGACGGTGAAAGTTCTGAGCTTTCAGCGGGAGAAGCCGCACCCTTGGCCGAGTAGGAAAGGTCCTGATGGTTAATGGAGGGAAGGACAAACAGCCCAAAATTGCAAAGTAACCAGAAACTAGTTACAGGAAATTGTTCTCATATTTCCTCACGTGGTTCCAAAATACCAATCAAAACACAGCACAGTAAGGAGAGGATGTCTAGCTAGCGGCTGGCCTGCTTTTTTCATCATGGTTTAATGAAAGCAAAGCGCAGGTGACTAGTGGTTGAGAGGACTTTTGTTTTCAATGTTGAAATCTTGAAGCATCACAAAATACAGACAGTGCCAGTGCAGGCCACACACACGTACCTGCCGATCCCATCTGACGGCGTGTAAAGTCTGGAAGAGGAAACCGCTCAGGTCACTCACCTAGAAAGTCAGTGTCCTAGACAGCCTTTCTGACTCAGGTCGCGCTGATGTTTCCAACTATTTCCAACTAATCCGTAGACAGGCCCATCTAGAACTGACTGGGGGAGTCGCTGGCTTGTCAAAGTGTGAAAAACCCAGCAACTTCTTGCCTTTATTCCTTTCAGTTTTGTTTGTTTGTGTGTGTTTCTCATACGTGTTTTACATGTTTTTTTTTTTTTTTATTTCCTCATTCTTTTCGTTTCCTTTTGTTCATTTGCTTGGCTACCATGTACTGGGGTAGGCTAGCAGCGTCACCACCGAGCTGCAGGGGAAAGAGCTGGCCCTTGCTAACCTCCAGAAAAGCTTGAGTGACGCCAGCCAAATGAAGGAGGCCGTGGAGAAAGAACTTCAGGTTTTGGTGAGTACCCACTGGGCGTCTGAATCTCAGGGCGCAGGCGCTGCCTGGCTGAGTGGTTCCTGGTGAGAAAAATCTCTGTAAAGAAAGGAAACCTGAGCGCTTTGCATTCTCCTTTAAAGTATTAAAGTAAGTACCCTCACTGGTCACTGCTGTGAGTACATCAGGGGCAGTCGGACCCCCCACTGGCAGTGAAGGTAGGTGCAGCTCCATCAGGCCTGCCCTTTGCCTGGGACAGCGCCCTTGGCACTGCAGTGACCGCTCCGTGTAGCCGAGCATGGGCATCCAGTCACGGGGCTGGGCCTCACATGGAGTGAGGTCCTGAGCTGTGCTTTCTCCTCCTCGCGTGGCGACAGGAGCAGCAGGCCGAGCAGGATCGCCCCACCCTGTGAATGGGGCAGGCAGGGCGCTGACGGAGTCGGACAAGTCAAGGATTCTGCCCTCCAGCACAGTCTGCTGTACCTCAGGAAATGACTTAACCCCGTGTTTTAAGACATTTTCTTCTTAGCTGCTCTCAGCCTTCTGGCTCCTGCATCAGGCATGAGCAGGGCCAGGGACACCCACACGGCAGTGCACAGGGAAGCCGTGGGCCGCGGGAACCGGGGGGAGCAGCGTGACCGGGAAGGCCATTGGCCTTGTCCCCCCACCACCACCCCGCCCACCGCGCTTCTGTGCTAACACCAAAGGTGAAGAGAAGTGTCTGGTTCTTTCTTATTTAAATGACACTTTTACCAGTTTTTACTTTTTTAAATGTTGGCTTTTGACGTGGTCGCTAGTGTCCACCTATGACCACAGACATTTAAATAATACAAAATAAAACCTGAAGATTCAGCTCCTTGGCTGCACCAGCCACGTTTTGCGTGTGGCTAGTGGCTGTGCTTTCCCGCCTTCAAGGGCAGCCCCGCTGGACGTTCTGGTATTTAGAATCTTTGCTACATTTAGGGGGAACGTTGGCCTGGAAATGACCATTTTGTGATTTGCTGTCCTTTAAGAAAATGTGTTCTGAGTTCCCCATCGTTTCTCTGCCCTCCTCCCCGAACTTTCAAGATGCCCAGTTTTGCACGCATCAGTGAGCGTTTACGTAAATCTCTGTGTACGCTGAGGGAAGAGCCGCCTACGTCTGGCTGGAGGAGTTGCTGAGGTGGGCAGCCGTGGCCTGTGCACCCACATTTTTATCGCCCTAGTTAGTTACATGTGCTCATCTAACAATTCCCTTGGTGTATCTACCTCAGAATCCATACAGGAAAATCAGGAGATGGTTTTATCTTGGCCCCATAACGTGTTCAGAAAAGAATACCCGGGACAGTGGGTGAGCAGTGGGCCTTTCAGCTGAAGAAGTAGTTGACCCAGGCCTGGTTTCAAGAGAGCAGCTTCTGGGGTCACTCTCCAGTTCAAAACATTGCAGCGCTCTGTTCAGTGTCTCAGGCACATTTCTGAGACGATCTGACCCTGAGGAGAAGCCCATCTGAGCGCGCGCGCGCACACACACACACACACACACACACTTACTTCTGCACATCCCTGAAGGTCAGTGCACACCCCCCAGGCACCTGCCTCCGCAGGCCTCATGCTCGTACTGCCTCATCCCATGGACGTACAGTGGTGATTGATGTCGACGTGTTTTCAGATAACTTTATTTTTAAAGCCAGCCACAGAAAGCAGACAGTGTTGCGTCCATGACTGATGAAAACTCTATAATTTGAAACCTTTCTGTTCTGAATGCCCCGTTCTTTCTTCTTTAGAAAGAAAAGTTTGCCGAAGCTTCCAACGAGGCAGCCTCTGTGCAGAGAAGCATGCAAGGTACGTCCTACTAAGCGCGTGCTGTCTGTGGAGCACGCGTCGGGGCTCCAGGTTGCGGACACGTGCTGTGAGGCAGAGGCACCGGGGCTTGGTTTCCTGTCCCCAGGCTGACAGCCTGCGGCGGCGCTGGGCTCCCGGCTCCCTGCAGCCTCACCCTCTCATGAGCGCCTTCTCCTTTTGACTTAAAACCTGTTCCGTATTAAAGTCTAAGCGTGCTTGGGAAAAGTATGCTCTTACATAAACTTCAGTTCTGGCTTTTTGAGTTTTAAGCATCAGGAATAAAGCGAACCTGGCAAAGGCATGGCTGCCACCACCTCCTGCACAGGTCAGGGAAGCGGGAGCTGCCAGCCTGTCCCCCTTCCCCGGGCAGTGCTTGGCTGCTAGGGGCGGTGGTATTGCCATGGCCTCCCACCTCAAGCCTGCAGGACACCATTCCCAGATAACTTATGAGGGATATTTATTAAACTTCTAACTTTATCCTAAACAGAAACTGTAAATAAGTTACACCAAAAAGAGGAACAGTTTACTGCGCTGTCTTCTGAATTGGAGAAGTTGAGAGGAAAACTGACAGGTAAGAAAACCTCTCTGGTTACTCAACACTAAACACAGTAGACTTTCTAGGGTCCGAGGCAGTCATAGGGAGTTCCAGTAGCATGTGCTGTTCGGGGCCTGATTCTTCACTCACTGTTGTGACTTAATGTGACGAGGCCCTTGCCTGAGCCATCCTCTTGCCCGCAGCACATCCTCTCTGCTCTGTTTTCAAAGAAGTCAGAACCCACCACGACTCACGGCTCCTGCTGCCATCCTTGACCCAGACGATCTTCTGGCTGAGCTGCTCTAACAGCCAGTCCCCCTTTCTGCCTGCCTCTGCCCTTGCCCCTTGGCCTTTTCTCAGCATAGCCCACAGAGCAATCCCGGGCCACCCAGTCATATAGCGTCTGCTCTAGACTGCCCAGGGGCTCCATCTCGCTCAGCGGCCCCATCATCTCTCTCCTGGGATCTTGGTTGCCCTTGTTCGTACCTCTCCAACCACATAGGCCTCCATGGTGATACTCGCATGTCAGCCTGTTGGTGCCTCGGGGCCTTTGCACTTGCTGTTCCCTCTGCCTGGTCCTCCTCCCCACGCCCTTTAGGCCTTCACTTAAATGTCGCCTTCTCAGGACTTATCTAATGAGGTGTTAACTTCCCGACTCCTTCCTAGTTCTGGTCTCTGCTTGTATTTCTTCTCACAGCACTTACCATTATTATCCCATTTATTGTCCTTATTTTTCTTGTTTATTGCCTGTCTTCTTTGTTAGAGTGTCATTTTCATGAGGGCAGGGACTGCCATATGCAAATGGGCCCAGCGCAAGTTCTGGCACATGGGATGCACTTGGTGAATTTTTGTTGATTATAACACAGCAACACTGCTCTTTTTTCTGTATATATTCAGATATGGAGGCAAAATTTAGAGAGAGAGATGAAAGAGAAGAGCAGTTGTTAAAGGCAAAGGAAAAATTGGAAAACGACATTGCAGACATTATGAAAATGTCAGGAGATAACTCTTCTCAGTTGACGAAAATGAATGACGAGTTGCGTCTGAAAGAAAGGTATGTTGGAAGGATGTGAGCTGGCGTCCAGTTCAGGGGAGCACGAAGCCTCAGGCTGTTCTGTTTCAAGGTTCCCGCCTCTCTCTGCGTGTGCTTGGGTCGGCTAACTTGCCAGAGGAGAATGGCGCCGCGGGCGCTGGGGACTGGATAGGGGAGGTGGTGGTCACTCGGGCCTGCAGGTCCGTGACAGGCACGCAGCGTCTGTCTCCCCTCCGTCCAGCAGGGTAATGAGGGTCACACATGTCATGGGCTTGCTGCCTGCCTGCGCCAGCAGACAGCTCTCCCAGGAGGGGATTCTCTAGTCTGGGAGGAGCATTATCACTCCCATCGTAAAGAAAAGCAGCCCCGTCTCAGGGAGGCTCAGTGCTGCTCTGAGGCTTCAGGCCCAGGCCTCTGGCTGCTCTGCTCACTGTGCTGTCCTCAGCCCAGATGCTGCTTTTGTCTTCATCTGTTTTCATCTTTATCTTGAGGTTCTTGCTGCTTTGGTTGTTTTTCTTTTAACATTGGCTGCCACATAAAAATAGCTGTTTTATGAGACAGAAACTTTCGGGGGCCAGTCTAGGGCTGCTAAACTTTGATTCTTGAAGTGTAAATTCTTGGCAAAGTCCTATTTACCAACTTCTCAAAGCCTTTGAGAAGTTCCACCGGGTGGGTCCCCACGACAATGGGGGGGTGTCCAGAGGCCCTGCCCACCCCGCCCCACCCTTGTTCTCGATTCACTTGTTTTCTAAATCGGCAATGGCCTTTGTTTTCCGTACACCTTTGTTCAGCGACACGGTTATCTTTAAGCAGAACTTCAAGGTAGTTACTGTCATTTTTACAACATCTTTTATGAGTTTTTGATAGTTTGCTAAAATTTTCCAACTTTCTCAATACTTATTTCCTCCAGTATGTTTCCTTTTCACTCATTTTTCATGATTCATCTGTGGACATATGAAGCTTCACAATTGCATTCGTTGTTACTCTAAATGTATATATAGCTGTCAGAATCAGCAAGGTCATTCTTTAGGACAAGTAGTGTTATTTCTTCCCACACTTCAGTGTTATTAATTACTTGTAACATTCATAATCACGAATGACACTAAAATCGTCAGTAAATCTTTTAAAGGATAGCTCTGGAATTTAAAGCAGTCTTATGAAAAGTCTGACGCCTGATATTGCAATGTGTTCTAGATGTGTAGAAGAGTTGCAGCTAAAGCTCACCAAGGCTAATGAAAGTGCAAGTGTCCTGCAGAAGAACATCGGGGAAGTCACTCTCAAAGCCCAGCAGAGCCAGCAAGAAGCGGCTGTAAAGCATGAGGAAGAGAAGCAAGAACTGCAGAAGAAGTTGGTGGACCTGGTAAGGAGAGAATAAATGGTACTGCCTGCTGCCAGGGGGCGAGGGGCCGGACAGTGGCGGCTCACGGCTTACTCCTCCATCTGGGACTGCAGGAAAAGAAGATGGAAATGAGCCAGACCCAGTGTCAGGAGCTGAAAGCCAGGTATGAGGAGGCCACCTCTGAGGCCAAGGCCAAGCACGATGAAGCCCTGCAGAGCATGCAGAAGGCGCTGCTGGACGCAGAGGGGAGGCTGAAGGCTGCCCAGGAGGAGAACGGCAACTTGTTGCAGGACATGGTGGAACTGAGGAAACAAGCCGATAAAGCCAAGGTAGGAGCAGGGCGGGCCGGGTGCTGCGGGACGGCTGCTGGAGCTGCGTCAGGGCTGCGGGGACGCTGAGGAGGCAGCAGCACAGGGCAAGAGTTAAGTGGCTGGAGCAGAGAGTCCTGAGGGAGTCAGTCTCCAGAGCTCCTTGTCCTGGAGGAGCTGCACTGAGTGCCCTCGGCCCCTGCTGCTCGGTCTCCAGCTGTCGCCCAGTCTGTGTTGCCTGCACCCGGGCCTGCCTGCATGCTGGAGCAGGTTTTGTGTTAGAAAATCTGCTTCCCTGATCTTGGCCCACCCACTACCCCCTGCACTGCCGGAAGGAGAGGCAGGTGGCCGAGGAGCCAGAGGCCCAGACCAGGGTGAGCTTGTGAGCAGGGAGGGGAGCTGGGCTGGCTCGGAGCTCTTGCAGGAGGGTGAGAAGTGCGTCCTCCAAGAGGGCATCTGTGTCTGCGGGAGGGTGCGGAGCCCGTGGACTGTGGACGGGACAGGAGTGGGCTCAGGGACTGTGAGCACAGTCTCATGTAGCACAGTAGACGCTGGCATCCTGAGTGTCACTGTCCATCAGGTGGTGTCTGCCCTCTGGTGCTTTTTGACTCTGGTAGCTTCATGAAGTTCAAGCCTCCCATGACTACGTAACCTCCTATTGCTTAAAGAAAAGTAAATACTGGTCGTTCTTTTAATGTGGCAGAGAAATGTCTACATAGAGGCTTAGCAGGAGCGCAGGGCCTTGAGTCAGTCTTGTTGGCGCCCGGCCCCTGGGAGCCTTGCACGTGTCTCTCGTGCTCCTGCTGATCAAGCTGCCTCCTCCCCATGCCACGTCTTGCTCACAAGCCACTTAATCCTGCATGTAATCACCAGGGCCTGTCTTTGTGGTTCTCTTTTGTCTGGACAGAGTCCAGTTTTTTGTTGCAGCCTGACTAGCCATAGCATTGTCTGTGGTTTGTGTGAGTCTCCCTGGTTCTGGTTGGTTTGACAAAGGTCCTTTGGTTACAGTCCAGGACTGCTTCCGAACCCCACAAAGTGCTCTAGATAGTTTCTGTGGATTTCAGTGCTTGTCACCAGCAGTGACTCGCAGGCTCCTGAGACTGATGGGCCTTCAAATGTTCTCCCCAACAGGGTGGTTCATGTGTACCCTCAACGAGTTTCATGTAAGACTTCAGGGACTTGGGACCCCACAGAACTCCCACATTCCCTAGTTAAGAGCCAATGACTGTGGCTCTACTGTTCAGTATGTTGCCACCAGCCAGGGTGGCCACTTAAGACAGTTAAATTTTAATAAAATGACAGATTCAGGTCCTCAGCCCCCCTCACTACACCTCAAGTGCTCACCGTGGCCCTGGCTACCATGCTGGACAGTGCAGATAAAGAATTTCAGCATCAGGCCTCCCCGGTGGTGCAGTGGGTTGAGTACAGTGCTGTGAAGCTGTCCGCAGCCCTGCAGCACGGGTTTGATTCCCGACCAGCCAGGGAGACTCCCACATGGCCTGGCAGACCTCTCCTGTCTCGCCCACTGCTCCCCTCAGCAGTGTATTTCATCAGTCTGCCTGTTCTGTTCCCCACTCTGTCTCTGGTGAATCCTCTCACCCTCCTGCACCTTTGGCCTGTGCCCCAGCTCTTGTATAAATAAATCTTTAAAAAAAAAAAAAGAATTTCAGGATAACTGTGGAAAGTTCTGGATAGCACTGGTCTAGATACTGTGGTTACATTGTTCTATAAGCCAATCCATTTTGAAAAGATAACTCAACTATTAAATGATTTGTGAATCTGGCTGTATCCTGCCTAGCTACTGCCAAACTAATCCATTTTTAAAAGAAAAAGAAGGTTGAGTCGCCAACCCTAGCTGACAGACCTGTGTGTGAGGATGCCCGGCAGGTGCGATCCTGCAGGTAGTTTCTGTCCCCTCCCCCTCACCTCTTTTGGGTCAAAACATACTCACTTTTTGTAAGCCTTGGAATTGTACTTTTAAAAATTCTGCTATGAATCCTTTCTATAAGCAAAGTAATGAAATAATTGGAATGGCAGAAAAGAATCTTATCCCTGATATCAAAATCAAACTTTGCCTTTTTCTCCTATCAGGAATAATTTCAGAAGCTGTTTCAAGTATCCAATAGGCCAATTATTAGCCCTTTGCAAAGCTAAAGATGCCTTTTATTGTCCTTGTGTGAGCTCCGTCTGTCCAGTTCCTTTCCCTTGTCCGGATGTTTCCTGTGACATTTAGTGAGACATCTTTCAACTGTTACAGTTTAGGTGACATTAGTTACCTGGGCTTGCATTTGTCTGCTTGACTTCATTTTTGTTTCCATTCTTTCCATCTTTTGTTTCTGTAGTCGCTAACCTATTTGTTAACATCAGCCAAAAAAGAGCTTGAACTAATGGCAGAAGAGCTGAGGGGGCTGAAATCAGAGAAGCAGCTTCTGGCGCAGGAGGGCAATGCTTTAAAGTTAGAGAAAGGTTCACTGTTATCCAAGCTTATGGAGGTGGAAGCCAAAATTACTGTGCTTCAGGAAGACCAGCAGAACCTGTGGTCAGTGAATGAAGCTCTTAATTTAGAAAATGAGAAAGTCTTAGAAGAACGGCAAAATGCTGAAAAGCTTTATCAGCAGGAACAGCTCAGTAAAGAAGTTTTGGCTGTTGAGAGAGAGAGACTACTCGAAGAAATCAACAGTGCACAGGAAGAACTTTTAAAGATAAATGTGGAGAATGAGTCTCTGCGAGCCTCCGAGGTGAGCCTGCACGCGCTAGTGGAAGAACTCCGGTGCAGCAAAGAGGAAATGATGGCTGAGTCCAGGAAGGCCCGGGAAGAAAAGGGTCAGCTGGAGGATCGTGTCAAGAGGCTCGTCAAGGAAAACCTTGCCTTGGCTACAGATAAGGACGAGATTATTGAGAAGCTTCAGAGCTCTTACAAAGAGCTTGTTAAAGACCAGCAGACCTTGGTGCAGGAGGTGGAAGACCTCACGGCCGAGAAGAAGTCAGCATTAGAGAGACAATCGGCTCTTGACCACATGTGCACAGCCCTCCAGGGGGAAAGAGACGGTCTTGCTCAGAGTAACAAAGACCTGCAGTTTGAGAAGGAAGTGCTGCTTGGAGAGCAGGAGAAACTCAACGCCAGCCTGGAGGCCGCCCTCCAGGTTCAACAGCTGCTCAGCACGGAAGCCACCAGTCTTCGCGCCCAGCTGGACGGCAGCAGCAAAGCGCTGAGGAAGGCAGAGCTGGAGGCGCTGCAGCTACAGGCCACCAACTCCAGCCTCACGAAGGTGCTAGAGGAGATTAAGGCCAGCCGGGAGATCACAGACTCCGAGTGCCTTCAGCTCTTGCATGAGAAAGAAACCCTGGCCTCATCTGAGAGGAGGCTGTTGGCGGAGAAAGAAGAACTGCTCAGTGAGAATCACCTCATCTTGGAAAAACTCAACAAGTGCTCCGAGGAGGCCGCCCGCCTGGAGGTAAGCCTGAACGAGAAGATCACGTACCTCACTTCTGAGAAGGAGATGGTTTGCCAGAAAATGACTAAGCTCAGAAGGCAGCATGAGAGTCTCTTGAAAGAAAAGTCTGTACTGGAAATGCATAATGGCGACTTACTTGGCGAGAGGGAAAATTCCATCAAAGCCGTAGGAGACCTCAGAAGGAAGTATGATCTGGAGTCTGCAAACAGAAGAATCATCGTGCACGAGAAGATGAAGCTGCTGGGTGATCTCGACACCCTGAGGAAAGAGCTCCAGGAGAGGAAAAAGGAAAACCGGGACCTGGCGGCCAGCAAGTGTGAGCTGTCCCTGCTGCTGAAAGAGGCTCAGAATGCCAGAAAGAATCTGGAAAGGGAACACACCAATGTAGTGAGAGCCAAGGAGAGCTTGCAAGCCGAACTCAAGACTTGCTGCTCCGAGAAGAACATCTTGCTGAGGGACGGGTTGAACCTGCAGGAAGAGTGTCAGAAATTAAAGGAGGAGACGCAGGCAGTGCAGCAATCCTTGGCCCTAGAAAAAGAAGCCAGAGCAAAGGAAAAGGAGGCATCTGTGTTTGAAAGCAATAAACTGCACGGGAGGACGTTGCTCCTCGAGCGGGAGATGGAAGAACTAAGGGTGTGCACTAAGGAGCTCCGGGCTGAGAATTTCACACTGATCCAAGAGAAGACTAAATCAGAGCAGAGAGTGGTGGAGATAATCCAGGAGAAGGAACTCTTGAGTGCAGAAACGGCTCAACTTGCTGCCAATATAGAGACGCTGAAAAGTGATTTTGCTGTCCTGTCCAAGTCCAAGCTGGAACTGCAGGACCTCCACAGCTGCCTCACCAAGATCCTGGACGAGCTCCGGCTGAACCACGAGGTGACCCTGGCTGACCGCGCCAAGGTGGTGCAGGACAACAAGAGCCTGCTGGCTGAGATCCGAGAAGTGACGCTGAGAAGGGATGAGCTTCTGAAGGAAAAGGAGAAGCTGGCCGAAAGCTACTTCACCCTTCAGAAGGAGATCAGCCAACTGGCCAAAACCAACAGCCACATTTCATCCAATCTCCTGGAATCTCAAAATGAAAACCGTATTTTGAGGAAAGACAAGAGCAAGCTCACTCTTAAGATTAGAGAGCTCGAGACACTTCACTCATTTACGGTAAAGTAGGAGGTTCAGGTAGACAGCACCCGACTACTAACAACACACTAACACCGCCGCGGCTGAGGTGTGTGTCTTCACTGCCATGCCTGGAAATCACCCCATCTAATCAGTCGCTTACCTGTCTCCAGCTGTTTGTTACTACTTGAAAGGGCAATTCTTTACTAAATTGCTAACTGCAGTAGTTTGGGAAAAGAATTGCAAACTGTGAATAAGAAGGATATAGTTTTTGATTAATTAAGGAGAGATTTTCATGAAGAAGCCAACTGTATTTCTTAAAGGCTTAAGAGCAATGGTGACAGGGCGCTGTTGCATAAATTAAAACATAGTATCTTTCATTGGCTTTTAATTATTAGATTGTATCTATTTGGCGTAGAAATTTTCCCTGTGAAATCTTCCATTAGTAAGTAGGGAACACAGACTTGCTATCAGCTTTATTTGACTGCATGAAATTGTCAGCAAGTGCCTGAAAAGATTGTGATTTATTTTTATGATTATTTTTCTCCTACATGGATTTGTCTGTAAATGCACATTATCTTTCTTATTCACAGCCATGTTTATATTCATTCTCCACAGCTCTTCTTGACTCTTCCATTCAGTGCTTCTCATGAAACACTTGAGCCCCACATGAATATTTGCCCAAATAGTTTTAATTCTATTTGAAAAATTCCAAACCTGAATTCTGAGTGACTTCCAAAGCCTCAGATTTGAAAATGGCAAGAACAGCCTTCTAACTGTGCTTGAGAAAATCCAGACACTGATGAGCTTGACCTTGGAGCCTGTCCAGGAGGATGTTGGTGTAGGCAGGGTGGAGAATGTGTTGAATGCATGGGTTACAGTGGGCTCACTGAAAAATGGCATGAGAAGGGTCTAATTTTGCTCTACTCCAGAGTAGAGGCCTTTCCTGTTGTGTCCTGTGTGGGGTGGGGTTGGTGACCAGGTCCCCCCGGCACTGAGCCCCACCCGGCAGCCCAGGGAGGGGTGTCCCCCATCCTCACGGTGCTTTCTTGTCTGTTCAGACGGCTCAGACAGCAGAAGACGCCCTGCAGATAATGGAGCAGATGACCAAAGAGAAGACGGAAACTCTGGCCTCCTTGGAGGACTCCAAGCAAACAAATGAAAAACTGCAGAATGAAGTAATCAGATTTAAATGGCTTTTTGTACGAAGGACAGCTTATCGACTCCACGGAATATTTGATCACTAACTCAGGATTGTTTATTTTTTGAAGCGTAGTCTCATGCAGGTTTGGTGTATGCAAGTGGAATCGAATGTGCACCAGAACGTGATAATATTAAATAAAGCTTATTACTTCCTTCTTTCTTAGTAGGAGAGACCTTTTAAAAATGAGGGGGAAACATTAAGAATGTGACGTCCCCTGATAATTGTTCGGCAGTAGAGCTGATGAGGCTGGTGATGGCCTCGGCTCCTGTAGCTTTAATTTTAATTTAATTTAATTTTAATTTTAAGTCACATACATTATTTCCCCTCAACTTTCTCCTGGCATTAGGCTGCTGAGTTCCATTCCTCAGCCCTAGCTCGACAGAGGCCCAGTTCAGTACCACTTCCCTCCCGTGTTATCTTGATTGAGTCGCGTTTGGGTCTTAGACAAATCTGCAGCATCAAGATAATTTTGGTTCCATCCACAAGTGGCATTTCTCATCCCTGTACTGTTCTTGGGTCGCTCCCCCCCTCCTCTGAACTCAAAGCGACCCTTTCTTTGGAAGCTGCTGCTACATGCTCAGCAGATTGACTTGCTGAAATAGTTGTGTGAAGTTTTTTGCACTTGAGACATTTTTTTTTAAGTGCGAGGCAGGTAAGACATGGAGGAAGGAAAGCCAGCGAGGACACGGCCACGCTGACTAGCTCCCGTGGAACTAGGCCTTCTCACTGCGGAAGGCCAAAGAAGGAACTCTGTAAAGGCATGAAATTTTGAGATAACCGTAAGGTAAATAAAACTTAACAAGCAAAGGAGCACCTTTGTAGGATGAGAGAAGGCGGCGTAAGGAAAAGATAGGAAAGTGTTAAAAAAACACAGATAAAGCGGCCGCTTGAGTAGAAGAGCAGATTTGAGGGTAGGTCTCTAACCTCTGAGGACAGAATGTGGAGTCTTACCTACTTCCATAATTTTCCCCTTAGTGTCTTTCTTAGGAATTGTTTTTTGTTTTTCTTACTCTGAATCTGGACGGGAAAGGGCACTGAAAGGAAGACGGTGGTTAAGGCCCTTTCTGGGCTCCTAACTGGTGACACGTGGCCCCGCCTGAGGTGCTAACTGCACAAATCCCCCAGGAGGCCAGTAGGGTGACCCGGCCGCCCCTGCCCTGGACACCCACACCTAGCTGGGGAGCACCCGTGGAACCCCACCTCTCCCCGCAGCCCATGGTGGCTTGCACCCCCCTACTCGGGTCCAGCTTCCCCACCAGGAGCTGGGCCTCCGGCCACTGCACCCCCACAGGAGGCCACGGGCTGTGCGGTGTGAGCGCTTTCCGGTCTCACATGTGGCTTTTTCTTTTTCAGATCAAGGTTCAAATGGATAACTAAATCTTTTCCCATTTACTTTTTTTCTCATTCAAATCTCTTTTGTAATGAGGACAATATAAATTTGGTACCAATGTTGGAAAAGACCGTATTATTATTAATTTTTTTTTTTGTGGGACCCTCGCTGGCGACCGGGGAACGAACAGGTGCTGCAGAGGCTGCGGGCAGCCTTGCAGCCCAGCGCTCAACCGCTGGGCCACCAGGGGAGGCCCAAGACCATATTATTATTTTTTAAGTGGGTTAGAAAGGGGGTTCTTCTCATTATAAAGAATAATCCTTGCTGATTATTTATGGATTTTTTTTAAGATGCTTCAACTGGAAAATTGCTAATTATACATAGGTGAGCGGGACCTGCTTATTTATGTAGAAGTTCCGCATGCCATTTTGGCCAGGAGTACAGGAGCTGCCTGACTAAATGTTAGGGGGAGGGAATGCAATTTATAAAAGATTTGGTCACCTGTGATTTCTTCTCCCAGGTGACTTTTAATTTTGATTTTGCAAGTAACTCATTTCTCCTCCCTTTTTAACATGTATTTTCATTTATAATTTGCCTTTCCAGTCTTGTCTTTGGAAAATGAAATAATTTCATCAAGTCTTTTTCTCTTGGTCTTTAAGTTGGATACACTTAAAGAAAACAACTTGAAAAATGTGGAAGAACTGAACAAATCCAAAGAACTTCTGACTGTGGAGAATCAAAAAATGGAAGAATTCAGGAAAGAAATGTAAGTTGAGCTCCTTTGAGGGAAATTATGGAATTTGTTGGAACTCACAAAAGTGAACAGTGCCAGTTACTTAAGAACCACTTGACAAGAACATAAAGTAAAATACTCCTGCGGACCTGAGCGCCCCCACCCTTCCCACACAGAGATGTTAGAGGAACAAAGTGAAATAAGCCTGGTGATGGGTCAGGACACAAGGGGGGTGTGTGTGGCCACATGAACCCTGGGACCATGCACTGAAGTGGGAGCCTGTCACCGTGGCACCTGCCCAGTAGCCGGTCTTGACGCTGGGAAAGTCACACCCTTTATTAATACACCCCTCAAAGCCCTTCCCATGGAGGGGCCTCCCTGGTGGCGCAGCGGGTTGAGCGCCGCTCTGTGAAGCTGTCTGCAGCCTCTGCAGCGCGGATTCAATTCCCAGCTGGCCAGGGAGATTCCTGCATGGCACGGCAGACCTCTCCTGTCTCCCTGCTGCTCCCCTCAGCAGTGTCTTTGGTCCGTCTGCCTGTTCTGCTCCCTACTCTGTCTCTGGTGGATTCTCTCACCCTCCCATGCCTCTGACTGTACCCCAGTTCTTGTATAAATACATAAATCGTGAAAAAAAAAAAAAAACCCTTCCCATGGAGAAAAAAGAAAAAAAACAGCATGTCACTTTCAAGATTACCAATAATCTTGATTTTCAGAGTAATCAGATCATCTAGCATGGAAGTGGGGTGCGTGTGAAATGACATGAGCAGAGCCTGGAAAGATGCTCACTAATCCAGTGCTACTTCCCAGCCAGGCTGAGCTCAGGGCAACAGGCTGCCCAGGTTTCCTTTCTCAGCACCACCACTTATCCTTTAAGTTTGGGGTCATGGTTATTGATTTTTATCTGGATTTTTTTAAGGATTTATTTTATTTATACATGCAGGAGCTGGGGTACAGGCCAGAGGTGCAGGGAGTGAGAGGATTCACCAGAGACAGTGGGGAATAGAACAGGCAGATCCACTGAAACACACTGCTGAGGGGAGCAGCGGGGAGACAGGAGAGGTCTGCTGGCCATGTGGGTAGCTCCCCGGCCGCGGATCGAACTCAGGCCATAGAGGCTGCAGATAGCTTGATAGCGCTTATCTTTAACCCCTGCACCACCAGGGAGGTCCCTTATCTGGCATTTTTAAACTGAAAAAATTTAAAATCTCTGAGTCTGGTGAATGTTTCAATATGTCCATCACGCTAGGTCCGGTGAAGCTGGGAGGGACATGTGCTCCTGGCCCGCGAGGGTTTATCATTTTCTTCCAGGTCGGGCCAATCCAATAGTTAAGATTTAAACAGAAAAAAAGCATCACTTCTAAACTGCTCTCTTAAGACATCATCCTCAATCCTGTTTATTCATAAAGCTTGGATTAAACTAGAAGGCGAGTGATACTTGTGTGATACTTAACACAGTGAGTGATACTTAACACAGAGTGATACTTGCCAAGAGGGATTCGGGTGTCAGGAGAGACCTCTTGCTGTGTCCCCGCCTCCGGGCCCTCTGGGTCCTCTGGGCTGTGCTGGGTGACAGAGGGGCAGTGCTAGGGTGGACCTGGCCAGGACGGTCTTGGGAGTTGGCCCCTCTCCTGCAGGGCTCCTCAGGAGTCTTTTGCGACAGCCCCTTTGGGTCTGGTCCTCGCCCGCTCCAGGCCCTTGGTGTAGGGTGGTCTCGCTCCATTACCAAGAAAATCATTTTTGTGCCCCCTTCACTGAATGAATAGTAAACACTCTTGCCTTGTGCTACGGGAACTAAGCACAGGGAACCGGAGACCGTGGCCCGCTGTGGCCCCTCGCTCACTTGCCTGCCTCGCTCCCATGCCCTTCCCCAGAGCGTGGGCCCTGCGGGTGCAGCGCAGTGGGGAGGACCCCAGGATGCCTACCTGCCAGCTTGAAAACTGACAGTCTTTTGTTTCCTGATGTCTTGTCATGTAGAAAGAAAAGTAGCTCAAAAATTTGTTAGCAGTACATTTGCAGGTATTTCCGGAATCATCCCTTAGACTCTTTCCAGGAGCTGGGCTATCAGAGCCTCCTCCACGCACGGCCCCTCTGTTCTCAGAAGCAGTGAGGGGGTTTCCGTGTTTGAGGCACATCTGAGGTCTCCGCCCGCCCTCGCCCCGGCTCTCTGGCCCCTACGACATGCTGACTTTGTGATTTGGGCCAGATCTTTGCCTCTCCCCCAGCTTCGGTGTTCTCGCCTTTAAAATAGTAATCATGACGTTAACCTCCTTGGACTTTGAGGATTAAGTGAAAAAGTGTACACGAACACATTTTGCAAATCTTGAAATAGTAAATATTTGTTAAATCAATACTAAGAGGATCTTTTGATAATTCTTTGACTCCTTGTTTTGATTTTTCCTTATTATGGACTGTTAATAGAGAAAGCAAGGATTTAAGAAACTTAAAAAAAGAAAATGTTTAAAAGGGAAAGAGCAGGATCACAGATTTATTACCGACAGGCCACAAATGCTGTGTGAAGGCAGAGAACCCAGAGGTTTTGCTTTCGATGATTTCATAAAATGAGAGATGTAAAATCTCATGTGTCAAGAACTAATGAACTTTGACCCAAAGATGAAGTTTAGCTGGTGTGTGTGTCTCTGTCTGTATTTGGATCCATAATTAAAATCAAGCCTCCTAGCTTTTGAATTTCTGATTCTGGAAATCCCTACTCAGTTTTTTCTTCACTTGCTAAATGAACATCAATGTAAAATCCCTCATTTAATGTACTAGAAGAATTTTTGTACAGATCTATCCAACCAAGTCTTCCTGACTTTCTCCCAGCGTGCGTGCCATGGGTGGATGGAGAATTAGAGACTAAGGACTCGGAGGGGACCGCGCAGCCACCCTTAGACAATGGCAGTCAAAAATAGACATGTTCATGCAGCACGGATGGGTTCACACCCACTGACTCGATTCAGAATCCAGCCACCGGGACAGGCCGCTAAATGCAGTTTAGCCAGCACAGACTTCAGATTCATAATCGCATCAAAACCTTCTAGGGCATCAAACTAAAATGCAGTGATCAAATGCTTGTAATACCCTCATGTAAAGGGTCATAATTTGGGATATGCATTTTGGACTAACTTTAGTTTTGGGAAGATGTCTAGTGAATGTGCTCATCCCCCGTTTCAGTGCTGATGTTCGTGATGCAGGCCAGCGGGGCTCTGTTCTCACTTGCTCCCCGAGTGTAGGTTAGTGCAGGGGGATGACCTTCCAAATAAAACACCTGGCACATAATTAGAAAACTGCATTTTCTTTGGGCATCCCACCTCAAGTTGTTCTAAAAATAGGTTCAGACTCACGCCAGCACCTGACTCTGATGGATACTGGCACATGGGACGATCAGATTTTCACTTGTTGGGAGAGACGCACGGCAGATCGGGGCAGTGAGAGCCGCGCGCCTCGGCGGTGAAGCCTTCGCCAGCGCAGTGGGCTGGCATCTGACTCCCTGGTGGGCAGTCCTGGAGAGGATTCCTGACCGTTTCCATCCATCATTTATTTTATAGTAACATCGCCGTCACTGTGGGGATGCTTGGAGCCGGGTGCTTGTGGGCGGTGAGAGTGTGCACAGAGCGCTCATCGGGTTTAAAATAAATGTCATCGCTGGGGGCGACCGGCCCCCACCAGAGGTCAGCGCCGCTTGGCCCCCGAGCCCGCAGGCCACAGCGCCTCCCAGTAGAGTGGATCCTGTCAGGCACGTGACCCAGATATATTTTCCTCTGTGCTGTGAAGCTGGTCGTCTCCCACAGTTTCCTTGCCTGTCTTGTTTCTATGGTAACCCTGCGCTCACTGTCCTTGCAGAGAAACCCTAAAGCAGGCAGCAGCTCAGAAGTCCCAGCAGCTTTCAGCGTTGCAAGAAGAGAACGTGAAACTTGCCGAGGAGCTGGGGAGAAGCCGGGACGAGGTCTCCAGTCATCAGAAGGTCAGTGGGCCGGGCCGGGCCGCTCTGCCGGGCCTGTCCCTCCCGGCGGCGGTGCCGGAGCTCCGCCAACGGGCGGGTGCGGGTGGGTGGTTCCAGTGGGAGCCCAGTTACCTGGGTTATGTGTCTCCTTGTTTTTAAGTGGCTGCGGTAGCACCTGGGGGAGGAGTGAGCGGGCAAGTGGAAAATAAAATCTTTGTGAGATGACCTCATACCATGCTTTCAGACGGGCCGGGGTAATGCCTTCTCCCTGCACTTAACTGCTTGGATTTCAAAATGATTTTTCCCATTTTCCCCCCATCAAATTTAGTTTGAAGGAAACAGATTCCCAGACCATTGATTTGGTGTGAGGGTCAGTTGCTGGTTTGAAATACTATCATACTTTTCTTTAAATTAAAAAATTCAAAGGCATTCCCTGGGGTGTGTCCCTGCGGGGTGCGCCTGAGCGTGGAGGGGCCTGCGCTGCCCGTTTGCGCCTGTTTTCAGACAGCACAGGCTTCTGGCAAGTTGGCCAGACCTGGAGCAGAACTGATTTAAGTGGAGACTATATTTTGCTTTTCATCTTTGACACCTGAGCCAAAGTGCTAAATAGCCAGCCACATCTGACCTCAGAGAAGCAGCTCAAAATGCAGTTTTAAGCGAAACTTCCTATGCGGTCATGGACCCTGGTGGGGCACTTCCAGGGGATGGTGTCCGCTAGGGTGGCTCTGAATCCCCACTGACGGGGTACAGTGGGTGGGGAGCACTTTTTGGCGAGTTGAATTCAGACTGTGAGGCCTTCCCATTGACTTTTCCACAACTCCCTGACTGCGAGTGAGGCCACGTCCCTCCGGACTCTGGGGTGATGCTGCCGCTGGGTTCGGCTGCTCAGGTGTGCTGGCACTCGCCAGTGACAGGTACAGGGAGGGGCAGTTGTCTCTCTCAGTCTCCACAGCACCCCGAGATGGCACGGCTGTTGCCCCTGCCCCTGGCAGTGGGGAAACGGAAGCAGAAAGAAGGCAGTGACTGGCTTAACTCAGCTGACAGTGTCCAAAGATGCTCGGTTGCTTTCTGGCTGGGTCCGGGAAAGACTCGAGGCGTAGACCTAAGTGGTGCGGTGCCCCCCCTCTCATTGCCCCCTCCTTTCGTTGGGGTGTGAGACCCTGGAGTTCTTGAGAAACAGAGGCCCTTTGCCCCGAGGGCTTCTTCATTTCCCAGCACAAACTCTCCTAAAACATCGGGCGCCTCTGACAAGGGAAGTGCTGTCACATTCCCCGGCCTGTTTGATCTCTGCTCATGAGCCTCTGCAGCGAGGGTGGGTCCCCAGCCCATGGACACACAGAGGCTGCCCTCCCTGCTCCTGGTGACCTTGGCTGGAACCTCCCTGGAGGCTGTAGGGCGAGGCCTCCAGGCCCTTCTCTCCTGCACATTGGGATGTGAATTACCATGCTGCTGAAGAGACTTTGAGAACAAAAACGTCAGAATCAGTGACTTCGAAGGGTGTTGGAAAACTGCCTTGAAGAACCACCAAGACAGTGACTTTCCCTTTAGGAGCGGGGTGGCCTGTGCTTACTGGGGAGGATGGCGGCGTGAGCGGAACCATCACCAGCCTGGCCAACAGAGGCCGGGTGTGGATGCCATGGAGGACTCAGTGCCTCCCTGCTCGGCACCCCTTCCAGAAGAGTGGACACCAGCTCCTGTCTCAAACAGCTGAGTGTAAAGAATACGGGTTGATTTTTTGGCTCCATTTCTCATATTGTACAATCTCCAAGAATCCAGAGTCCCTGTGCTTCTGAAAAATTGTGAATTTTCACCATGTTCTTTTTCACAGTCCAGCCAGGTGGTCAGCTGGTCACGTTCAGAAGCATTGGCAGTGTGGGCAGAAGCCTCGTTGTTGAGCAGGAAACCATCATGATCATAGTGTAGGACAGCAGAGGTGCGGTGGACACAAGCTGGTGGGTGCTGACCAGGCCAGCTCTGTCCTGCTTCGCCACCAGCCCTGGGTTCCCTGACGTGTGCAGAGCCCGCAGCCCCTGCTGAGTTGGCCTGTGGATGGGAGCTGAGGCTCAGAAGCGGGTGGCCTCCAGGACTGAAGCGGGGCCGAGGGGAGGCGCTGTCCTGCCCTGGGGATGAAGCTGCCGTCTCTGACTTCGTAATTCCTGTTACCAAGATACAAAAAAGTGACCTCTGAGCTGCGATTGGCACAGATGGAGTCAAACTGTGCTGTTAAAACACCCTCTCTTCTATTGCTTCTTCCTCATTCAAATATTTCTTTCGTTCAGAAAACCCAGGACTTCCCAGAGTCTGTTCTGCATCCTAAAGGTCTTGCTGCCATTATTGGCTTGGGGTGTCCACTTGCTTCATCACGATGGCTGTTTTACTTCCTGTTCATCATTTTTACCTCACAGAATAAGCCTTTCGAGGTTTCTTACCCCAGCTCTCAGGAGGCCGGGACGCAAGCTTATGTGTCAGCATGAGAGTGCCCACCTCTGGGGCAGGGCCTTGTGGCGCGTCCTCTGAGTCTTGCTATAAGCAGGTGGTGTAGACAGTCCCGGGGCTGAGGATGGTCAGGAGCTGCACTAGCTATCTCCAGGTGAGATGGTACAGTTCCCGTTCATTCGACTGTGCCCCTCTGAGGAGGTGCTTTTCAACTAGGGGGACTTGTGTGACCTCCAGAACAGCTAGAAACTGTCTTTGTTGTCTGCTTCCCTGTTAGGCCTTCTCTTTTCCAACCAAAACCATCTGTGTTGCCACTCAGGTGGGACGTGTCACTTCAAGGGGGAGGGGAGGACAGAATTGGCGAGAACTGCAAGAGGCAGACATACTGGTTCTGGCGCCAGCAGTGACAGAATCATAGAACATCACACAGAAGTGCCTTGTGAGAGGCTGAGCCTGTTCTGCTGGTGCACGTGGGTCAGCCTGAGAACAGAGCTGGCCGGGGGGCTGGATTCTGAATGCTGCTGTGGTCACTGCCATCGTGTTGGCCTTCATCTTCTGTCTCCTGCTCGATGGCCTGCTGGTTCTGTGCTGGGGTGGTGGGTGTGTGTGTCTGCACATAACAAACTTCTCTGTCTTAACTATTTGACTATGTATTTAATGCACTCAGTGTTGGGTATCACCTCTGTCTAGTTCCAGAACTTTGTTACCACCTGTACAGGAAACCCCATAGTCATTTATTTATTTTTAAAGATTTATTTATGCATACAAGAACTATGCACACAAGAACTGCATACCCTGACTGGGGTACAGGCCCGAGGTGTGGGGGGTGAGAGAATTCACCAGAGACAGAGTGGGGAGCAGAACAGGCAGACGACAGAAAACACTGTGAGGGGAGCAGTGGGCAGGACTGGAGGGGTCTGCTGCCCCATGTGGGTAGCTCCCTGGCCAGGGATCGAACTCATGCTGCAGTGGCCCCGGATTGCTTCATAGGTTGTGTCTTAACCCCTTGTGCCACCAGCGAGGCCCCCCAGGGCCATTTAAAGAGTCCCTCTTCATTCCTCCCTCCTCTCAGCTCCGAGCAGCCACTCTTTCCTGTGTTTAGGTTTGCTTGTTTTGGACACTTTCTATCAATGGAACCATCTGCTCCGTGTGCTTTTGTGACTCGCTTTTTTGTTTATACTTAGCTTAATGTGTTCAAGATTCATCCAGAAGGGAGGCATTCTTTTTCCTGGCTGAGTAGTATTTTATTGAGTGGATGTACCATATTTTGCTTATTCATTTGCTTCAGCTATTTTAGGTCTCTTTTTTCCTCACAGACAGTTGCCTGTCCCTCCTGAAGTCTCTGTCCTGGCCTGTAGCTACTACCTCTACTGCCGCTCTGGGGGGGGAGGGCTCTGTAGCAGTGCTCGATGGCCCACATGCTGAGGACACGGCACAAGGACCCTGCTGTTCTCTGTGAACATCTGGCTCCAGCCCCACCCACACGCTTGGCTCTCCTCCCTCCATTCTCCACCCCTCACCTCCGCCACCCCTTGCCACTCAGAGCTGGGTTTCCCAGCTCTCCCTGCCCTCTCCCCGGGTTATTCCCTCACTGTCTCACAGAGCTGCGTCCCCAGGTCTCTCTGACCATCCTCAGGACATGGTCTCGGGCCGCTGCTTGTGCTCCTCTCCCCAGAGACGATGAGATAAGAGGGACTCATGGAACAGTGTGGAGTTTGGGTGAATGAGTACCTGGGAGATGAAGTGAATCTCCTTTATGGCCTGGGCCTTGGGTCCTGTTTTATAGAACAGAAGGCAGAGGCTTTGTAGCTAGGCGGGGGCGCCCGGTGCGCCAGGCAGGTCGTGGGGCCCCGGGTCAGTGAAGCCGTGGCTAGTGGAGTTCTTTTCCTGGAGATGCTAAAGATAGCCACAGTGATGTGGGTTCTGTAGAAATGGTCACCTTTGAAATACCTGATTTATCGTTCCCAGACCTCACATGTATCGGCCGGTAAGGATGGCAGACACTGGGCGCTGTCACTATGGAAACAGTGTGGCTTTTCCCCCTGGTTATTTGCAAAACGAGGTTACAGCTTGCAGGAAACTGGACAGGGATTAGATGACCTGACAGCTGCATTTCATCAGCTAGTGGGGTCTCGCTAACGGGGTCGCAGCAGACGCAGCATCCAGAAAACTGGGCTCATCCTCGAAGCTGGTCCACAGACCACTGCCGCCTTTCCAGTAAGCTCAGCCCCGACACGCGTGAAAGGGGAGACTCGACAGCGTGTCCTGCTTTGCTTTGGAGCCGTGGTGATCATCAGCCTCCCAGTGTGCATCTGGGCTCTGGGGCTGCCGGGCGGGGAGCGCTGGGGGCGGCTGGGCCACAGATGTCTCCCTTGATATGTAATGAATGCACTTTTTTGCCATTAAGAAACATTTCCAGGAAAATCTGGCAAAACCAATTGACTTCATGCTGTAAATGTTCAAATTGACAGCCAAGGACAGAAGCAAACTGTGATGTGACGTTTGACGCAGTGCTCCCGGCGCTCAGAGCAGAGGATGCAGGGAGCGAGCCCCCAGCTCTGTGCTCTAACCCGCCCTCGGGAGCCTCGTCCCTTTGGGGAAAGTTAGACTGAAGAGGTGAAGGGGGATCCCCAGGGAAAGCTCCGCAAGGCTAGAAGACTCTGGTCACGCGGGATCTAGCAGAGGCAACAAAGGCTGCTGGTTGTCTTTCCATGGCTGTTCTAGCCGGCAAGCTGTGGCCTGGGTAGCTGTGCATGTGGTGGGGTCTCAGCTGGGGTGGGGTGGGGCCGGGCACTCAGGAGAGCCTCCAGGAACCCCCTGCTCTCCCTCCTGCTCTCTGCCGCCTCATGTATCTTTTTCATGCTCTCGCAGGCAGCTGGCTTCTGTGCTGCGCAGCTTCCAGGAGGGGCTGGGAGCGGCAGGTGGGACCAGACAGCGGCCTTTACTCCTGTGGTTTTGTCTTTTCATTTGGCGCGCAGAGCTCAGCTCTCTCTCAGTGTGGCCGCATGCCCACTGCCAGTCAGGAGCGAGGCTGGGTCTCAGGACGGGGAGGGGCGGAGGAGCTGAGAACAGTGGCTGTCGTTGTCTAGGGCTGAAGGCCAGGGCCATGTCCTCGTGGGAACGGGCTCCCCCCTCAGGTGGCGTGACCAGGTGGCTCACCGACGGAAGGGTCCCGGAGGGCCTCTACACATCCGTGCCTGGCAGCGCTGCCCTGTCCCGCCTCTGGCTGCGGAACCGCACAGGCCACGCTGCCCGGCTTCCCGCAGTAGTTTGGAGGCGAAGATTAAAGGCGTCAGATAAGTCAGAAAGGTGCTGGGGAAAGGTCATCGGCATTCCGAGCCAGCGAGTGGGAGGCCAAGGTGGAGCAGCCCATCACGGGCACACGTGGCACCAACGAGGAGCAAGAAGGAAACTAGGGACCCACGAGAGGAGGGCCCTGGGCCACGAGGAAGCCCAGCCCATGGGAAGGGCTTCATGTGTTTGTGAAACTGAAGGGATCTCAATAAACGGGCCCAAGAGGAAGTGATGGAACACCACCGGAAGCGGCACAGAGAGAAACACTTTGAGACCCAGAACCACTCCACATCAGACAGATTCCTAAGAGCAGCAGATACAAACATCTAAAAATAGAAAAGAAAAACCCAAGCAAGTCAGTGGACACAGGAGGAGGCCGGCTCTGAGGACAGAGGTCACCAGTGAGCGGCCCTGAGCAGAGGACTCAACCAAGGCGCAGGAGGAGCCGGGGGGATCATGGGGGGATCTCTTTGAACCCGCAGACGGGAAGGACATGGATTGTTGTTGTGGGTTGTTATGGAAACCTAGCAAGTGAACCCAGAGCTAGAAATTGATCAAAGCAATTGACACCAAAAAATAGCCTGGTTATTGTTGAAATTCAAGTATGTAGAAATAATTCTTCCAAGCACGCAAGCAGATTCCTTTCAAGAAGCCAAAAACCTGGGCGGGGGGTGGGGGGAGATTCCACTGCAGCCACATTCAGTGCCTGAGAACTGGGGCTGTCTCCAAAGTTCTGAGAACATGAGAAACGGGGGAGAAGCAAGGCCGGCAGAGTGGACGTTGGTGCTGGCCAGGTGACAGCCTGGCCACCCGGGGGCTCGAGCTCAAGGGCCCTTCTAACTTGTCCCCCAGTTGGACTGGACAGCCAGTCCGTAGCCCCTGTTGGTCAGCTGGTCGCTGGAGCCGATCCATTCTGGGGAGAGAGTGTGACCCCGGCGGAGGCGCCTCAGTGGGCCTGGCTGACCGCCGGCGCTCCCTGCAGCTGTCCTCCAGGCCCGCCCTGAAAACGGGGTCCAGGCAACACGTCACTATGTCCACCCCTCTCCACTGAAAGGGCTCCTCCTCCTCCTCTTCCTTTCCCCCCATTCCCTCCTCCACTTCTAAGAGCAGAAGTCTGTCTGTCTGCGCGTGGGAGGTGAGACTAGAAATCCTCAGACAGGGCACGGTGAGCGTGTTCTGGGCTGTCAAGGTAGAGCTGCTATTTTGGACCGCAGAGCACTTGCTTGGAGAAGAGACAAAGAACCCAAATACAAACCAGTTGGCTGGGGAAGTCTCGAGGAAAGAATCAGCTGAGCGTTTGTTCGATTAGACTAGTTCAGCAGAGGCCTCGTTCTGTGAGAACCCGGCTCCCGAGAGCCTCAGTGTATCACCCCAAAGGCACATCCTGGCATGGTCACACTCTGCCGTGGCCGCTGAGCCTGGACTAGGTCCCCAGCATCTCAGAGGTGAGGGAGAAGCAGCGGGCAGAGCGGAGGGAGCCTGCCGTTCCCGCAAGGCTCCCCACCATTGGTGCTGCTGGGCCAGCAGCGGTAGGAGTTGTGCCTGATTCCAGGGCTGGGGCATTTTTAAAAATTTTCTTCGCATTCATTTTCCTGCCTTTTGCTTTTTAAACATGTCTAAATATTTCTGTGAATTGCTCTTGCAACCAGAGCCTCTATCGCGATGCCCTAGGAAAGTGGCATCTAAGTGAGAAAACTACCTTAACCTTGAAAGAGTTCATTAATAAATGTGATTTTTATGTGCAAGACATACATGTGTCTGTCTATTTAAGAACTTTTGAAATCTGAAGACCTTGTAGCCAGGCACGTACATAACTGATACGTAATCAGAAATAAGGCTATTCACGCGAGTAGCTTAAATCCAGGGTTGCTGGAAGCATAGTCTTTGGTATTATCCTTTGATTAAAAAATACCACCCCCACCCCCTACAGGAGCATTCTGTCAGCCCTTTATCTTGCTGGCAGTGGGACTCCGCGTGGCGCAGGCCGGGGTGGACGTGCATTTCCTCTCTCATGGTCAGCTGGACCCTTATGCACGCCCCTCCACAGAACAGTGGCATTTTAGAGCTAAAGGGGATGGGACTTCTTCTGAGCCTCTTTATTCTGTAGGTGACAAACAGATGCCCAGGTGTGGAAGGCACCAGGTGAGGCCCAGGAGGAGGCCGGCCTGTTCACAGCCCTCCTGGGCTGCTGTTAGTGACCCTTGACCTCTGTTGTTTTAACGAGGGAATATTCACTCATTCATTTAACAAACACCTTTTGGGGCCTTCCTGGTGGCGCAGGGGTTCAGTCTCAGCACTATGAAGCCACTGTGGCAGGAGTTCAATCCCCGGCCAGGGAGCTGACCCACATGGCGCAGCAGACCTCTCCTGTCTCCCCACTGCTCCCCTCAGCAGTGTACTTCAGTAGATCCGCCTGTTCTGTTCCCTGTTTTGTCTCTGGTGAATCCTCTCACTGCCCCCACACACCTCTGGCCTGAACCCCAGTTCTTGTATGCATAAATAAATGAAAATTTAAAAAAAAACACCTTTTGAAGCCTACGACCTGGAAGGTGCAGGCAGCTCAGGTGTTGTGACTTTAACTCTCAGGCCCATGAGGAAGGGGTCATTTACATCACAGAGTATTTGTAAACTAAGAACTGTGTGTCCCATGAGCAATGTCATTTGCTTTTCTCTCACCACCTGTGAGGCTCGACTCGTGTAACAAGAAGGCCTCTCTGGATTGTCACACACTGAACTTTGTGTTTTCTTTTTTTTTTTCAGCTGGAAGAAGAGAGATCTGTGCTCAATAATCAGTTGTTAGAAATGAAAAAAAGGTAGGTCTCTTTTTTGTGCTTCACGCGCGTGTGCTTATTGTGTGTGTTTAGCGTATGTGTGTTGAGTAGAAAGTTAGAACCTGATGTGTCCAGTGACCTGCAGAAAACATGTGACCACCTCCTGCTCAGAAAACTGCCTCAAGGGAGTTAGACATGCCCACCCTCCAAATCAGGGGCACCCACTTGCGCAAGTTTCAGCAGGAATCACCAGCTCAGAGGGTGGCCGGGTGCTCCCGCCTTAGCCTGTGGCCCTTTCCAGAAGTGCCTTGAAACCAGCTGGTTTCCTCTTACACCCTGTCACCTCCTAGTTTTAGTAACTGAAAATACTCCAGTTTTTACATCGAATCATTGATTTGCATAGACACACTGACCTCAGCTATATAAAAATTATATTTTTTTAATAGTAATGGGTGCCACTATTTTTTATTTGTTATTCTTTAAAGATAAGCAAGTGATAGCCTGGTGGAAGCTTCCCGGAGCTTTAGTGAGGATAAGCGGGGCCTGATGGGTGTCCATCCCGTCGGCTCTTCCGAAACGTGCTGGAGAAGCCTGTGTATTTGCACCGTGTGCCAGGCCAGCTCCGTGTGCACGGCCCCTGAGGGCGTAGCCAGTGCAGGGGCTTCTGAACAAGACCAGACAGGTGGCCCGGCACGCTTGCTGGCGTGACATCATCTTTCTAAAAGCAAAACTGAAAATAAACCTTTAAGAACGGCATAATCAAGACCTCCACCACACACCTGCAGGGCGCTCATCCCTGTCAGGGCAGAGGACGTGGCCCTGGCTGACCACACAGGAGCGCTCCACACTGGCGGGTCCCCTCCCCAGCCAGCAGCTGCTTAGGGATTGAGGGCCCCATCAGCCTCCATCCAGGGCTGCTGCTCCTCTTTCCCTTTTTTAAATCAAGTCTCACACCAGAGGGCGTGTGCTTCTCCCCACGGCTCGGAGCACGCACCGTGCGCTGTGGCTGCTGACACCCGCCGCAGTCTCACTCCTGTGGACAGCACGGCCCTCCCCGTGAGCCTCAGACAGCAACCTCACACAATGAGGCTTTGTTTCTTTTCAGTGAGCCTCAAGCATGCAGCTACCAAGGGCGTGTGAGCCAGTTAAACAGGCCTCACTCCTGTGGGATCTTGGCAAGGGCCACCGCCCAGGAGGGGCTGCCTTTGCGGGGCCCTCAGTCTGGGCAGCACTTCTCACTCACGGGAACAGCTGCCCTGGAGCCACGCGGTGACGCTCACTCCCAACCACGCATGCGGTGGCTTTATGGGAAGGTGGGGGAGGGAAACACAGGCGGTTAAGGAGAACTGCTGTGAAAAAGTGGATTATCACTAAGACCAGTAATGCAGGCAATATAAATAGACGCTGTGGTTTAGGAAGATGGAGGTATATATCAACAGGGACGGCTGAAAATGTCACATTGGTTAAGTCTGGAGGGGGAGGAAGATCATTGGCTTTCCAAATTTAAATTCTTTTTGATTCTATTTAAATTTTTGATTCTATTTAAATTCTTTTAAATTCTATTTGATCTTTTTAAAAATTACATGCATGCATTATTTTGATTTAAAAAAAACTTTAAATAAAGACATAGTAACATTGCAAGATATAAATTAAAAAAGTCAACATTAGGAAAAATAAAAACAACAACAGAAAGACCAGAGCAAAATGACTAGGCCCCCAAACCCCAGCCGACGGCACAGGTGAGCCGGCCCCTATGGCGGGAGAGGTGGCTTATCCATGCCTCCTTGCGCATGAGCAGAGAAAAACAATTTCTGAATAAGGTAGACCTTTGCTTCCTTTGCTCTAAAGTTGCTCATGGAATGGGCGGCACCATTGCTGCCTCGGTGACCAGCACGCACCCAGGGCTGCTGACGGGCCTTCCCACCTGCTCCTGGGATGCCCCCTCACTCTAAGTAGAGGTGGTTTGGGGCCCCGCTTAGAGAGAGCTGAGAGGGACTGCAAGTGGAGACGGGCCCCCCACAGCCACGCAATCTCTCCTGCATGTGGGTCTGTGCACTGTGATGGACACCAAACGGTCACAGACTGGGCGGCCCAGGCCTCTGTGCACCCCCTTCCCACGGCCAGTGCCCCTCTCCTCGGCCACCCGGGCAGTATCACAGGGCATCTGACTGAGAACAGATGCAGGCTCCTGTGCGCGCCCCTGCACACAGTAGGTGTTTTACTGGGAAAGGCCATGCAGGGACTTGCACCATCCCACAGGACAAAAAAACTGAAACAGACACTAAAAAGAAACCCAATAGGAAACTCAATAGGAGGCCAGAGGTGTCCAGAGCATCCTAGGAGACAAAAACAGGACCTAAATAAGTAAATGACCCACCCAGAGAAATCTGTGGGGTGGGGGCTGCTTCTGCGGCGAAGGGGGCAGCCCCGGGGACAGCGGCTCAGCCAGAGCCCGGGGCCGACAGCAGCGGCGCGGTCTGGGGCTCGGGCTTGGGTCGTGTGCTCTGCATTTCGTTAGTTACTGCTCTTAAATCTCTTTTTGAAAAGAAAGATGCTATGATCTGCTCGCATGTTAGGTCCTGGGTATGCTTAGGAGAATGTCTCTGGAAGATTCCTCTTTTGATCAGTCACTGCAGATCAAGATGGGAGTGAAAAATTTAAAAACGGGTTTCTTTTAATTGACTGTCACGTGAAGTCGCGTCTATTTTGGAAATATGAGCACAAATGCACGCTCGCGAGTGACCAGGGCCCTGACGTATCCTATAAAATGTCAGCTGGTGAAAGATTCGGGCGTGGGTCCTGGTGTGATAGTCAAGTAAATGTTCTTGCAAGAACTACTCTGAGAGGCTCGCAATTTAAGCCTGGAAAGTACTTAAGTCATGAGGACATTCTCAACTCAGTTGCTCGTGCAAGAACTGAGATGGTGGCAGGTCCGTGCAGGAGCAACGCAGTCATTTAGTGCAGACAGCGGAGAGGGCGTCCTTCCCCGGCCGCCGGCGGGAGGGCAGGGCCGCGCTGCTGAGGACGACCGGCGGCTTCTGCCCTCCTGTGTTTCGCTGTGGGTTTGGTATCTAAGCGTTTTGTGGCAAGGGGTACCTTGTAAAGTTCTCCTCCTCCTTTAAAAACGTAATCATCATTTCCTTGGAAAGCTGGTCTCCAACTTAGGCAAACTTCTTTCGAGACCGGTTCCGAGGTGCCCGCTAGATGGGGCAGAGCCGTCCCGCCGCGGTCACAGGCGTGGGGCGCGTCCTCTGACCACGACCCCGGTGGCATCTTTGGGCACTTGTGTGACTTCCCGCCCCGCCCTAGGAACTATGTCAGTGTCAGTGCAAGGTTGGTCAGGAGTGGAAACCGGCTGCCGGTTACGGTTCTGAAGCGGTCACGTGCTGCCTCAGCCCTTTGAGCTCACTGGGTTGTGACTGTCTGTCTCCGAGCCTGCGCTACTTACCAATGCTCATTTCACCCTCTCTTTTCCCTTTCCCACTCTTGCTTCCCTTGCTATATCTGTGTGTCTTTAATGGTAAGACTAAAGAAAGTCTATCCACGTTATAATAAATAAATTTCATATATTTTTAGTAAATCAAGTTGTTGTATATATTTTTTGGCTGCCTTTGTCCCTCTGTGTCTTGCTTTTGTTTTGTAAAATATTCTCAGCAATACATGCACTCACACTCACACACACGCACACACACACACACACACACAACTATGTACAACAAAGAACTTCAGAACAAATTTAGTTCTCCTTACTGTATTTGCATTTCTCTTCATGTTTCTAATATTTGGTTCTTGTTATCTTGCATTTTTAAAGCTTGCCCAGTAACACTGTAAGGTATTTGCTTCAATACTGGAATTTATTTCTTATTAAGTAGTAAGGAAAGAATCTGGGTAACAAGTGCTCCCGTGGGGAAAGATTTGTGGCCCCTGTAGCCTTTCTTTCATCTTATGTCCAGCGTCCCTTCTCTCTGTTTCTAGTCATGCCAAGTGTTCGAGCCGGAGGGCGAAAAGTCACAGGCCCTCCTGTCAGTGGGTCTGTGACTGAACGGCAGCGACGCTGGGGAAATTGGAGGGTGTAGCCCTCTGGGTTTCTGCAGTGGATTTAAGACTTAGACGGTAAAGATCTGTCTTGAAATGAGCTGCCAAGGTCTGTCCATCTTGTCATGTGGTAAACAGAACCCTCGCTCGGGCCGTGTGCTGGACGATAAGCAAGGATGCCCAGACCCCTCCTCCTGCCTCGACGGTGCCCCCACCCCCGCCCCAGGCCCACCCCTCAGCTAATTGGAGTCTTCGTTACGGAGTCTTCTGTAGTAAAAATATGACAGTTGCACTTTTCAAGTTTGAGTTGAATTTATAACAGGTGAAAGAAGCTCCTGAAATACTTTTTACTATAGAATAAACTATGAAATAATTCAAGAGAAACTTAAGGAGCCCAGACTTACTGCATCTTTGGATAACATCAGATACTTCCTTTCTAGGTGGAAGAAGTACTGCTCAGTCCCCTCATTAAAATCTTTGTTTTAGCCTAAACGAGATCCTTTTCCCTAGCAAGGTGTCACTCACTCAGTAGCTCAGCCACTGGCGCCCGCCCCTTTCCAGTGCACATACAACCCTGGGGTGTTGAATCCAAGAAATTTCTGTAAGTCTCAGATTCTTTTCTTACTACTTAGCACTCTGGGGTGGAAGTGTAAGCCACACGATGAGATAAATACAACACTCTAACTTTCATCTTGCCAAGAATTTCAATTCACCATAAGTCACGAGAACTCTGTGATTCGTGTGCCGGATATCTTGGGTCTCACTAACCAGACATACGTTCCGCCATTTCTAACCTGGGCCTCAGTTTCCGATCTCAGTTTCCAGTTCTAAAACACACTGAGCTGTTGCGCGCTCCGCCTGCTCCCAGCCGCTTCTGTAAAACCAGGAGGGTGACTCAGCTGCAGTTACAGGTCCTCGCCCGCGACGAGCGTCAGCAACGCCCCATCCCGGGTTGTGTGACCGGAGCCCTAGCTAGGAGGGTTTTCTCGAGTTGTGTTTTTCCCAAATTATTTTTGTGATCCAAGGGCCTTAGTGCTCGTTTCACACTGCATGTAATTTTTAAAAAGCTTTCTTGTAAAATAATTTTAGATTCACAAAAGAGTTGCCAGGCAGCCCGGAGCAGCCCCCACCCCTGCCCCAACCCTTGTTCCCCCTGCTGTGGATGTTTTACCTTCCATGGGGACAGCAGGCATGGCTTAGCGCCCTCAGGCCAGATGCAACTTTACTCAGATTTTCCCACTTTTCCCACAAACTCTCTCCCCCAGGATCCATCTAGGAAACCATAGCGTTCAGTCGGCCTGTGTCCTTAGTCCCTCCCACCCGTGACTGTGCCTCCATCTTTCCTTGGCCATCAGGAGCTTGGCTGACAACAGAGATCTAGACACACGCAGGAGCCCGCCCCGCAGGGTTGTAACTGTTGTATCTTCCCTCCTCCCTGTCTTCATCCTTCCATTTCCCCACTCCCTTGACTCAAGACCAGTGTCCTGCTCCCTCTACTGAAAATCAAATGCTGAGTTGGGCAGAGGCATAAACCGAAAGCTCTGGCTCTCTCGCCAGGCCCCCCTCTCCTTCCACACCCCAAACTCCACCTGAACATTTGTGCACCTCCGCCTTTGTGCGACAACCTTTAATTTCTATGAGCCACTTAACGTCCTCTTCAGTGTCTGTGGATCAAGCTAATACCTTTTCAGTTTGAATCATGGTGATAACCTTTGCTACTATTTTGGCCCATCAGCTCTCAAAACCACACTCTTGGAACTTGCTAAAAACCACTGAAATTAGTGAGAACCAATCGATACTTCCAGCATCAGACTGCTCTGCATGACATGTCCATGTACAATCGCTTTGCATGTGTGTATTTTAATCATTGTTACTGCCTGGTAATAATTTATTCGAGAAGTAACAGAATTTACTGGGGGTTTGATTTTTAAAAGAATTCTTTGGGGTGTAAGTCTTTTTTTAATTCTACCTCTTCTGAAGTTATTAACTTGTTTCTTTAAATTGAAACGGATACAATAATATGCAGATTTGGCATGTCTGTACATAGGTAAACTTTTTCCTTCCCTCACAGTAAGTAAAATTTTGCAAGCATACTGGCCTTCACCCCTTATAAAACTTCCCTGTGAGACTTTTTTTTCTTTACATTAACCAACGCGAAGTGCGTGTTTGTTCTAGGACATTTGTCCACTGACCTCTGTCTCGGTTGATTTCTGGAATTTTTAACTCTTTGGTCTTTTAGAGAATCCAAGTTAATAAAAGACGCAGATGAAGAAAAAGCTTCCTTGCAGAAATCCATCAGTATTACTAGTGCCTTACTCACAGAAAAGGATGCAGAGCTGGAGAAACTGAGAAATGAGGTAGAGTACCCCCTGGGCCAGCACCCCGCCCCTGCAGCCCCACAGGAGCCTAAGTGACCACTGTGTTTCAGGTGTCGGTGCTCAGGGGAGAAAACGCCTCCGCCAAGTCCTTGCATTCGGTCGTCCAGTCTCTTGAGTCTGACAAGGTGAAGCTTGAGCTCAAGGTAAAGAACTTGGAGCTTCAACTCAAAGAAAACAAGAGGCAGCTCAACAGCTCCTCAGGTAAAGCCCTGGCCACTCGGCTGCTCCCCAAAACCCTAACACCAACACCCCAACACTGACATCCAGCTTGCCGCTACCTGCTATGGAGCTGGTGTGGTAGGGGTGCTCCAACCGCTCCTTCCAGCCTTGACTCTCCCACTATTGAGTCAGGTCAGTGCTAGCCACGACCCAGGCCCCACGCACTGGGGCACCCCCTCTGGGCTTCCTGGGGCCCTGGGTGGCAGGTGACAGTACCACCTTGGGTTCTGACAGGGTACAACTGCACAGGGTGCAGGGCCCCCCAGTGGGAGAATGACAGTGCTGCTTCAAGCCCCATGACAAGGAGGGGCACCCTGGGGTAACCCGGGGGTACCTGTACCCCTGCACTCCCTCAGGTACAGAGGTATAATTCCATGTGAAAATGAACTCCTAACTGGCCTTTTCATTGCAATCACAAGGGGAAGATTGTGATTTCTAAATCCCTGCTCCTCTCTTCTTTTCAACGAAAGGTAATACTGATACGCAGGCAGAGGAGGACGAGAGGGCCCAGGAGAGCCAGGTAAAGCCCCCCCCTGCTTTGCTTCCTTGCTGTTCTTAAAAATCATGTAACATTTGGAGGAGGTGATATAGTTGAGGTCTAGACATTAGACTTTATTCAAAATCTAAGCACTAATCTTCTAAACACTGTCTCTTTTCTGCTCAGTTCTCAAACCCTCGCCCCAAACAGGTAATCACTGTTACTCGTGTCTTTTTTTATCTCTTCATGGATTTTTAAAGAATGTATATACGAGTCAAGACTAGTAGTCTTTTCCTTCCTTTTTTGCACATTACAGGAACTAGTCTGCACTTGCCTTGTTTGCAGTTTAAAGTGTCCCATTTTGTGGACATGGAATCGCTCCTGTCCACTGCTGCGGCTTTGGGTGTCTCTGATCTTTGGGTGTTTATCTAACAATGACACTGGACAGCTGTCATTTTGCAGATACACTCATATTTCTCTAGGATGAATCCCTAGAAATAGATTTGTCCTCTCAAAACCTTACGTGCTTACCTTTCCCTTATAAAGATGGAGTTCTAAAACCCACATTAACAAGTGGCCTTCATTTCAAAAATGGGATTATGTGGAGCAAACTGTTCCATATCTGGAGATGCAATTCTGTATGTGCAACTGACACCCACCTTCATTGTTAATGATACATTGGGATATTTTTACCCTGTTCCAAATTCAAAGGCACAAGTGTCACCTTTCACTTTGAAGTAAGAGAACAACTCGGTGGGTTTGAGATCAGTTCTCACTACCTGACATCTCCTTCGAAAGATGGGGAGGGACCAGCCAATGTACGAGATATGCCGAGAGCATGTCTGCTTAGTCTGTACATGGAATAAACACTTAACAGTGTTTTTTTTTTTTCCCCCTTTCCTTTCTGCTTCCGTTTGTTTCATCTGCTGCTGCCAACATTTTTCTTCCAATCAGCAAATGGTTTGTTTTCTGTTTCCTAATTTTGTGAGCACGTGTGTGTGTGTGTGTGTGTGTGTGTGTGTGTGTGTGTGAGTTTTCCCACTGTTACCGGTGTCTGCGTCTTCCTGAAGTAGAGCTCCCATCAGGCTGAATCCTTAGACAATGTACTTCAGAGAAGCGAGAATAACCCTAGTGGGTCTGCCTGCACTTTAAGGGACCTTCTGCAGGGAAAGACTCGTGATTGCTAGCTTTGTTTGATAACTTGCCTCGGCAGGCAGGAAAGCAGTAACGAGTGTGTGGATGTGTGTGTATACGCAGGCTTTAAAAAATATAGTAAAGTGGGGTTTTTGGTGGCTAGTTAGAGAAATGAGACCTTTTTATTAGCTGTGGAAGAGGAAGAAATCTTTTTTTTTTTTTTTAAGTTAAAGTGCCCCAGGATGAGAATGTCCAGTCTAGAGCCTTTCCTCCCAGTGGCCTCACTGTCCTTCCCCCACCCCTGAGCCCAGGTGGTCCTTCCACACAGCAGCGGCCACCCCAGCCCTGTGGCTGCAGCCTAGAGGGGGCCTGTGTCGCCTCAAGACTTTGTTTTCTCCTGGACTCATTTACTTACTGCCCCACCAGGACCAAGTGATGTTAAATTAATGGTTTCAGAACCTCCATGCAGCTTTTTTAAATTTTCAAATATAAAAGTCCTGAATTGGTTCTAAAGTTTGATGAAACTAATTATGCTTTTTGTAAAATTGTGCATGCGCACACGCGCGCGCGCACACACACACACACACACACACACACCACCCCACCCCTAACCCCCACCACTTACAGCATGCTGTGTTCCAGAAATACAAGCTCACAACTTCTGGAGAAAACAGGACTTTTTTCCCCGTTGAAAGAAATGCTTCTTATGGTTTTCAGTGAATCAGCAGCATTCCTCCAGCCCACAGATTATGTACATTTTGAGTGCAATTCCATTTTCCACAGTAACAAGAGAAGCTTATTCATTTACAGCTGAAAGCACTCAGTTTAACATGTGTTTTCCACACAAGACAGCCTCTAAGCAGAAGGCTGTTAGATACTTTTGGAAGATAGAAAGGGGAAGATGCCCCCAGAGTGCCACTCCCTGGGCATTTGAGTCCAGCTCTGTGGTAGAACCATCTGGGCTCTGCGCTCTGGCAGGATGGGGGGCCTGGGTTCAGGGTGGAGCTGCACCCCTGTCAGACCCTGCAGGCTGGGCGGGCCCCCAGGACTGCTAGGTGCTCTGGGCTTGCGCTTCTGACGTTTCACACATGGTTCTGGTTTTTTTCGGTTTTGTTTTTGGGCAAATCAGATCGATTTCCTAAATTCAGTAATAGTGGACCTTCAAAGGAAGAATCAAGACCTGAAGATGAAGGTGGAGATGATGTGCGAGGCCGCCCTGAACGGGAACGGTGACGACATCACGAACTATGACAGGTACCAGCCCCCGCGCGCCTCTGGACAGGCCTTTTTTTTTTTTTTTTAATTTTTTTTTAAGATTTATTTTATTTTTATCCATACAAGAGCAGGGGTACAGGCCAGAGATGCAGGGGGGTGTGGGGTGTGTGTGTGTGTATGTGTGTGTTCACCAGAGACAGAGTGGGGAACAGGCAGACTGATGAAATACACTGCCGAGGGGAGCAGCGGGCAAGACAGGAGAGGTCTGCTGCGCCATGTGGGTTGTTCCCTGGCCGGGGATCAAACTCGTGCTGCAGTGGCTGTGGTTAGCTTCACAGGTTGCGTCTTAACCCCTCGCGCCACCAGGGAGGCCCTGGATAGGCCTGTTTTTAAGGTGAGGTTCTCGGCGTGTTCCCTGTGTGTATCCAGTGAGTCACGAAGGAGCCCGCACCTTAAAAATAATTAAAACTTTTTTAATTTGTTAAAAAAAAAACTGGACTGGGGAAACAGTCTGGAAACAGGCGGGAGGGAGGCGGCGGCACCCCACTGGTCAGGGTCAGATCCCGAGGCCTTCACGGGCGAGGGCGAGGCCGGGCCTGCTGCCCGGGGAGAGCGCACTTCTGATTTTCTGCCTTTGCGTTTGCAGCGACGACCAGGAGAAACAGGCCAAGAAGAAGCCTCGCCTCTTCTGCGACATCTGTGACTGCTTCGACCTGCACGACACGGAGGACTGCCCCACCCAGACGCAGGTGTCCGAGGACCCGCCCCACTCCACGCACCACGGCAGCCGGGGCGAGCAGCGCCCCTACTGCGACATCTGCGAGGTGTTCGGGCACTGGCCCAGCAACTGCAATGACGACGAGACCTTCTGAGGCGCTGGCCGGGCCTGAGCCCGGCGGCCCCCACCAGCAGCAGGCGGACTTCGGGACAACCTAGGTTATTTTCGACCCCGGTCAGCAAATCTAAGAAAATATTTTGCTCGTTCACCAATCTCTCTTTTAGCGTCCCCTTATGAGTTATAGTAATAAATGCTTAGTAGGTGAGTTTTTGCACCTCTAAGTTGGTTGGTTTTTAAAAGTTTGGACAAATGTTGCACCAGATGCCGTTATGTTTCTTCTCCCTAGAGAGCCCTCCTAGAACCAGCCCTCCCTTCAAAACACCTTATTTAAGTAACTTTAAATTATGCCGTTACTTTTCATATTTGCACTAAAATACTTCCAGGCTGCATTTGTATATTTAGGTTTTTGGGTTAAGCTTTGACACTGGAATGAGTTGGAAAAAAATGTGCCATTTTGCATTTTCATCTGCTCGTTTAAAGTATTTCATTCTAAATCAAAGAAATATCTGAGCTCTTTGCACTACCTGATGTCAAAATCATGAAACAGGTAAAGGGAGGGGAGAAGCCCCCCGAAGTGGTGTGGGGACGTTTTATAATTTACATGCTGCACCCACTTGCTCTGCTGTGGCGTTTTGTTGATTGGTTTTGCATAAGTTCAGCTTCTATATAGGATATGTATATATTTTTTAAAGATCTCTATTTTGGAAAAAAGTACATAATGTGTCATTCTTTTCAGATTTTTACTTTTTTGAAAAAGGAAACACTTAAAATGTTCATAACAGCCTAGGCCAGAAATAGCATCATATGACTTTGCAACTTTTTTCTTCATTGTTTCTTTATAAGTAACTGGGAGCATTTTCTCCAAAGTTTTTTCCCTTCTCCAGCCAACATTCCCAGCAGCCAATTAGATAATAAGCCACTGTAATACACATAAATTAACCAATCTACAATCTTTACAAGTTTTTTTACTGTATTTTTAGATGAATGTATGATGAGAAATTCAACATTAATAATTTTGAATTTTCTTATCACAAAAAATAAATGAAGGACCTCAACCATCAGAAATTTATCAACCAGTTTGAATCTATTTATCTTCATTTGAATGTCTTCTAGACTATGTAAAAAGTAATAAATGTATCTTCCATGGTACATGTATAATAAGAACTTCTATAATTGTATATATGCCTTCGATGTATTTTCCCCACAAGATTATCAACTGTGTGTTTGACAAGTGAAAAATCTGTATAATCATTTGAAACTTTGGGTTATAAATGTAATAGGAATCGTTTCACACACACAGTATGTAAAGCAGTATTAAAATTTGAGCAAACAAGTGTTCTGTGTCTACTTTAATGAAGGTGATTCTTTTTGCCAATAATAATAACTGGTATTCCCGGGTTTCTCATAATGGTTTTCCTTCGTGTGAACAAGCACTGCTGGTGCAGCTGGCTGTTTCTACTGCAGTCCTGCCCATAAATAGCTTTAAGAGTTCAGTGTTTCCTCAGCCCAAATGCCCAAAAACAGATGACTGGATCAAGAAGATGTGGTACATATACACCATGGAATATTACTCAGCATTCAAAAAAGATAAACACATGCAATTTGCAGCAACATGGATGGCGCTGGAAGGGATCATGCTCAGAGAAATAAGCCAGAAAGAAAAAGAAAAATACTGGATGGCCTCACTCATAGCAGGAATCTAGAAAACTTTAATAAGGGTCCAGGAAAATGAATAACTATAAGAATCAAAATTAACAAAAAACTATGAACCAGAGACACTATATGGGGAGTGGGGGGTGGGGAGGGGAGGGATTGGAGTCAAAATAAGGGGATTGCAATTGTATGGGGAATATAAAAATAAAACTTATTAAAAAAAATGTTAAACCTTAAAAAAAAAAAGAATTCAGTGTTTCTTTGTCCATGCACGACCCATTTAGCATAAAATAAACACCTAAGGTGTACTTGTTGCTAGAGCACGTTCTGCTGCCTGACAAAAACAGAAGTGGCACCTTGTATTACCAAATATCTGTTAACCCCTGAAGTTGTAGAGAGAAACAAAGTTGCGACATTGACCAAAATGATTACTGACTCCAACACCTGCTTTGTGAGCGCAGACTCCCCACAGGTAGATATTTCCAAAATGGAGTTACTAATCGAACAAAAACATTTTTACTTAAATAATACCTAATATTGTGTTCTTCAGTATCAACCATGAAGGCTTAAAAGATTCTAAACTTACTGTAGTCGTTTCACAATATATACATAATTTGTTGTACACCTAAGACTAACACAATGTTATATATTAATTATATCTAAAGAAAAAAAATGACCCTAAATTCCGCAGTATGTGGAAGGGCAATTACAAAAGTGCAACAATTTTCAAGCAGTGGGTCCTACACAAAACCTGTTGATCATCCTCTAGCAACCTGAGCCTGTTTGAGGGAGATAATTTATCATGCTGGTCTTGCTCATTTACACTCATGCATACATGTGTGAGATTTCACCAGCTTTGGGCATTTTTACCCCTTGCAGTAGCTTATGCTGTCATTTAACAGCTCATGGCATGTCCTGCCAAACTCAACGTTCTCACAGATGGTGCTAAAATAATACACATTCTCAGTTGATCAGATGCCTCACACGTGGGAAGAGTTTGTGATACAGGTTGAGAACCACTGTGAAAACCAAGGAGACCAGGAGAGGAAATCGCCTGCATATGTGGACACAAGTTATTTTAAAATCTAAATCTTTGGTAGAAGCATGAAGTTGGGAAAGGTGTGTGTGACTTACTGCTTTTTCATATATCCAAATTCCGTTTACTCAGACTCCATGGCAACTGCTTAGTGCATCCTTCACGACATGAAGAGTATAAAAGATGGAAGGGAACCAAACATTTTCAAGTCTCTCATCAGTTGCCAAATAGCCAATTTACACCTCAAAGCATGGAAACGCATCTATCATTCTAATAACAATAGTTACTTATTGAACAATTAAGCCCCAGGACCTTGCTAAGTCTTTTATATGAACTAGAGAATATCCTCTTGGATACAGCTCACTAGTAGCATGTGACTTTTACTGATGAAGCAAGTGGTGGTAATGGAGGCTTCACAAGACCAGAAACTGGAGGTGGGGGTAGAAATGACTAACGCCCTCATTAAACCAGCTACAGAGATGAAAAATCCGTAAGTGTGACCTGGAGATGGGGCTATGGGAATTGTCAGTCATTACAAAGGACTGCTATAAAAAACATCCGTAGGTGGAGATCATAAAATCTCGGGCCCTTTCAAACTAACCCAGTCACACCCTAAAAGTCAGGAACAATAGATAAAAATTTCAAAAAGGAATGAACCCCTCCGCTAAAAAGGAACACTGTCAGGACAACCTGCCTTGGCAAAACCCCTCCTTCTAAGACTGCCCGCCTATGTCTATGCAGGCAACTCTGACAAAGCTGCCCCATTCACATGCAGCTCCTCTGCCCGCTTGTGTCTGCGTCTTCCTTTTTTTCTAATACATTTGCCCTTTTGGATAGAACCTTCCCTGCCTGTGTCTGTGAAACAGCTTCATGGTAAGTTCGCCATGTGCTGCTGAAAGGGGAACTTGGCTGAAATTTTTCTCGCATAACCCAAGATCCCCGCTCACTGAACCCCAACATCTCATCAGAACACGGTCAGTGGGACTTGGACTGCACATCGGATGGTGTTTGTGTGAAATACCAGATTGCAGTAAAAATCTGGGACGAGTCAAGCAAGTAACATCACGGTCCCTCGGTCCCTTATTTTGGTAAATCTTAGCCCACAAAGAGCCTGAATTCCTGCAAAGCGGAAGCGCTTTTGATTGCTACGACTTAAAACCTCGCCCTTCAAGCGCCCCGCAAGCCTCATTTCACAGCGAGGACACCTGTGGCCAGGAAAGTTGAGAGTTATTTTAAAAGACAGGTTTATTAGGAAAATGAGCAAAAGGGAGGCCCCTGCAGAATCAAGTCGGCAGGACAGCTGCCACTCCTGTCTTACAAAGGAAAAAAAGTTTGTAGAAAGAAAGATGTGGAGATCTTTTAATCGGAGCCAGGGAGCTCCAGGCGGGGTCTTTGGCCTCAGCCCTCGGCGGGGAGGGCCGGGAACCCGCGGGCCCGCTGGCGCGGAGGGTGCGGCGGCCACGGAACCAGCGGGCGGAGCCGGGCGCGGCCCCGCCGGAAGAGAGCGCTGCGACGCCAGCTGAGCCCGGCTTCCGGGTTGGCGCCCCGCGTCACGTGGACGCGCTCTCACGTGACTTCGTCCCTGGGCCTCGCGCCGGGGCGAGCGGACGCGTTTAGGTTGGGGGCAAAAAGGGGCGGCCGGGCAAGATGGCCGCGCACCTGTCTTACGGGCGAGTGAACCTGAACGTGCTGCGCGAGGCGGTGCGCCGCGAGCTGCGCGAGTTCCTGGACAAGTGCGCGGGGAGCAAGGTGAGGGGCAGTTTGCGGCGACACCCCCGTCCCGGCCTAGTCCGGTCCTGACCGCTTGCACCCCCGGGTACGAGGTCCCCACGAGTTTTCAAAGAGCCGAGCAGGCGGGAGCCGGGAGGTGGGGCGCTTGGGGCACACAGTCCCGGGCCCGCCTGCCGTCTGTGGCAGCAGAAAAGGCCACCGTGACATCCCTTGAGCCTGTGTGTGCCAGATGCTCTTCATCCTCAGAGGGGCAGATCAGGTGCCCCCCCGAGACGCCGAGAGGCATGGCGAGATCCCGGCCCACGGATGTAGATGGTCCAGGCCCACGGATGTAGATGGTCCACTGTTCATTACAGTGATCATTCGTGTCGCACTTTCAAAAGTCTGAAGCACCGACATCTTTCAACTTCACACGGATTCTGAGAGTTCTTATTATTGGAGGGTTTCACTTAACCTTCCTGAGGTAGAATTGTGTCACCTGTCAACCAGCCCACCATGTGGTCAGAAACTATAGGTCAGGGATTTTTTAGGATTTCTTTTGAGTGGTGGTACCTCTCCCCGCTTCCCTTAGGATTTATCAGCCCCCCTAAGTTACTAGCAGTACAACTCTGAAGAGAAAAAGGAGCACTGGGAAAATTCAGGGATAAGTCTTAGAAAGAATAGAACCCTAAGATATAGAGTGGGTGCCAGCAGCCTGTGAAAAAAGATAAGCAAGTGATCTAGGTGCCCAGTTCAAACTCAGGAAATGATGCTGAACTCTAAAGATCATAGATTGCATCCATTCAAGATGCTGGGTCTAACACTGTCCTATATGGTTTTTTGGAAAATGGTGCCGTGGGGGAACAAATGTACAATGGCTCTCTGTAATCTCTCCTACAAATGAATGTTAATCAGCAGTTAACTCTAAAAATTTCCACTAAAAAAGGAAAGAAAAAGAAAGGAGTTGGAGGTTAGCAGTGGAAATGTTCATGGGGCCCAGAGCAACTGTCATTTAAGTCTAGGGCTGGAGTCCTGACTCCTTACTCCGCAAGTAACACCCACATTCCCCTGTATGGTCTTGGACTGTTACTTTAAAACTTTCTTCTGTCAAAATAGGAGATGTGATAGCTGTCTAAGAGATTTTCATTTTAAGAATTGGATTATATGAAACTTACATATGCGATACTAGGTTGATGATTGCCATTGGCAATTTCCTTATGGTTCAGTGTTATCACACCATGACACAGTTACACAGCAAATTGTAGTTCCTCACCTTCATCACTTGCCCTTGATGCTATTTTTCTTTAGACCCATAGGATATGAATGCAATCAAAATCAATACAAAAAATTTCTTAATTCAGAGTTTGAAGCCAGTATCCCTCCTATGTACACCTTCTGATTTCTGTTGCTATTGTTGAAATGTGTATTATCAGCTGTTAAATGGAAATGTCTCTCCCCTCTGTAGGCGATAGTTTGGGATGAGTACCTCACAGGACCATTTGGCCTGATCGCACAGTATTCTCTACTGAAGGTAAATAAGCTACCCAGGCTTTGTTCAGGGAATAATAATTCTGTACTTCAGCGATAACAGGGTTTTGCATTTCCTCTTGAGCAATGGCCTTGCAAAACTGTCTGATGTTTATAAACATACTATTAGCGCACATGATAGCATTTTGTATACGCCGGTCCTTTGGCAGGTGATTCTGCATTCATCTCATTCCAGGGGAATTGCTGGCGTGTGTCTATGGTAACTCGTTGTGTGAGAGCCTTTTCAATTCTGATGCAGTAGCAGTGGCCTCATACTAAAACTGCCCCATACACACCTGGTGTTGGGGAATCTAAATTGATGCTAAGTTACTAATGTGGATTTATTCGACTGGGAACTTAGGTTGTCTGAGAGTGGTCATGTTACTGGACTGGTGCTGGCAGGAGACCTATATGGGATAGATAAGTTTTAGGGGCTTTGTTAACCTTTTGTGTGTTTCCCTAGGAACATGAAGTGGAAAAAATGTTCACACTTAAAGGAAGTCGTTTGCCAGCAGCTGATGTCAAGAACATTATTTTTTTTGTCAGACCCAGGCTAGAATTGATGGATATAATTGCTGAAAATGTGCTCAGGTATCTCTCAGAGCTTATGGTTGGTCCAAATGCGGTTGGGCTGTCTAAAGGTTTAACGTTCTGAGCTCCTTACTGCAATGCCTTCTCTCCCAGCCTGTTGGAAGGTGGCCTTTGGAAGACGGGGGCAAGAGAATGGGGAATTTGTGAAGATCTTCAAACAGCTTGAAAGGGGGGAGTCGTCATGTAACCCATTCTTTTAGGATAGTTAAAAGTTTAGCCCTGCATCAATAACAGCAGAGAGAAAAAAAAAACCTCTGCTGCTTATTTTTCAGTGTATTGATTATAGTGTGCTGGAATTTTGTAAGCAAAATAAATAAAAGCTGATTAAAATTTAATACAGCTTCAGTCCATAGAGGAAGTGCTCCAGGCGCTGCACTCCTTGGGACGTTGATCGATGTCACCCCTAAAAGCTTAAAAGCCTGTTGGGGGAGTCCACTGTCAAGGAAACTAGAGGTGGAGGTGAGCTTTTGTTTTCATAGAGGACTTTGTGTCACTGCATTGATCTAGTTAAAGAACTATTTTCAGATAGACACAGACATCCTGTTTTAGTAAACCCAAAGCTTTTAATGCTTCATAAATGGCTGCAGAGAAACCTAGAAAATGCACCACAAAATACTGACTGCTTTCCTATCAGGGGAAGAAAAAAAGACAGTAACAGAGCTTATTTGGGTCTGGAAGTCGGTATGTTTATCTAACCAGCTTTTATTTAGTGCCTGCTGTGTGCCAGGCAGTGGGCTGGGCTCTGGGAATAAATTGAGCAATCCATCTGTGGCTTGCAGGACCCCATAACCCAGCAAGTGGCCCCTCTTTTGCAGTGAAGATCGACGTGGCCCAGCAAGAGATTTCCACATTTTGTTTGTGCCACGACGGAGCTTGTTGTGCGAACAGCGACTGAAGGACCTGGGCGTTTTGGGATCCTTCATTCACAGAGAGGAGTACAGCCTTGACCTCATTCCATTTGACGGGGACCTCCTGTCCATGGAATCAGAGGGTGCTTTCAAAGTAAGTCTGGCACTTTCTCTTCTAGTGTTAGATGAATTTTTGCCAAATGGATACATGTGATAGTGTCAGTGTTCAAACTTGTGTTTCCGTGGTTACTGGGAAGCTGAAGCTCATCGTGTGGGCTTACTGACGTGTATCGTTTTTCTCTTCAACATGGCTCGTTTATTTCTTTGCCCATTTTTTTTTTTTCTTTTTGAAGAATGCTTTGTGGTAATTAACCACTGTGGGTTACCAAAGTTGCAGGTATCTTCTCCCAACCTGGTTAGTCTTTATCTTTTAATTTGATGTTATCTTTTTTGTCTTTAGATTTATTTTTATTTACTTATGCATACAAGAACTGGGGTGTGGGCCAGAGGTGCAGGGGGTGAGAGGATTCACCAGAGTGGGAGGCAAAACAGGCACATCATTGCTGAGGGGAGCAGTGGGTGAGACAGGAGAGGTCTTCTGCATCGTGTGGGTCAGCTCCCTGGCAGGGATCGAACTCATGCCACAGAGGCTGGCTGTAGCTGTTAGCTCTGAGACGAAACCCCAGTGCCACCAGGGATGCCCAAACTTGATGAGATATCTTTTAACATGTAGGCCTTTTCCATTATACAGTAGTTAATTTTTAAATCATAGTTTTACTGATAGATAATCACAAACCATAAAATTTACCTCATTACATCAGTGTGCAATTTAGTGGTTTTATTCAGTCATGTAACTATCACCACCATCTAATTTTGGAACATTTTTCTCATCCCCCAATAGACCATGCCCTTTAGGGTTCACTCCCTATCCCTCCTCCCAGCCACTGGCTGCCAGCAGTCATTACAGTCTGGGTGGACTTGCCCATACTGGGTGGCATTTCCTGGACTCATAGAAAGGGGGTCTTTTGTGTCTGGCCTCTTTCTGAGTGGGATGTTTTTAAGACTCACCCATGTCATAGCAGGGTTTGGTGCTTCATTCATTTTTATGGCCAAGTAATATTCCATTGTAGTGCTGCCCCCGTGTTCTGTTTTTTCATTCTATGAGGGACAACTGATGACTTTGCCCTTTGCGGCACTCACCATGCTGTGGACATTCATACATGTTTTTGTGTGGATGGATGTTTTCCTTTCTCTTGGATGGACCTACAAGTAGAATTGCTGGGTCATACGGTTAAACTCTAACATTTCAAGGAACTGACTGTTTTCCAAGGCGACTCTACCATTTTATACTCCCACTAGCAGTGTCTGAGGGTTCCAAGCTCACCTTGTCATCGACACTTGCTATCGTCTGTCTTTTTTAATTTCCCCACTGTTATGACAGTGAAGCATTATCACATTTGGTTTTGATTTGCGTTTCTGTAATGACTCAGCGCTGTCTATTGTCTTTTCATGAACCTGTTGCCCACCTTTGTCTTCCTCTAAAAATGTCTACTCATATCCACGGCACTTGTTTAAAATTGTGGTTCTTATCTTTTTATCATAAGAGTTGTGAGAATTCTCCAGATATTCTGGATTCAAGTCCCGACCCAGTATATGATTTGCAAATATTTTCTCCCTTTCTGTGGGTTCTTTGCTCTCCTAGTGCAAGTGGCATCTGTTGTACAAAATCTTTTCATTTTGATGAGGTGCCATTTACCTTTGCTTTTCTCGTATTGCTTATGCTTTTGGTGTCCAGTCTAAGAAATTGCTACCCCTGAGGTCACAATTTACCCCTATGTTTTCTTCAAAAAGACTTACGGTCGCAGTGTCACATTTAAGTCTCTGCCCCATTTTCAGTTCATTTTTATCTGATGTGAGGTAGTCTGACTTCTTTCTTTTGCAGGTGGTTTTTATCTACTTGTTCCAGCACCATCTGCTGAAAGACCCGAGTTTCCTCACTGAGTTGTCTTGATACCCTTGTTGAGAACCTGTTGTCCATAAATATGTGTTTCTAGTGTCTCGGTTCTGCCCTGCTGACCAGTGGCTCAGGCCTTCTCGCCGGTCACTGTCTTGGGTACTGTAGCTTTATACTAAGCTTTGAAATTGGGAGATGTGAGGTATTACTTTTTTCTTTCAGTTTGAATCTTCATGAATCCCGAAATAGAAAATTTTTATTTTCCTTCCAGAGTTTTGAAGTTTCGCTTCTCACACTCAGGTCTTTAATCTAGTGTGAGGGGAGTGTGTGTGTGGGGCGGGGGGGTGGCCAGGGAAGGAGGGTAGTATATGCTGGGAAGTGGGAACGTAGTGTATTTTCCCAGCGTGCCAGCTGTCCCAGCAGTGCCCCCACCCCAGCTCCTTCCTGTGAATGTGCAGACTTTGTTCTCCAGTTCCAATAGGGGTTTTGCAAATGTGATTTTATGTATTTGCTTTATTTGCCATCTTTCTCTTAATGAATATGTATCTTTAAAGAACCAATTTGAAAGCATTTTGCAAAAACCTTGCATAAGGTTCATTTCTTTGCATAAGGAAGGATAGAGAGTGAAAGGTAAAGCCTGTCCCCTGCCACTCTCCAGACCCCTGTGCTTCTGATGAGCTGGTTATAGGTCAGAGGTTCCCACAGTGACCTCCCACATTCCAGTAACTTGCTAATGGGGCTCACGGAAAACTCAGGGCCACACCTTGTGACATTTACCATTTTATTAAAGGATGTGACAAGGGACAGACAGGTCAGCTTCTGTTCCTGCAGAGTTGGGGTGCATCACATACCCAGTGGGGGTCACTCTCCCAGTGTGGGTATGCTCGCCAGCCTGGGCGCTCTCCAAGCCCCATGCTGTTGGGGTTTATGGAGGCTTCCTCACATGGGTGTGATTGATCATTAACTCCATTTCCAGCCCCTCTCTAGGGTGGGGGATGGGGCTGAAGATTGTCAGCTTCTCAGGCCTCCCTGGTGGTGCAAGGGGTTAAGATGCAACCTATGGGGCCTCCCCGGTGGCGCAGCAGTTGAGCGCTGGGTTGCGAAGCTGCCCGCGGCCTCTGCGGTGCTGGTTCAATCCCCGGCTGCTCCCCGGCCACCGGAGGAGGGTCCCACATGGCGCGCAGACCTCTCCTGCCGCCCGCTGCTCCCCTCAGCAGTGTATTTCAGTAGATCCTCCTGTTCTGCTCCCCACTCTGTCTCTGGTGAATCTTCTCACCCCCGCACCTCTGGCCTGTACCCCAGTTCTTGTATGCATAAATCTTTAAAACAAAAAAACATTCCAAGCTTCTCTTCCCGGGGACCAGCCCCCACCCAGGATACCTGAATTGAAACAAAAGATGCACCTGGGACTTTTACCGCGTAGCCACGTAGGAATTTACAAAGGTTTCCGGAAACCTGTGCCAGGATCTGGTGCTGGGACCAATATGTATTTTCTATTAGCTCACAAATGGTGTGGCCGCGTGTAATTAATTTACATCGTGTAATTAATGTGAATCGGTAGCAGCTGAGGAAAGCTTGACAGAACCTGCCCAGAGGAGAGATTTCCTTCATTTAACCAATGATTTGCAGAAAAGAACAAAAATACTTTCCACTGAGAATTTCATGCCCTTGGCTTTATATGTTCCCTTAAGATTCTGCTTAGAAATTAAGGATTTTGCGGGGATGGTAAAGCCAAGAGTTCTACTTAATGTTAAATTCACCCAGGATTTTTTTTTTTTTTAAGATTTTTATTTATTCATTTTTGCGTAGGAGAACTGGGGTGCAGGCCAGAGGTGTGGGGATGGGGGTGAGAGGATTCACCAGAGACAGAGTGGGATGCAGAACAGGCGGGTCTACTGAAATGCACTTCTGGGGAGAGCAGCGGGGAGACAGGAGAGGTCTTCGATGCTATGTGGGTCAGCTCCCTGATTTCTGGTGCAATCAGTGTATTTTACTTATTTATGTCATTTTAAACAATGAGCATAACCCAGCATTTCTTAGCATCAGGAGGCATATCTAGAGCTTTCTGTGCTTTGGGGACATGATTATGCTCCTCTCCATCTTGGAGCCCTACAGAATGTGGGAACTAGCGTTTTTCTGCCCAGTTGAGGGCGCGATAACAATGCTGCATACATTGAGACCTTCATTTGTGGAGGGGGAAATCGCCACACTTCACTCGAGCCTAGATTGAGTCAGTCAAGTTAATCACCCCACTGCCAGTTATGTCAGAGCAAAATATTCCAAGCTTAGTACCTGTTATTTTCGATCTTTTTTAAAAGACAAATTACAGAAGGGTGATTTCTGTAGTAATCCAACTTTTAAAATCAAAATATGAATTTTGGGGGTGTAAAGGTCAGGAACAGGACACAGTGCAGGTTTTCTGATCCCATGCAGACCGGGTAAAGGAGGAGTCAGAGTCCTCAGTGGTTTTGCAGGTTTTTATTGGGGTTCAGCAGGTACGTGGCGTGCTGGGGGGCTGGGGGCTGGGCTCCCAGCCCCGAGCAAATCTTCACTCTATCTGGGCTCTCTGCTTCTGCTTCGGGCTTCTCTTTCGGCTTCTTCTGGCGTCCCCGTGACACTGCCCTTAAAAGCACGGTCTTAGCACAGGTGGACCCACTTCAGGTGCCCGCCATCAGGCATGCATTCAGGATCACAGGGTTCCCTCATCTATCCTGATGGCGGGAGGGCAGAAAAGCCTGATTTTTAGCCTTACCCTGCAGTCCACCCCCTCAGGGTTTTCTGCCATATAATCCACACATACACAACTTTGTTTCTTAGCAAACACAAACAATGCAGCCATGGCCCACAAAAGCAAATACATCGCAATATAACAAAATACAACAGAACACAAATAAGTCCAGGCAGGGCCCCAACCTAGTGCAAAAGACAATTATTGGTACCAGCAGATGAGCCACCACATCTGCTGCCGAAGGCACTGCTCATACAAGGGAGGGGAACCACTCACGGCATCTACTATATCACACCAGGAGCCGTCAGGCTTTCTGGCTGTAGTCTCGGCTACAAGCCACACACCGCATCCACCCACAGGATGCACTCGCTCTGGGATTGGCGATTCTCTTCTAGTGGGGGTAATCGCCAACCCTCAGGGTTTCTGTCTGCAGTCGCTCCAACACTCGGCCTTCACAGCCACCCATGCGACTCGCAGACCCCTGCACTCAGGCCAACCCACTGCACAAGCACATGGGTCGGGGATCCAAACTCTACATTCGGCTTGGGCTCCACCCCAAGCCACGTTCCCCACCCGTCCCCCAAGGACAGGTTCCTCAGCTCCTCACCCTCCCTCGACAACGAGCAGGGCATCTCCCACAGGTGATTTTATGAGACTCACAGGTCTTCAGCATACTTAGGCTGCTTAACAGCTGCTCAGGGCTTCCCAAACTTAGCATCAGCACCAGCTTTTGCCTTCTCAGTTGGCTTTTCTCCTCTGCCTGGCTGCTGGGCATACACAGGCTGCTTTTGGCCACCAAGGCCTACTGGCCACCCCCAGATTCTCAAAAAAAAAAAACATAACCTGCCAAGGTCCTCCACCTTCTGGCGGGATTGTCAGTCCAAGTCCATCAGTCCAAGTCCATCAGTCCAAGTCCATCAGTCCAAGTCCATTAGTCAAAGTCCATTAGTCAAAGTCCATTGGCCTCTCCCTGCATTAGCACTGGCAAGCTCCGAATCGTGGTCCTCTCTTCCGACGATTCTTGCTGACTCAGGGGTCATTGGCTGGTCCTCTCGGTTGTCTCCTCCTCCAGCTGAGGTCTCGTCCCGCAGCTCCCGGATGGTGTCCACCTTCTGTGCCGCCATGGCGCCTCCAGCGTCGTCACAGGCAAGCACTGTTACTCCTTAGTCCCTCTAAGTCTTCGGAAGGCTCCAATACCCGTCTGCATGGATCATCTTGCCAACTTACGCCAATTGTAAAGGTCAGGAACAGGACACAGTGCAGGTTTTCTGATCCCATGCAGATCGGGTAAAGGAGGAGTCAGAGTCCTCAGTGGTTTTGCAGGTTTTTATTGGGGTTCAGCGGGTACGTGGCAGGCAGGGGTGCTGGGGGGCTGGGAGGCTGGCAGTCCTCCCAGCCCCCAGCAAATCTTCACTCTATCTGGGCTCTCTGGCGTTCTCTGCTTCTGCTTTGGGCTTCTTCTCTTTCAGCTTCTTCTGGCGTCCCCGTGACACCGCCCTTAAAAGCACAGTCTTAGCACAGGTGTAACCACTCCAGGTGCCCGCCATCAGGCCTGCATTCAGGATCAAGGGTTCCCTCATCTATCCTGAAGGCGGGAGGGCCTCCCCCTGGTGGTGCCGCGGTCGAGCGCTGGGCTGTGAAGCTGCCCGCAGCCTCTGCAGCGCCGGTTCGATCCCCGGCCACTGGGCGAGGGTCCCACGTGGCGCACAGACCTCTCCTGCCGCCCGCTGCTCCCCTCAGCAGTGTACTTCGGTCCTTCTGCCTGCTCTGCTCCCCGCTCTGGCTCTGGTGAATCCTCTCACCCTCCCGCGCTTCTGACTGTACCCAGTGCTTGTATACATTAAAAAAAAAAAAAAAAAAAAAAAAGCATATCCTGAAGGCGGGAGGGCAGAAAAGCCTGATTTTTAGCCTTACCCTACAGGGGAGCTTGGAGTTCTAAGTAGTTTTGCCACAAAGTGTGTCTTAATTTTGAGCTGTTCTCAGTGAGATGTTAAAACCATCTGAAAGTCCTTTCAGTAATGACCAAACACTCCTTGCAGTATCTTTCTGGAAACAGCTCTCCTTCCTCCCTGCCCCACCACTAATGAAAAAAACAGCCAAACTGTTCTAGATAGTAAAAGCTGACATGTATTAAGCACTTACCGCTGGGATTAATTGTTTCACTTGTGTCTCCTTGACCCCTCGGCTGTAGAACATACTCCCTCCTGCAGGCGTGGCCACCAGCACTGGGAGGCCGTCTGTGGCCGGGCCCAGTGGCCCACGTCGAGGCACTGCAGTCTGAGCCTGAGCTTTCACTGATATGGCCCCTCATTTCCCAGCTGGCTCTGTGGTGCAGGGGTTGTTTTGTTTCTTTTGCCCTTTTTCAATGCAAAAGAAGTATAATTTTGTCTGTTTTACAAAACGTCTTACATATTTTATCAAGTATAAACTATATTTTCCAAAATGAGTTCATACTGTGAAGATTGTTCAGCAACCCCTTTCATTTCTCAAGTGTAATGACCTTATTGGCCATCAGTGTATATGGAAATACACTCACCTCAGTAAAAACTGCAAAATGGGGACCTCCCTGGTGGCGCAGGGGTTAAAATCTCAGCACTGTCAAGCTATTGCCATTCACTGCAGCCTGAGTTCAGTCCTCGGCCGGGATGCTGACCCACATGGCACAGCAGACCTCTCCTGTTTCGCCCACTGCTTCCCTCAGCAGTGTATTTCAGTAGATCCGCCTGTTCTGCTCCCCACTTTGTCTCTGGTGAATCCTCTCATCTCTCACACCTCTAGCCTGCACCCCAGCTCTTATATGCATAAATAAAAATTAAAATAAATCTTAAAAACTGCAAGTGTGCTGTCAGGCGGTCATGTGGGACTTTGGGGGTCAGAGAAAAGGTGGGTGTACGGGTGTTAGCCCATAAATGCCCCTCCACCAGTGGACACATCACAGTGAGTGAGAGAACCCACCTCCCTGTGAGACGTTTTTAATCAGAGGTTCACTCTAGAACTGATTGCCTAAAAGCTAGAAAGCTGGAGGGCGGGGCACTTCCTTCCAGAAGGCTCAGCCCCATGAGAATTGCTTCCACCTCGTGGCCTGGATGGATGGACAGCAACTTTGTAAAATGAACTTGAGTCCAGGTTCCCTGGCAAAGTGGGAAATGCTTGGAAACCATCCAGCCTGCTGCCAAGTCCCAGTGCTGGACTGGCGGACACTGGGCCGCCCGTGCCTAGACACTGACCCCCTCCTTCCTCGCAGGAGTGCTACTTGGACAGCGACCAGACGAGCCTCTACCACGCGGCCAAGGGGCTGATGACCCTGCAAGCTCTGTACGGGACGATCCCCCAGATCTTTGGGAAAGGAGAGTGCGCCAGGGTGAGAGATGTGGAGGCCCCCGGTGGTGGGGGGACCCTGGGGCCTTAGGGGCGGAGGAGTAGGAAGCTATTTATGGCCCGTCTTCCTTTATGAAATGTGTGCTTGTGAACGTGCCTGCTTGCTGGAATGCACCTGTGCCCCACGTCTGCGTACACCGTGTCTTGTGCACCTGCCTAGGGCTACAAAAGAAACAAGCCCGTTGCGCTGCTTCCAGCAAAGCCAAGCGCAGCGACGCTCCGCCTCTCCTTTCAGCCTCTTGCAGTGAACGTGTCCCCTTAGCCAGCCCTCTGGGCCAGTGACTACCTCGGGCCACTGTGTTGGCATTTCTGTTCTTCTCGTTGGTGATTTCGTGGTTTGCAAAGACCCCGGAGCGCAGAGCTAAAGCACCAGCTGATGCTCCTGATGCACGTGGGCCGTGCCGGCTCCCCAGCCCTGTCCCGTTTGCCCCGGGGAGCAGCGGTTCAGTGTTTGCTCTTCACTGCGCACGCAGCCCCGGCAGAGCTGCCGAGAGGCAAGGCTGGGTGAGAGCAGCTGCCCGAGTCTCGGCAGTCCTGCGTGCCCGCGGTGTTTTGCCTTTTACTTTTTTGATGAATCGTCTTTCTGTTTTTAGCTGAATTTTAAAATCTGCTAATTCGAAGGAGGGCCCCTCCTGACCCACTGTTTTGTTTCCAGCAAGTGGCCAATATGATGGTCAGGATGAAGAGGGAGTTTACAGGAAGCCAGAATTCAATTTTCCCTGTTTTTGATAACCTGTTGTTGCTCGATCGAAATGTGGATTTATTGACGCCTCTGGCCACCCAGCTCACCTACGAGGGGCTCATCGATGAAATTTATGGCATTCAGAACAGTGAGTAAACTCACATCCACCTTTACCGGGAGGGGGTCCGAGAAACATATCCTTTCAGCTGGTGCTTCCTTTTCATGTAACTCAGAGTACATGAGTACTGCAATACTGACTCTCAGGTGCCAGAACAAAGCCCTGTCTGAGCAAACTGCTGTGCTTGGTCACACGAGGGCTGGTCAGGGGTTCAGGTCACAGGGCTGACCCTGCGAGGAGAGGCCAAGGGTTAGCGAGCAGATGCTCCCAGCTGCGGTTCAGGAAACTTCCGAAGAGGTGGTATCTACGTGGAGGTGGGGTGCTGGCGGGAAGGTCAGAGGTCATGAACATGTCTGGTTTGGTTTGGCCCCCATGGTGTGTGTTTTCTGTCAGCATTTGAAATTTGAGATAATCATCCTGATTTATGCCCCATCTTTTAAAATACCTGAATCAAGACAACCCAAGCCCACATTCACACCCAGCAGCTTGCATCTGGGGGAGACCTGTCTCCCCTCTAAGGGGCCCCTTTCCAGCTCAGCACAGGCCCCGCCACTCCTCTGCCCGCTCCAGGCCTCCTTCCCTCCTTCGTATCGGTTTCTGGCCTCTTTGCTGTCCCGAGTTACGTCACAGGGAGCAGGGAACATGTGAGGGAAGCGACATTAAGAAGGGTGCGCCTGAAATCCAGAGAGATGGGGAACAGGTGGCCAGCAGGGCAGGGGAAGAGGGATGAGAGCGCCTGCTCGTTGGGTACTGGGGTTCCTCTGGAATGAAAAATTCTGGAAGCAGATACTGGCTGTGATTGTACCAGGGTCTGTATCTACTAAATGCTCCTGATTTGTTCACTGTAAAATGGTTGATGTGGTAAATTTTATGTTATGTGTATTTTACCACAAGAATGAATGAGTTCGGGCCTCCCCTGATGGCGCAGGTGGTTGAGCGCAGCACTGTGAAGCTGTCCGCAGCCTCTGCAGTGTGGGTTTGATCCATCCTGGCCGGCGAGAATTCCCCATGGCGCGGCAGACCTCTCCTGTCTTGTCCGCTGCTCCCCTCAGCAGTGTATTTCATCAGTCTACTTGTTCCCTGCTCTGTCTCTGGTGGATCCTCTCACCCTCCTGCGCATCTGGCCTGTACCCCCGTTCTTGTATGCATGAATAAATAAATCAAAAAAAATGAATGAATGAGTGAATGAATGAATAACTCAGGGGAAGTGGACAGCCAAGCAAATACAGACAGACATGAAGAGCTATTTCCACAAAACAGACTCTTCATGGTCTTTAAATATGAGATTATGCAGACTATTATGTTTTTATTATTTGTTCCAAAAGATGGCTTTTTTAAATACTTTTTTAAAAACTCCATTTTCATTGAAGAGGAACTCATTTCAAGAGAATGCTGTGCTCCAGGTAGTGGTGGGGAAAAGGCTGCCCTCCTGGTGCTTCCTTCCGGGAAACTCTGGGGGGTGGGGGTTCGAGGGAGCTCTGAGGTTACCCAGGGAGGTGATCTGTGAGTTGACCTGGGGTAGGTGTGTAAGACAGTGAGAGGTGGGGCTCCTTTGAGAAAACAAGGAATTTGTGTAAACTCACAGCCTTTTTGTAACAAGTATTTTCATAGATCAAACATGAATTAAGAGAAAATGGGAAAATAAAGAAGGAAAACGTAGATCCACCACGATCCCTCGAACCTTACCCTGCTCCGAATGGCCCAGGCCTTCCAGCGGCCAATATTACTATTTTGGGGGGTTGCCTTGTGATCTTTCTCTGTGCAGTTATTTTTGGTGACAAACAATAGAATTAGCTTGTGCAGATTGTTTTGATCCTTTTTTTTTTTTTTTTTTTTTTTGACTCCGCGAGCGTTTTCCCAGCTCTGCATAATTCTAACCACATTCTGAAACGCTGCAGTCCATACCGCACTGTTTGCAGGGTCACTCCCCTGATATTGGGCATTTGATGTTGTTTGGGGGTTTTATGATTAGGAAAGCATTTTCTTTCATATATCATGTTACCGTTCTCCACATTCTCTAATGCAGGGTTTTGGGGTCACTGCTTTGCTAAAGGGTGACACCAGCTCCCGTGTAGTTCATGAGGCCGTGGGGGGTGGGGGTGCCAGGAAGGGTGACTGCACTGGCCTTAGGAGCAGAGGTGTAAAGGGTGGGTTAAGGCCACTTGGGAATTATTGGGCCCAGGGCTAAGGAATTTGGAAGCTTATTCTAGGAAGGGCTGCAAGTGCTGTAAAAAGCCTGAAGGGATTATGACAGACTTTCACAAGTCACACAGTGCCTTTGGGGTCTCCTCACCTCTGCCATTGTAATGTGAAAGCAGCCATGGACAACTCAGAAAGAGACTGGGCCGTGTGTCAGTAAAACTTTATTCACAAAAACTGGGAGTGAGCTAAAATTGGAAGCAGGCAGTGGCTTTGAGGCCATTTTGGACATGAGACTACAGTAAGATAGATTTATATCATGACCCCCAGGACATATATATACATGCATGTGTATTTGTGGGTAAACTGGGACCAAAGTTTCTTTTTTTTTTTTTTTTTAAGATTGATTTATTTATGTATACAAGTGCTGGGGTATAGGCCAGAGATGCGGTGGGGGTGTGTGTGTATGTGAGGGGATTCACCAGAGACAGAGCAGGGAGCAGAACAGGCAGATTGAGTGAAATACACTGCTGAGGGGAGCAGCAGACGAGATAGGAGAGGTATGCCATCCCATGTGGGTTGCTCCCTGGCCAGCTGGGTCTTGAACTGGTGCTGCAGAGGCTGCGGATTGCTTCATAGTGTGGTGCTTAACCCTTTGCACCACCAGGGAAGCCCTGGGACCAAAGTTTCCTTTGGGGAAAAAAAACAAAAACAACTTTACCTCCTTCCTGTCATATGTTCTGGCATTTTCCATTCTGTTGTATTCTGTCTTAGTTGTTTTTGTTTAATGCTAGTTGCAACCAACCCACTAAACTGCATACTCCATTAATGATGTGACCTACAGTCTGGACAACTAAGTACACAGAGGGCAGGGGATCCCTGTTAATGTTTTTGATTGAAGTGACTCAATCACTGAATAAGTATGGGAACTGGACATGGCTGTAGTGACTTAGATAGGACCCCAGGGACATTAGGACCAGGATATTAATAGTTAAGAATCACTGGGCCTCTCTGGTGGTGCAGGGGTTAAAGTCTCAACACTGTCAGCTATCGCCAGCCACTTGGATGAGGCTTCCCTCCCTGGCCAGGGAGCTGACCTCCATGGCACAGCAGACCACTCCTATCTTGCCTGCTGCTCCCCTCAGCGGTGTATCTCAGTAGGTTTGCCTGTTCTACTCCCCACTCTGTCTCTGGTGAGTCCTCTTACCCACTGTGCCTCTGTCCTGTGCCCCAGTTCTTGTATGCATGAATGGATAAAATAAATCTTAAAAAAAAGAAAAAAAGAATCACCACTCCCTGTTCTTTGATCACGGAAAAATCAAGACTTGGGTGGGCTGTCTGCCCTTTGTCTTCTGCTCTCCCATGAGGTGGAAAGTGCTGTCTGTGCCTGGCCACTGACTCGCTCTGCCATCAGATGCAGCAGGCGCTCCCTCCCTTCTGTTGCCATTCAGGTTACGTGAAGTTACCTCCCGAGAAGTTTGCACCTAAGAAGCAGGGCGAAGGGGGTAAGGATCTTCCCACAGAAGCCAAGAAGCTTCAGCTAAATTCCGCAGAGGAGCTCTACGCTGAGATTCGGGATAAAAACTTCAATGCGGTGGGCTCGGTGCTCAGCAAGAAGGCAAAAGTGATCTCTGCAGCCTTCGAGGTGAGCGTCTTGGTTATCTGCCCGCCGCCCCAGCCTGGGCTAGATTGTTCGCAGTGCGAGCAGAGCAAGAGCCTTGCCAGGCCATGAACTGGGCTTCGGAGTTTGCCCCTCTCTGATCCCGGGAAACTGCAGGTTCAGCTCTTGGGGACCCCAGGGTTCCTTTTTACCTTTTCCCCAGGCCTGTGAGAAAAGGGGTTCTGTTAAGTTCTTATCCCCCCCCTTTTTTGGGAGGGGATACTGCTTGCAGTTTGCAAGCTTTTATCATAAACATTTGTTTTCCCTTTTAAGTTATTTTCTGCTTCATTTAAGAGAGACCAGCTGCGCTATAAATAGTAAAGACCTGCTGGAATGGGGCAGCGCTTGCGTGCAAGCTCCAAGTGCAGCCAGTAGGCCGCTGGCGGGGGCCCCCAGAGAGGGCTGGTGATAATGAGAGTGAGGTCCCTGCAGCCCAGAGCGTTTAAGTCCGCGGCTTCATCATCACTTTCCTGCCTCCTCTTGCCCGGGCACTGGCTTGTGTTTGGTTAAGCTCATCTTTGAAACATGGAATTCAGTAAAATGATAAACTCTGAATATTTAGCCTTTGGAAACAGATTGAGAGAATTTCTGGAAACTGCTCTTTCGCTGAGGATGTATGTCCAGGTTTTCTCTTTCTCAGGGCTGCTCTTTCTCAGTTCCGTATTTCTAGAGTTAGTTTTGGTCTAAATGATCAAATGTTGCAAAGGAAAGTTTCTGATCACTAAGCAGAGTTCCCTTCACTTGGGGTTCAGTGGAGAACAAGGGATTTTTTGTATTAGAGAGAAAATATGGCCCTGTTTATGTTCCCTTCTTACATAATGTTTTCTTGCTAGTCTTTTACTCAGAAAATTGGATTTTCTTAATGCTGACCCTGCAGACACTCTGTGCCCTGGGATGCTGGTCACAGTGTGAGCTGGTGCCCGGGAGGAGAGGGCTGCTGTGGCGTGACCAGGCCCCTGGTCTGCTTTTCTGCTGTGTTGAAGCTGGGTGTGGCCCGACTCACTTGTAGTCTGTCTTTCTAGTGCATTAATTTAAATTAAACATCCTCTGAGCAGTACATAGAACAGAGCACTTAAAGTATCTTAGGAACAGATAAAACTAAGTCAAAACAAGCCGCAGAAATCAGACTGTAGAACTGAGACCCGTGGGGGGTGGAGAGTGAGGGGGAGGGGACCCAGTGGACTAGGTAAGGATTGTGGGGGTTTGGGTGGTGGGCATGCTGTGGTAACAAAGAGGGAGCACCTACACCCCTCATGGATAAGACAGGGTTATAAACTGATGTTTCCACAATAAAAATAAACAATTAAAAAGTTGCTCCATGATTAAAGAACTAGACATAAGACCTGAAACCATAAAATACATAGAAGGAAATATAGGTGAAACACTACGTGATTTGCACATCAAAGACATCTTTACAGACACATCACCCAAAGCAGTGATAGTGAAGGCAAAGATAAACAGCTGGGACTACATCAAATTAAAGAGCTTCTGCACAGCAAAAGAGACAATAACAAAAACAAAGAGAAACCCCACCAACTGGGAGAACATTTTTGCACCCAACACTAATGATAAAGGACTGATCACAAAAATCTGCAAAGAGCTGATGAAACTCAACAACAACAAAGAAAATAACCCAGTCCAAAAATGGGCAGAAGAGCTAAAAAGAAACTTCTCTGAAGAGGAAATGCAAATGGCCAACAGACATATGAAAAAATGTTCAACATCACTTGTCATCAGGGAAATGCAAATCAAAACTACCATGAGATACCATCTTACACCAGTGAGAATGGCACATATTAAAAAAACTAGCAACAACAAATGTTGGCGAGGGTGTGGAGAAAAAGGAACTCTCCTGCACTGCTGGTGGGAGTGCAAACTGGTCCAACCACTGTGGAGAGCTGTGTGGAGATTTCTGGACCTACTACACATAGAGCTTCCATATGATCCAGCAATTCCACTCCTAGGTATTTACCCAAAGGACACAGAAACATCAATTCCAAAGAACACCTGCACCCCTATGTTTATAGCAGCACTATTTACAATAGCTAAGCTTTGGAAACAGCCCAAATGCCCAAAAATAGATGACTGGATCAAGAAGATGTGGTACATATATACCATGGAATATTACTCAGCATTCAAAAAAGATAAACACATGCAATTTGCAGCAACATGGATGGTGCTGGAAGGGATCATGCTCAGTGAAATAAGCCAAAAAGAAAAAGAAAAATACCGGATGGTCTCACTCATAGCAGGAATCTAGAAAACTTAAATAAGGGATCAGGAAAATGAATAACTATAAGAAAGTGAAAATCAAAATCAACAAAAAACTATGAACCAGAGACACTTTTTGGGGGGTGGGGGCCGGGAGGGGAGGGATTGGGGTCAGAATGGGGCATGTGCAGTTGTATGGGGGAATATAAAAATAAAATTTATTATTTAATAACAAAAAAAAAAAAAAAGTTGCTCCATGGATAAAAAATTACACAAACAGGGCCTCCCCAGTGGCGTAGCAGTTGAGCGCTGGGTTGCGAAGCTGCCCGCGACCTCTGCGGCGCCGGTTCGATCCCCGGCTGCTCCCCGGCCACCGGAGGAGGGTCCCACATGGCGCGCAGACCTCTCCTGCCGCCCGCTGCTCCCCTCAGCAGTGTACTTCAGTCCTTCTGCCTGTTCTGGTCCCCGCTCTGGCTCTGGTGAATTCCCTCACCCTCCCGCGCTTCTGACTGTACCCAGTGCGTGTATAAACAAAACAAACAAACAAACAAATAAATAAATAAATAAACATGCCTCTATAAAAAAAAATGTTTAAAAAAAAAATTACACAAACAACAAAATTAAAGAATTCCTCCATGGAATACTAGTCAGTTGTTTAAAAAACGATCAACTAGTGCCTTTGGGGACAAAGTAGATGGGCCTCGGTGATGGTGCTCAGTGAAGTCAGGAAGGGAAAGGCAGATGTGAGCGTTTCACTTATCTGTGGAATATAAATAACCAAAAAAACCACGACTGGCAAAGCTCAGCTAAAGCAGATCTTAGACATAGTGAAAAAACTGTTTACCGGAAGTAATGGGCGGTGGGGGGACAGCAGAAGGAAGGGCATTGGCATGAGGGGTTGTGGGGGGAGAGTGGGGCTTATGCACCGATGGAGGCGGGAAGGTGTAACCCCAGAGTCAGGGACACGGGGAATGCGCTGACACATTTATAATAAGCAAAAATGAGAATCGGTAAGTTAAATAAAAATTCTTCGGGGCTTGTCCTCTGCACACTGTCTATCAAAAAATACCCGAAAGATCCCCTCTCCCAGCTGAGAGGCTCTGGGCTCTCGTTTCAGGAAAGGCACAACGCCAAGACGGTCGGGGAGATCAAGCAGTTCGTTTCCCAGTTACCCCACATGCAGGCAGCCAGGGGCTCCCTGGCAAACCACACCTCTATCGCGGAGCTGATCAGGGACGTGACCGGTGAGTACCTCAGGCCTGCCATCCGCGCTCCCCTGGGCTCGCCTTCCCTGCACCGGCGGCTGCTGGGGAAAATGTGCTCTTGTTGAGAGTTTATGGTCTGGATGTTAACTAAGCGCGTGTCCATGCCGTGAAATGTTTCCTTTGTACTTAACTCATTTACCCCCCTCACCGTTAAAATATGTAAACACCCGATAAGGTATTTGGAATATCAATAAGGGGAAAACATTCTTCCATTAAGTTTTCACCATTGAAGGAGGAGGGTGATTATTTCAGTCTGGTTTCCCCCTGTTAAGGGTTATTTAATCAGGGTGATGGGATATTTCTGTTTCTGTTTTTCCCTTGAAAACTTTGTGCAGAATTGGCATAGAGCGTTCATGGAGTATTTTGAAAGAGCTCAGAAATTGTATATTAAACCAAAGACAAGCTTACTCATTAAAACCCAGGTGAGAGGTTGGTGCCAGTGTCAGGAAGGATACTTTGATTTTCAGGTAAGCATTGCTAGAAAAGTCCATCCCTGGTTTTCATGTTAATAGACTGGGAAGTCCATGAGAACTGGTTGATAAGGATGACATATCCTTGGAAATCAGTTTTCATTGATTCTTGAGGTCTGTGTTGGCGTCCTTAGGGGAGCCAAGGCGTGCAGTAGCCAGCTGTGTCTCGATGTATTTTAGGGGCACAGGGGCATATGGGGTTTCCCATTGTTCTCAGAAAAGAATTTTAAGCGCCCTGAATGAACACTGGCTTTTTTCATAGTTGTGCTCTGAAGGTGAAAACACTCAAGTAGATGAGCATTTATTTTGTTTCTAAGTTGCCACTGTGCTCATTATATTTTAGCTTCTGAAGACTTCTTTGATAAATTAACAGTGGAGCAGGAGTTTATGACTGGCGTGGACACAGAGAAGGTATGTGAACATGAAACTCTCCTAACAGGTAACTGACAGTTTCGCAAACATCGTAAGATTATAGCTAGAAAAGCAGTTGATTTGATTCCCAAGCCTTTCCTCACTGTCCTTAATGCAAAATGTGAAAGTGCAGGTTTTATCAAGTAACATATTGGACATTCCCCTGTGCAGGGCACCCAGGAGAGAGGAATACAGCCCCCGAAGTTAAAGATCTTTAAGTGTTGCCATAGATAAAGTAGAATATTTGCCCTCTGAGGAAATAAGTCATATAATTCCTTTAAAATAGCCATCTCCACTAATAAATTTCACATTATTCAATTTATGGAAATTCCCATCTCCTAAAAAACTTCCAGTTACTTTACACTGAGAAATGACTGTGGCTGCTGATGTAGACTGGGCCACACGGGCCCCAGACATGAGGCAGCCCGGGAGGCTGCCACAGAGGCAGGTGTGTTCAGACAGGCCCTTGGCCTCTGCTTCTCAGCACTCGGTGCCTGTCGGGTGGGACAGGATCCTCCGGAGAGGGGCTAAAGAATGAGGGAAGAATTGAAGGAGCCGTTCACCCTCACATCTCCTCCATGCAGTCCCCAAGCCAGTGTGATGGTTCTGCTCTGTTTCTAGGTCAACGGTTACATTGAGGACTGCATTGCCCAGAAGCACCCGCTGATCAAGGTGCTGAGACTCGTTTGCCTGCAGTCCGTGTGCAACAGCGGACTCAAACAGAAGGTTTTGGATTATTACAAAAGGGAAATTCTCCAGGTCCGTGAATCTTTACTCATTTGCCAGGAGAGAAAACATCTTTGAAAAAAAAAATTTCCAAAGCTGCTATTTTGGAATTTTGCTTCTTTGCACTGTGATTTAGATATTTTCACCCCTGGAGCGCTTGTCCTGGGTGCGGGCTGGTGTTGACTGTGTGTGCGTGATGGAGCTTCTTGAGCATTCACTGCTCGCCAGGCTCTGTTGGCAGAGCTTTATGAGAGTTCATTTGTTTAATCCTTCCGTGAGTTAGACATGCTTATCTTCCCCCCCACCTTTTTTTTTTTCTTTTTTGGTGAGAAGCTGAGCCTTGCTTGTGTGACTTGCCCAAGGTCACTATGCTAGGAAGTGGCAGAGCCAGCCCCAAACCAGGCTCCTGGATCCGGGTCCAGGCCCAGACAGTGCTGCTGGCAGAAGGGAACTCTTCACAGACTCGCAGTTCCCCAGCCCACTTCCTTCAGTTAAGGCTGTGTTACTTTATGATAGTGCAAAACCCACTGTTATTTAAAAAATTCTCTCCTCTGCTTGAAACGCCTCAGGCAGTATTTGCTGTTAACAGTCACAGTTAAGTACATTATTGTTAAAACTAAATGCTCACTACATGTTATTTTTGTGTCTTTTAACCACACACATAACAATTCTCATCCCCGATCCCCCCCTACGCCCCTTCCCAGAGGACCAATGTCAGTGGTTTGATCTGCCTCCTTCGAGACTCTGACGATTATAAGCAGATTGTTTGCATACATGGACTTTGGGGCAAGGCTGACTATATCCAGGGCCCAGCCCTGTTATTCCTTAGCTGTGTGACCTTGGGCAAGTTATGTCAGCTTCTCTGTAGAATGGAGAGTATAACCTTGGGGGGTTAGTATAAAGATGATTGGGTTATGGTACATAGAACAAATACAGTGCTCCCCCCCACCTTGTGGAAACTGTGACTTGTGTTGGCCATTGTTATGTTCTACATTTAAAAAATAGAAGTAAAATCCTACTGTAGCTAGTATTCTGTTAGTACATTTTTGCCCTTGGGAATATATTCAGAAGATATTTTTATCAGGATATATAGGTCTGCCACATTCTTTTTCTTCAATAGCTAAGTGTACCCCATATATAAAAATAAACTCATTTGATGCCTATTTATGTTGGGTCCATAAATCCTGACTTTAAAGGAAACATTTTGCATCTTGCTCTGTAGCCACCAGCAGGGTAACTGACGGCGAGCGCTGTGGAGGCCTTTCTCCACCTGCCCTGCCTGTTGCCCGCACTTGTATCACGTGCCCCGAAGAACAGAGCAGTCAATTTACTGGAAGTGCTTTTTTTTTGAAAGTCACAGAAATCCTTTTCCTGAGCTGACATCAAGGCCCAATGACCTCTCTTGCAGACATATGGCTATGAGCACATCCTGACGTTGCACAACCTGGAGAAGGCTGGCCTCCTGAGGCCACAGACAGGGGGCAGGAACAACTACCCCACAATCCGGAAAACCTTACGCCTCTGGATGGACGATGTCAATGAACAAGTAAGACACACCCCAGCACCTCCAGCCTGCTTAGCTGCTGGCCAGAGGCTGACTGCCTGGTCTGAAAGCTGCTTTCTAGTGTTTTTTTAAAAAGTAGTGCCCTCATGAGCGAGGCCTCCAGAGCCCTGGGGAAGCAGAAGGGCTCTCACTGGAAGTTGGAGGAGAGTTTGATAATGATGCAGGCGGGGTAGGGACCCTCGAGCGGCCCTTGCCAGCCTGGGCTTAAGGACAAGGAGGGAGCGCTGTTCCAGAAACCTGTTCTAGGACCTGGAGAAGAGCTGTCTGGAGAGGCCTCTGGTTGAGGGACCTAGCCGCCTCCCACCTGCTCCATGGAGAGAGGATGGTGGCCAGGGCAGTGCGAACCCTGAGCGCACACTGCTGCCCTCTCTGCAGAGTGGTGCCTCCACCGGCCAAACCCCAAATTCACTCCTGGCAAAGTCATGGAAACTGCAGGAAGTGGAGAAGGGATAAGAGGGTGCTGTGTGCACAGTATCTTTGTGTTTGGACCGTTCTCCTCTGGAGAGAAGCATACAGCACTGCCAGCAGGGCTGGAGCAGATGGATGGTTCTGGATCATCCAAAAGGCCTGTTAGGTGGCTCTAAGGCATCTTTTCCTTCATTGAACAGAATCCCACGGACATCTCCTACGTGTACAGTGGCTACGCCCCACTCAGTGTGCGGCTGGCCCAGCTGCTCTCCCGGCCCGGCTGGCGGAGCATCGAGGAAGTTCTGCGCATCCTTCCAGGGCCCCACTTCGAGGAGCGGCAGCCGCTGCCCACAGGGCTGCAGAAGAAACGTAGGTCCACAGCCACGCAACACGGTGGTGCCAATGGGTGGCGCTGGCGTCTTAGGCAGTTGCTTTGTAAACACAGTTGTCAAGTAGTAGGCATCAGAGTCCACGTTAGCTGCTGTCTTAATCTAGAGCCATGGTGCCCTCGGGAGTAGCAGCTTTTGGCCTCTCAGTTGAGGATCTCAGTAGTTAGAAAAAACATTGAGGTCAAAATTGTGTCCTGAGTGTTAGATGTGCTGTCTGGACCAAGACACATTCGACTTCCCCCCCAAGACACAGTAAGCTTCCCCTCTCCGCCCCATAATGCAGTTTTTTAAGGGGTGGGGAAAAAAGCATCAGTAATAAGAATTCTTAAGTCTGAACTGTTTACATTTTAGGGCAACCGGGAGAAAACAGAGTCACACTGATATTTTTCCTCGGGGGTGTCACCTTTGCTGAAATTGCCGCTCTGCGATTTCTCTCCCAGCTGGAAGACGGAGGCACAGAGTATGTGATCGCCACCACTAAACTGATGAATGGGGCCAGCTGGATCGAGTCTCTAATGGAAAAACCTTTCTAGACTGTTCAAGAGACTTAACAAATGAACTGCATCATCAGCTGCCCCTTGAAGGGGAGATAGGAAGCCCCGTAGAGGAATAACAAGAGGACAGAGTTTCCGTTGGGGTCAGCATCTTAAATTATACTGTTTCCTCCTTTCTGCTTCTCTTTTATGTTCCTAATTTCCTAGAGGGAAATGAATAGAAGAGAATCAATGTGAGTAAAAGAAACACCAATTTCTAATATCCTAAACTCAGGGTTTTCATTAGAGACCTCTGGAATCTTGCTAAGCATGATGGGATGGCAAGCAGGCACTGGGGGTAACAAGGAAGATAAAAGGGCAAGCCCTCACCCTAGTAAGCAGTGCTGCGTTTCATGCAGGGGCCAGAGTGCATTCTCTCTGCAGCGCGGCGCCTGGCACCTCTGCTGGCTTCTTACTCCCCCACTAATCTCTGCAAGGACAGCCTGACTTCTGCTTTTGATTCATCTGCTTCTATAAAGCAGGAGGATTGGGGACCTTCTTTCCCCAAAACAAAGTTCATCCTCTCTCTGATATGCTAAATCTGTGTGGGTCCCCCGCTTGTCCAGGGCTTCTTACATCAAGGACTATATTCATTGGGGAGCACCTTTTCTCGCAGTGTAACCACCCGGTGACTCTTCCTAGGAACCCCAAGACATTTCATTGGGAGATGCCACCAATGAGGTTTGGGTTTTTGCCCATCGTGGGCCCCAACATCCTCCTGGTCCCTCTGTGAGCTGTGGCCACTTGCACCTTCAGCACCTTACAGCTGTCTCCCTGGTGACTGCAGCATGTGCTTCTGTCTGTGTTGCCTTTGTTTCGCCTAAAGACACTTCTGTGCAGTCCTGGTCAGGCGAGATTGGCCTGCCCTGGTACAGCACATTAGTGATCCAGCAGCCACATGCCACTGCTCCCACAGGGGACGTCCAGGCTGTGACAAAGAGGGGGAGGTTTGGTGAAGTTGGCAATCCTCACTTGTTCCCTGTCCCTTCCTACTCCAAGAAAGGGGCCAAAGTGATTCCTTCGCAGGCCTTACCCAAGTCTCCCGCTGAGGCTGGCGGTTAGTGTCCCTTCCCAGGTGTCAGTGTCCCTCCCCAGGTCTGTTGATAATTAGTAAGCACCCACATATACTCCTCACTTTGCAGTGAAATTCTGTTAGCACCTGCATGTTCGGGTGAAAGGGAAATCCTGTTTTTTTACACTTAAGAATGAGGGGTGGAATAGGTAGGTAACATGTAAAAGACTTGCTTCTCATGGCTTCGCCCTTGACATTCAGTATTTGGAAATGTCTTAAAAGTAGTCCTGTTTTAGAAAATCCTTTTTCAAATACTTGTTATCCCAGGGAGATTAGTTTATCCTGGAAGGTCTCACAGTTGTCAGCCTCAGCCGCCTTAGAGAATGAAATTCCCCTTTCGCTCAGTGTTTCTGGCTCATGGGATTCAATTCAAGCCTGGTCAGGTCTCCTTGGCTGGGGTTTTTGTCCTGGGAACAGACACTCGGCTGTGTCTCATGTGTCCACATTCACTCGTGACTCTACTGGCTTGCTCAGAGCGTGGTTAGGTCTCAGCTCCTGAAAATGCATTCGGCAGAAGACTTAGAAACATCACTTGCTTCATTTGTATGAAAATAGAAAGTGGTGGATAATTATGTATTATACGCCTTTGTGTCAGTTCACCTAATACTTGAAGCAGTCTTTGTCTCCGAGGAGGAGGCCCTTACTGAGAGGCGCTATGTGAATGGTACATTCATCCTTGGAGGGGGTGGATTGTTTACATCATGTCTGGACTTTTGTCTAGGTGGGTAGACAGTTCTGCTACCCCAGCGGCCCCACAACAAAGAAGTCTACGTAGATTTAAAAAAACCTACATAGGCTCTGTTTTGTGTCTTATTATAAACTTTTGGATTTTAGCCAACAGAGAAACACTTGAACTTTAACTGTGGAACAAGAGGGTAATGGATTCAAGGGAGGATTTAAAACACATTTAATCCTTGGAGAGAACTGGGAAGTGAAGGTCTCCGTGAGAGTTCTAGTCCGTTCTAGCTCTGCTCTCCCTGGAAATGGATTGTGCTGGTCTGTCTTGTTCTCAGATGTATATTAAAGCTCAGCCTGTCACTAGAAGGAAGCGTCTTCAGGAGAGTTGAATTCAAGAACTACATAAAAAGAATTAGCTGAGTGTCCACAGCAGGCAGGAAGAGGGGCTGTGAGAGCTGCGGCGGCAGTGCCGGCAGCACGCAGACCCTAAGTGTGTAGGAGATTGAGACACTCGAGCTGATGCCCCAGTCAGATGGTGTTATGAGAAAGAGGGTGCCTTTTTGTCAGTCAAAAATTGAAGAGAGTCACGTAAAACGTCTCATAGTTTTCTAGATGAATGCATGTGAACTTCGAGCCACATTTCTCAGGTTCAGTTACTCAGTTGCTCAGATAAACTGTCTCCAGATTAGGTGGTGACTGGAGGCTGCAAAGGCTGACCACGTGCACCTGCTGTGAGAGGCCATTTGAAGGATAGGATTTCAAGGGAACAGCCTCTTTGAATAACCTCATTTTCATCTATTGCTTCTTGTGGGACGAGGGTGTAAATCCCGGTCATCCTCCTTCCCGGGACATGGGGGCTCTTCGACGGGCCGTTCTCTGAGGGAGCAATTACTCCCGCCGGCTTCCTGGGCAGCCTGATAATGTTCTGCTCCTGTTTTCAGCCAGGCTCCGGCTAGGCACTGATTTGATAATAAGAGATCCTGATCAAATTAAGGAGCCATTTGCTTCTGGATGATGATATTGATAGAAAGGGCTGGTGTCCGCACTGCCTGCTTTTTAAAAGGTCAGGACACAGGCTTTAACTACAAACTACTACCCAAGAGCAAACCAGAGGCAGCATCAAGTTTGTGCTTTCTTCTCCGTCGCCGTCACGGCTGAGCAAGGGGCTGCTCAGTATCGGCTGAAATCCCAGCTGGCTTGTTTTGCCTCCTGTTTGGAGGGGTTGAAGCTGGGGGGCTCATTGGGGAGGCAACCGTATAATGACTCTCTAAACTGCTAAACTGTAAATTCGAGTCAAGCGCTTTGGGGGCTCTTGGGTCACTAAGCTCCCGGCTCTCACACCCAAGCTTCTTAGACTTGCATGTTCTTGAAGACAACAGTCTCTGCTCCAGTTAGACATAGGTCCTAAGTGTGTGTGTGTCGTTTGTATGCTGGGTCTTCTCATCTGGAGCTTCGAGAGTAGTGTGGGGCCGCTCTCAGTGTGAGTTTGTTAGACAAGGATTTGGACATTATCCCATCTGCAGTGGTTAGAGAAGACAAGCAGGGGCGTGAAATACCCCCTGGAGTGCTGTGTGCTCAGCCTAAATCAGGAGCTTTGCAGACAACCCGGAGCCCTGTGGGCTGCGGTGATGACACAGGCAGAGGGTGGGCAGGGCTACCAGTGCCCTGCTTGGCCTGGGATCAGCTGTGCGCAGCTCCCTGAGAGCCCAGGGACCACGTGGAGATTATGATTGGTCTCTAGACCACGCCTAGTTGATGAGTGCGGCAGCTGCCTGAAAATCCCTCAGCTCTGCTGAGATCACCAGAGTGTGCACAGCCTACCTTCAGACTCCCAGACCCGAGAGGAGCGGTGCTGTCGCGGTGGAGTGGTCCCGGAAACTTGGGTGAGTGGATTGGGGAAAGGGGTGCAAGTGGCTGGCATTGAGAGGAGTTGCCGGAGAGGGCAGCAGTGGAGGCAAAGGCTTATACTTGTTACCATCTGATTGTGTCTGTGGTGGGCAATATTAGGGTTGGATCAGATGCCTCCAAGCACCTTGGGGAAGGGGAGTCCAGCGACAAATAGATGGCCGCCAGCTGGCACTCCTGCTCTGAAGGGCATTTCACACCATGTACCAGAGCGCCTCAGCTTAGGGTGGGGAATTACAGAGGGTCTGTGGTGAGTCTCCCGCCTTTCTCCCACCCCAATGGGTCTCTTCTCCCCTCCCAGGCAGCTCTGTTCAAGTGCAGCTTGAGTGATGGGAAGAGAAAGCTTTATTATATCCATTAGCAGTACTCACAGTATTAAAAATGCAGGAGGTGGGTGGGAAGGAGAGGGCGGGCGGTGGTGAAGACTAATGCAGCAGGCGAGGCTCTGGGAACAAACTTCTCTGAGCCCAGAGCAGATCAATGAGGGGAAGTTTTAGAATTCTCCGGTGTAAATGCGAAGAGAAAGCGCAGGAGGTCATTATGGAGAAAACCATCCCTTGGCGCCTCCTTAGCCTTAAAGTGTGTTGACTTTTTGAGGGCCAGGGCCTGGTCCCACCCCCTGTATCCACTCTGCCTGGAACAGTGCCTGGCTCGGAGCACGTGCTCGGCGACGCCTGCAGGCGGTCGGGCCCGGGCGGGCTCCGTCGGCTGCGAGCTCAGGGTCTCCCGCACCCCTGTCCCGCAGGTGCTGGGGCCTCGCGCGCAGGGCAATGCCGGCCTCGTCCGCCGTCCACGTGCTGCGGCTGCTGCGGGAGCTGCTGGCCTTCGTGCTGCTCAGCTACACGGTGCTCATCGGGGCGCTGCTGCTGGCCGGCTGGACCACCTACTTCCTGGTGCTGAAGTGACAGCGCCCCGCCCGCCCCGCCCGCCGGCCGCACCCGACGCCGCCCGGCCGCCTGTCCGGCCGGTCGCGCCCCGCCCCCCCCAACGAGAGAGCTCGGCCTCCGGCCCGGGCGGGGCGGCCCCTCGCGACGCCGCCCGACCCCGGCTCCAGGGCCCCGGCCCGCTCCGCGCGCTCAGCCTCGGGACGGCCCCGCCCCGCGCGCCAGCTCCGGCGGTTGGGCGCTTAGCGCGGCCGTTACGGCCGTTAAACCCCGCCCCCTCCCCGCCTGCCCAATCCGGGCCGCGTCCTCGGGCGGGGGCGTGGCCATGGGGCGGCCAGAGGCGGCCGCGCCCCGCCCCCGCCTCGGCGTCACTTCCGGCGTGTGCGTCTGGCGTCCGCCCGCCGCGGAATGGCGGCTCTGAGGAGCTGGCTGTCGCGGAGCGTAGCTTCCTTCTTCAGGTACCGCCGCGGAGGGAGGTGACGCCGAGAGCACAGTAGCCGCCCGGCCGCCGCACGCGCCCTTCCTCGGCCGAGCGGCCCGCCCCTCTCCGCTGCCGAGGACGCCCGACTGCCCGGGGCCGCGGCCTCCCGCCCCTCGCCCGGCCCGGCCCGGCCCGCCTCCCCGGCCTGCCCGTTACCTCGGCTCCCGAGCCTCCGCCGGCCTGGCCTCCCGCGGGCCCCGTTGGCCCGGTGAGGTCACGGAGGAGCGCGGGGCGGGGCGGGCTTTGCCCGGGCGCCCTCCGGCGCCGAGGGTCGGGGTGCGGGCTGGCCTGGCCGTCGGCGTCCGGCGCCGCCTGCGGGAGCGCGTCTCGCGGCCTGGGGCGCCCCGAGCCAGGCACCTGCGGAACGCCCCGGATCCCTCGCCGCCTTCCGCGCCGCCGCCCAGCCCTTCCGGCGGGTTGGGGTCTCCCCAGGGCCCCCTGCGCCCCGCGGCGCCCAGTCGCCCGCCAGGCCCGGCCGGCGTGGTCTTGAGGCTCCTGTTTGGCCCCTGTTGGAATTCTCGGCCCCCGTGGTACCTTGGAGAGACGGCAGTGGGTGGCGGTGCCCAGTTCAGCCAGCCTGTGTTTCCAGGTACAGACAGTGCGTGCCGGTGGCCGCTCACTTCAGGAGGCGCTGCTTCTCGGAATTGATAAGACCATGGCACAAAACGGTTGCAGTCGGAGTCGGTGTGACCCTGTGTGCAGTTCCTATCGCGCAGGTAAACTACTGCCCTGGCTCTGCGCGCCTTGGAGTGCCGTGCGAGGCCTTTTGAAGTCTCAAGTGCCCAGTGATGCATCAGCCAGGCTCTCAGCTTTACCCACCTCTCCCGCCCGCAGCATGATGGTGTATTCTCCACGGGTGCCAGCCCCTTCTTTTCAGAGCTGAGCAAATATAGTCATGTTCCCATATGTGAAGTTGTTGTAGACCAACCCCGATACAAAACGGGGTGCCTAACTGTGGATCTGCTCAGGACATCATTTCTCCCTAACAAAGTTACTAAAACTATATAAAGGGGAAAGTTCTGTTCCCCACTCTGTCTCTGGTGAATCCTCTCTCTCTCTCTCTCTCTCTCTCTCTCTCTCTCTCACACACACACACACACCCCACCTCTGGCCTGTACCCCGGTTCTTGTATAAATAAATAATTTAAAAATCTTTAAAAAAATAAAGGCGAAAGGAGAGATCAGAACACATATAGTCTGCAATTCAACAGTTTACTACTTGTTAAGTGCCTACCATGAGAATGTAAGAACAAAACAAAGTTGCTATTCTCATAAAGCTTGGGGGGGGCAAGCAGATAGGCATAATACAAAATGCTAGGTGATATGGGCTAATGCAGAAAACAAATAGGATAAGCAAATAGGGCTGCTGGGAGGTGGTGGGTTTGTTTTATGTAAGGAGGTCACAGAAAGCGGTTCTGAGAAGGTGATGTTTAAGTAAAGACATCAAATGACCTTGAGAGAATGAACCAAAATAATACCTCGGGGCAAGAGCTTGCCAGGTGGGAGGAACTCTCATGTGCAAAGGCCAAGAAACAGGATATGTGTAATGAACAGCAAGGAGGTTAGTGTCCCTAGATTGGAGAGAGGAAGAGAGAAATAGATAATGTAAGAATTAGCTGAGGATCAAATCGTGTTTTGTGCTTTGTAGGCCATTGTAAAATTTTGGATTTTATTCTGAAAGTGAAACTGCAGAGGATTTTAACACAAGATTGTTACAAACTGACAAAAGTTTTTAAGGTTGCTGTGTGGAACCAGAAAGACCAATAAGAAGCTGTTGCTCTAGGCCAGCATCAAGTGGAGTGGGCCGCAGTGGAAATGGGGAGAAAAGTCTGAGTGTGGTCAGGAGGTGCTGCTGCTGAATTAGATGAGTGTATATAACCTAGATTGCAATGTGGAAAAGACCTAAGCAACTAAATGAAATTGCTGTTTACTAGGCTGGAGAGGAGAGGAGAGGGTTTAGAGGAGGAAACCAGTTTGGGGAATGTAGACAGATATGATTTTTAAAAAATCAGTGGCTGAGGGGCCTCCCCTGGTGGCGCAGTGGTTGAGTGCTGGGCTGTGAGGCTGCCCACAGCCTCTGCAGTGTCGGTTCTAATCCCCGGCTGCCAGCGAGGGTCCCACCAAAAAAAAAAAAAAAAAAAAAATCAGTGGCTTTGCTTTACCAAGAAGAACTAAACAACCCAGCTAAACCCGGTTTTGGCCAGTTAGTCCTTATACCTTATTTGTGTATTTATCACAAATATATTTCCAGCATGGCCCTCCGTCGTGTGTCCCGACAGCCAGCTCCCCCAGCACTCCCGTGCCCCGGCCAGTGCCCTCTCCCTGCTCCAGCTAGTGCTGGCTCCTGAACACACTTGTGTGCAACAAATGAATTTTCCTTATTGTACCTTCCAACTCAGGAGCCCTGGTCTAGTCCCTCCTCTCTTAAAGCCCCTCCTGACATGCAACAACAGTTTGATCACTTATCAGTCAGCAAGTCATAGTGGAAAGGGCACATACAAACTTGGGATTAAGTTTAAGCTTGAGGTCTAAATGTGTCGCTTAATGGGAGAAAGTTAGAAAACTAGTCAGAATTTCCATTTTAACAAATGGGGAAACAAGTGATAATACCTGGACAAGTGAATAATGCAGATTTTTATGTCAGTCAGCTTCTAGACTCAATTCACCCTGCCCCTTGTAGGCATTTTTTTTTTTAAAGATTTATTTACTTATACAAGCATTGGGTACAGTCAGAAGCGCGGGAGGGTGAGAGGATTTGCGCTCAACCGTTGAGCCACCGGGACGTTTAATTTTTTAGATTTGTTTCCAATTCTTTTTGGGAGGGGGGCGGGAAGGGGGAGAGGGGGAGGGGGACGGGGAGGAGGGCGACGGCGGGGTAAGGGAGATTTAAGGGGGAAGATTTATTGACACACACTAAGGGGAAGCTGCAGGCAAGAGGACAGGCCCGCTGCGCCCTGTGTGGGTTAGCTCCCTGGCTGGGGCTCGAACTCAGGCCACTGTGGCTTGATAGCGCTGAGTCTTAACCCCTAGACTACCAGGGAGGCTCCGATAAGCCTAGCTCTTGAAGCCTCTTCTTAACCTGTTCTCACTCGTGTAAGTGATTGGCCACCTGGGCGTGCGCCGGCCGGCGGACCCCCCCCCCCCCCCCAGTACACACACTGCCACGGCTCTCAAAAGTCACTTAATTTCCCAGTTTCCCCTAGCCTTTCACATGCTGAAGCTTTTTGATGGACGGAGAGTACATCTCAAGCATTTAACACTGATAATGAATAACTCATGGTACTTTACTGGTTATATAAAGAAATTTATTTGAATTATTTCAACATTGTCTTAGCTAAAATAAAGCTGAAAAAGTTAAAAAGCATAGAACAAATGCTTCTCTAAGCCCCAGGCACCTGCACACTCTTTCACTTGTCTCTGTATGATGAAGTTTTTAAACTAAGATGAGAAGCTGAGTGAAAATGTTTTGTCTTTCAGAAATCAGAGCCTCATTCTCTTAGTAATGATGTACTAATGAGGAGAGCAGTGTCCTTGGTAACAGATAGCACCTCTACCTTTCTCTCTCAGACCACGTATGCTTTGATTGAAGCCATCACCGACTACACTAAGGTAAGTGTCCTCTAAGCTAAGTCTTGATCATCTAAACCAGGAGTTAGCAAACTGGCTCACAGATCAAATCCAGCTGATGCTTGTTTTTGTAGTTTTCCGAGCACACAACCAGGTTCATTCGATGATATGTTCCGTGACTACTTTCATCAATGGAATGGTTGCAGCAAACTCTGATTAAGCCTAAGATGTTTACTCTGGCTCTTTACCAAAAAGGAGTTGGCTGAGACCTGATGTAAAGCACTGTATTTTAGACTTTTTCTGGGAACCCTTTTTTAACTATGTCAGCCCATTGTATAAGATAGGGGAAGCAAGCTGATCAAGGTCAGTCAGGGTTAAAGGGATCCACAATCCACCAGCAGCACCAGAGTTATTCTGTGAGGACAGTTTGAAAACCACCATAATGTGGGTGACCACAATGATTTGAAAGTCCTACTTATGTGTTTACCTTTATTTCCCGGCAGCTTTACCTCTGTCAACCTGAATTTTCCCTGTATATTTTGCTCTTTTGCCTTCTAAATTGCTGACAAGCTCTTAAAAACACAAGTTGACAAGGGGAGATACTCATGTCTTAGAACACCTTTACTTCATAGGACAGTTTAAATTCAGTGAGGCGGGACTGAAGAGCAGTTTCACTGTAATGGAACGTAATCTCATGAAGTTGTTTCGCTAACCCTAATATATGTCACTTATTTACTCAGACTCGTTTATATTTGTAGGCTGTTTATACCTTGATTTCGCTGTACCGGCAATATACAAGTTTGCTGGGGAAGATGAACTCCCAGGAGGAGGATGAAGTGTGGCAGGTGATCATCGGCGCCAGAGTGGAGGTAAACAGAAAAGCAGCTGTTTCTGCTGCACTGCTCCTGCCCCGTCGTGGCCCCCACAGCATTGCAGCTGGGCAGCCAGGAACTGTTCTCTCAATGTACTCATCTGAGTAAGTCCACTTAAGGTGCCTCACCTCTTCATGCTGTGTTTGGTTAATTTACAGATGACCTCAAAACAACAAGAATACTTGAAATTGGAAACCACTTGGATGACTGCAGTTGGTCTTTCAGAGATGGCAGCAGAAGCTGCCTACCAGACTGGTAAGTGGCATCTCCATAGTAAAACCCTGAACTTGGTTTTCATCTAGTTGTAAAATGAGGGACTTAGATAGTTTAAGGCCATAAGAAAATGTTTCCATTTCCAGTATATTAAACAACGCTTTATTTGCACAACAGGAAAAATAAACTTATAAACCAGACAGTAGAAGCTAGGTTGTCAATATCGAGAAAATGGAAGATGATAAAACTAATTTGGAAATTTTCATTGCTTCCAAGTAGATTCTATTTTTTTTAAATAACCGGATAATTTTATGACCAGTCATGGAGTCAAGACCATTGATCTATGTGAAGCTTTTTGGGTGGGTAGGAGTAGGGAGGCCCGGAATCTCAGTGACAAAGCCACTACCAGAACAGCTGTCACTGATTGAGCATGTGTTTGTCAGGCCTGATGGTAAACATTTCATATACTTTAAAGTAGGAGCTGTTGTCGTCATTCCCAGGTGGCCTCCCTGGTGGCGCAGGGGGTTAAGTCTCAGCACTGTGAAGCTATCAGCAGCCTCTGCAGCACAAGTTCTATCCCCCGCCAGGGAGCTGTCCACAGGGCGCATCAGACCTCTCCTGTCTCCCCGCTGCTCCCCTCAGCAGTGTGTTTCAGTAGATCCGCCTGTTCTGCTCCCCACTCTGTCTCTGGTGGGTCCTCTCACCCCACACCTCTGGCCTACACCCCAGTTCTTGTAGGCATAAATAAGTAAAAAATCTTAAAAAAAAAAAAATACCATAGTTCATTCAACATGGGGGGAAAACTGTCAACAGCATCCACTACTTGAGATCTGCAGACTAAATCGTAACAGTATATGCCTAAAAACTGATTTATGATTTAAATTTTAGTACAATTATGAGTAGAGAATATTCTTAACATAGTAAAGGTTAAATAATCCAATTAGTAAGAAAGATGAAGGTCAGACATTCAGAGAAAGATGCCTGCTCATCACCACCTTCCACCATTGCACTGGAGGTTCTCAATGTAGGGAGATTAAAAAAACCACCTGTTCTAGAAATGATTTCATAAAGTGTGCATATCTGTATAACAAAATGCACTAGTAGCGTGTAAAAGGAATCCTAGAACTCAGTTTTAAATGAAACAATTACAAAATATGTCCAGTATCTTTTATGTATTATGTGAGTTAACAGTAACACACTCTTTTCTGTGTGCCGTAGCCAGGTTAGCTATCTCTGAAGATCTGAGTAAGGTGATGAAAGAAACCTGAGAATTTTAATAGTGATCTTTTGTCAAAAAGAAACTGTATTAAGAAATTCATAAAGCATCTAGACCCAAAGCTAACTAAGCTTAGTAGCTACAAAATTGCGGGAACTATATTTCCTAATTATGATCGCCACAAGAGGCGCAGGTAGACGCTGGGGTGTTCACCATAAAGAGGAAGGAAGCTGCAAACCGGGATGTGGACATGGAGAAGGCTGGCGGGGGAGGGGCTTCAAGAGGGGCTCTGAGGACAAGCACAGGCCCTGGCCGCCTCACCTGTGTCCACTCGCCTCTCCTACCCTGTTCTTTGCTCAGCTTCATCGTCCTCTCCTTTCGCAGGAGCAGACCAGGCCTCTATAACTGCCAGGAATCATATTCAGCTGGTGAAATCGCAGGTGCAAGAAGTACGTCAGCTCTCCCAGAAAGCAGAAACCAAGTTGGCAGAAGCACAGACAGAAGAGCTCCGCCAGAAAGCACAGGAGGAAGTGGACGAGCGGGCTGAGCCAGAGCAGGAGGCTTATCTGCGCGAGGATTGAGGGCCGCGCCTCTGCCACGTTCCGGCGTGGGGAAAGCGAGGGTGGACGCAGCTTTCTCTGCGCGGAGAGGAGGCTGCGGGTCTCGTCCAGGGCCCATCGGGCCAGAGGCCTCTGTGCCGAGTGCCTGCCCCTCCCTGTGGTCTCCAGCTTGCGCTAGGCCTGTTTCTTAGCCATGGGCACTGCACCCCGTTTCACATTTCACCCCCCTCAGCTTCGCTGCCCTCTCATCCACTCTTCTGCCTTCCACCCGGAGCAGCTTACCAAGCTGGGGCAGGAGGAGGAGCCTCTTTTGTCATGCCCACAAGTTTAGTAGCTATTTAACTTTCGTTTTCCCTCTCACTCACCTTTTCCCATATGGTTTAGTGGCGGCTCCCTCCGGAGACAGGCGTTTCGGGGCGGGGAGGGGTGGCCGATCCCGTTAGATTTCTTTTTGTTCCTAACACCTCTGTCCTGACCGCAGCGCCCTGGAAGGACAGCTCAGGCCCAAGGAGCCGAAAGTCCTTTATTCGCAGGGGGCTGGACAGAGTGTCCCTGGTGCTCTCAACAGGACTGACTTCCGCACAGCTCTCATTTCCTTCTTTGAGTTTATTGTATCTGAAGGAGAATTTTTTTTTGCATTTAAAAAGGAAAATGTGTGTGATTTTCTGGAGCCCGCTGCAGCCTCCACTCCACCGCCAGGCTGGGACAGCCCCAGGGCCCCGGGATGCCCTTGGGGAGCACCCGTCTGGGGTGCAGCAGGCTTGTGTTTTTAATCAGCAGGGTTGGGGGGGAGGGGACGGAGACGCGGTGTTTCCTGCCGACTAGACGGCCAAGGGCCCACTGTCCCGGCTCCCAGTGTCCCGTCGTGACGGACGTCGGCACCGAGTCCCCTCTGGGGCTATTGCTCACTCTAGCCCTCGGCGCCCGGGCAGAGGGGCGGCTGCGCACTTGAGCCCCTCATCTGTCACCAGCGCCCACGTGGTCCACATCTCCAGGGGGCTGAGGCGGTGCACCAGCAGGAGCCCTCTGTACAGGCAGGGGTCCCGGGGGTTCAGGGGCTGCTGTATCCCAAAGGTCTTGAAGCCAGCGTGGTGTAGGGGGCTCACCCCCAGCCGTCGCAGGCACATCCCCACGAAGATGTCATCGATGGGGAAGAGCTCAGCCTCCTCCACGGCTGTCTGGAGGCGCCGCATGGTGGCTCTGGACACGACGTAGCCTCCGCCCCCCGCGTAGGGCGGGTAGTGGCGGGCCCTGTACATGGAGGGCGGGATGAAGTACTTGACCTTGGTGTTCCTGTTGGGCAGCGCCTGGCGGATGACGTCTCCCGCCAGGAGGTCCTGGGCTGGGTCCCGGCCGTCTAGGAACTCCAGGACGTTGGGGACGTGGACGAAGACGTCGTCGTCTCCCTTCAGCATGAAGTGGGCCCGAGGGCACGCAGCGGCCACCCAGCGCTGCAGGTGCAGCTCCTTGAGCGTCAGGTTGAAGAAGTCCTCGGCAAAGTCCCACTGCAGGATGTCGTGGAACTCCCGGCTCTCGTAGGCCAGCAGCTCGGCCGGGGGTGCGGGGCCTGCCACCCCTAGGAGGAACAGCAGCTTCAGCCGCCGGCCTCTGGCCCAGCGCCCCGCGCGCCCCCAGGTGCTGCGGATGGCCGCGCGCCGCTCCACGTGGCCGGGCTGCGACTTGATGGCCAAGAGCAGAAAGGTGTCCTCGGCACAGGCCGAAGGCGCCAGCAAGGTGGCGAAGCTGCGGCAGTGGCGATAGGTCAGGAAGAGGCGGTGGCGGCCGGGCAGGGACGGGGAGGCGTTGGCCAGCGTGAGGTTGGGCGGGCACGGGCTGCGGCGCGGGCCCGGGGGCGCCCAGAAGGGCTGGGGGGCCGGGGAGCCCCCCGCCGGCGCGGCCGCCCTCTTCAGGAGGAGCAGGCAGCCGAGCAGCAGCACCGCGGCGCTGGACAGCACCGGCCAGCCCGGCCTGCGGAGCATGGCGCGTCCTGCAAGGAGAGCGGGGTGAGCGCGGGGGGCCGCCGCCCTGGCCCTGAGGCCGGGGTTCCCGCGCCGGCAGCTCCCCCGCCGCCTGGGGCTTTTCCACGCTGTCCGCCGACTCCCGGGGGGCAGAGGCCCGGACCCAGCGCCCCCAGGTTCGCTTTTCCCGAAAGCACCGGCCGGCGCTTTCACCAGGCGCTCCCGGGCCGGGCTTTGCCCAGCAGGCCCGGAGCCTTCGCGCCCGGCGCCAGCGCAGCTGCGCCTGCTGGGCTCATTCTCCGCCCCAGCCCGGCCCGGGGGTTCCCACCTGAAGCCGAACCATTTCCAGAGTGCGTGGAGTTGGGGGGGGCGTCGGGACAGCCCGGGAGCTGCCCTTGGGGAGCCTGCGCCCGCGGAACCAGGCAGCGCCGCGGGTGGGGGCGCCGGGCTCCGGGCTTCAGGGGAGAGCCAGCTGCAGGCCCGGGGCTCCCCCGAGGCCCCCTCTCCCGCCCCCCCACCCCGGGCTCCGGCCTCCCCGCAGCCTCCACACCCTCTTCGGCGCCACCGCCCGCTGAGCCCGAGGCCTCCGGGCCCCGCGGCCCCCGCCGGAGCAGCTCTCGGCCGCCGCGCCGCCCCCGAGCCGGGGGTCCCGCCGCACTCAGGCGTCGGGCGCCAGGAGCTCCGGCCGCGCGGGCGGACGCGACGAGGCCGTGTGACCAGCGCCGCTCGGCGGCCCCGGGAGCGGGGAGGCGGCCGCAAGGGCGGGGGCCGGTGCCCGCCAGAGGGGCGCGGGGGCGAGGGAGGGCGCGGCCGGGGCAGGACCGCCGAGACGGGGCGCCGGCGGGGAGCGGCCACGGGGTGCGCTGGGGGGGCTGGCGGGGTGCAGGGGGTGCCTGGCTGGGAGGGGCGCCGCCGCTCCCCGGGCGACGGCGGGGGGCCGGGCGCGCGCTCCGCAGGACCGCGGGGCGAGCCCGGGAGGCGCCAGGGGCGGCCGCGGCCTGAGGTGCCGCACCCGCCGAGGACCCGCCGCGCCCCCTCCTCAGGGAGCCCCAAGGCGAGACCTCGCCCGCGTCCGGGGCCTGCAGCTGTTTCTGGGGCGTCGGGCGGCGGCCGAGGGTCCTCGGCGGGCCGCGAGTGGCGGACCGGGGGCGGCTTCTCTCCGGCGCAGCCTCCGCGGGGCCGCGGCCCGGCCCAAACGCCGCGGGGGCCGGAGCCAGTCCCGCCCCGTCGTGGGCCCGCGGCCGGCGCCAGCCCGGAGCCCGCTGCACGTCCCGGCGTTCGCGCCCCGGCGGGGCCAGCAGAGCCGAGCGGCAGCGGGAGGCGCGGGGACCCCACGTCCACCGCAGCGGGACGACCCCCGCGCCAGCCCGCGCGCAGGGAGACACGCTGCCCCCGGGGCCCCGAGCCCGCACGACCGCCCCCGGGGCCTACCTGCGCCGGGCGGAGGCGGGAGCGAGGGCCGCGGCACCCTCTGCGCGGGCCGCTCCGGGTTCCCCCGCGTCTGCACGCACCTGCGCCACACCCGCACCTGCGCCCCGCCCGCCCGGCCCTCGCGGCCCCGCCCACCCGGCCCTGCGCCCCGCCCACCCGGCCCTCGCGGCCCCGCCCGCCCGCCCCTCGCGGCCCCGCCCATCCGGCCCTGCGCCCCGCCCACCCGGCCCTCGCGGCCCCGCCCACCCGACCCTGCGCCCCGCCCACCCGGCCCTCGCGGCCCCGCCCATCCGGCCCTGCGCCCCGCCCGCCCGGCCCTCGCGGCCCCGCCCGCCCGCCCCTCGCGGCCCCGCCCACCGGCCCTCGGGGCCCCGCCCACCGGCCCTCGCGCCCCGCCCACCCGGCCCTGCGCCCCGCCCACCCGGCCCTCGCGGCCCCCCCCCGCCCGCCCGGCCCTCGCGGGGACGCCCCTCCCCGGGCGCGGGGAGACCGAGCGCGGCGGCGGCAGAACACGCGGGGCCGGTGGTCAGAACAGCCTTTAGTCGGGGCCCAGCAGGGGGACCGCGCGCAGCGCCTCCTCGGCCGAGCGGCTCTGGCCCAGCTGCACCTGCACCTCCACCGTCAGGGGCTCGGGCCGCGGCGGCGCGGGCGGGGCGGGCGCCCACGACCGCCTCTTGTCTGCGGGGAGAGCGCGGGTCGGGGCGCCAGGGCCGCTGCCTCCCGCCGCCCCGGAGCGGCCGGCGGCCCCAGCCCCGAGCGTCTCCTGCCCTCCCTTCTCGGCATTTTTTCTTCCGTTGAAATAAGATTCTCCGCAGACTCGGCGTCTGGCCGCGCTCGGGGCACGGGCCGCCCTCGCCCCCGCCCGCGGCCGCCGCCCTCTCGGGCTGCCGTGAGCCGGGTCGCCAGGGCCCTGCCTTCCGCAGCCCCGACCCCAGGGTCCCCCCTCCTCCCCAGCCGGCTGGCTCCTTCCAGGACTCAAACCGGGGGCCTCCCTGCTGGCCAGGGGTTACGCTGCAGCCCGTGAAGCTGTCCCAGCCGCGGCAGCACGAGTTCGATCCCGGGCCAGGGAGCAGCCCACAGGGCGCCGCAGACCCCTCCTGCCTCCCCGCGGCTCCCTCCGCCGTGTGCTTCAGTGGATCCGCCTGTTCTGCTCCCGCTCTGTCTCTGGGGAGTCCTCTCACCCCCGCCCCCACACCTCTGGCCTGGACCCCAGCTCTTGTATGCATAAATAAATCTTTTTAAAAAAGAAAAGAAAAGAAAACTGAAACCTAAGCCTCCTCTATTTCAGACGCTCCGTGGCTGCCCGCGGCCCGGCCAACACGTCTGAGCCACGCAGCGGCCTGTGAGGGCCCGAGGCCGGCGGCAGCAGCTGGACAGTCGGGAGCCAGAAGGCCAGGGCGCCCGGTTCAGAGTCCCCTCCCCCTGGCCCCTCCACAATGCCTGTCCCGGCATCACCCCCGGCTGCGGGAAGACGGGGTGGGAGCTGGGCAAGCGTGGCCTTCCCGCCTGCTGGAAGCCGGGGTTCCCGCGCCGCTCCTCCCGCCCCAGGGGAGATGCTGCCATCGTCGGAATGTCTGCCCCCTCCCGCCCGATTCCTGTGTTGAGCCTGAACCCCGAAAGGCAAAGGCGCTAGGAGATGGGCCTTCAGGGGGTGCTTCGGTCACGAGGGAAGAGCCCCCATGAGGGGTTGAAGCCCTGGTAAAGAGGTTCCAGAGAGACCTCTGACCCCCAAAAGGGGCGGACAGAGCAGAGCGGCTCAGCCCGCGGCGGGGCTCGGGGCTCACCTGTCCCCGGCGGCCTGGGCCTGGGCTTCCCGCCGTCAGAAGCTGCAAGAAGCAAACCCCGCTCTGGACCAGCGCCCTCGCCGCGGCCCCGGTTCCACGGCCCGAAGGGGCGCACCCTCCGGGAGCCCCACCCCGCGCCGCACCTTTCGGGGCCTTCTTGCCCTTCGCCTTTGAGTCCTGAGAGCGAGAACCACAAAAGATCTTACTGGGGCGCGGGAAGGGGCAGAGGCTCCCGCCCCTGAGAGGGCCTCGGGGCCAGGAGGCGGGTCAGGGTGTCCCGGGCGGAGGTGCTGGGGCTGCCCGGGGGGACTCCGGGGAGGGGTTCAGAGCCCGCCTCCCCCCCCTCCTCCAGGGCCAGCCCGCCGCCCCTCCTCGGCCAGCCCCGTTTCTGGGGGGCGGGTGACGGGGCGCCCCGTACTCTCAAAAGCGGCGGCTTCTCGGTGTCCGGGACGTGGAGCACCCCGAAGTCGCAGAGCGCGGCCACCAGCGGCTCCCCGGCCAGCAGGGGCTCGAGGGCCACCGGGCTGCTGCCCAGCACCCGCAGGACGGGGGGGTCCTGGCGCAGGTCCTTGGGGAGCTCTTTCTTCTTCTTGACCAGCTTTCGCTCCTGGGGGGCAGGCCCGGGGTGAGCCGGGCGGCCGGGGAGCCCTGCGCCGCCACGAGGCCGGCCCCACGCACCTTCTCCTCCTTCCCTGCCCGGTCCCTCGCGGGGCCCCCCTTCTTGTCCTGCTCGTCTCTGCCCTTCTGGTCTCTCGCCCGCTTCTCCTTGTCCGGGGCCCGCCTCCTGCCGGGCAGGGAGCTGTCGGAGGGCGGCGCCGCGGCCCAGGAGACGATCTGGAGGGCGGGCGGGTCTTTCTGGAAGGCCGACGGGGCGCCGGCCCCAGGACACCCCGCAGAGCCCCGCGCCCACCTTCTCCTCCACGACGGTCACCGTGGTCCCCGCCAGCAGGAAGGCCTTGAGCCGGCGCAGGTCCGCCAGCGCGTGGAGCATCTCGTAGCCGAAGGCCACGGCCTCGGCCCAGGGCCTGTGCGCGGTGCTGAAGAGGACCGTCCTGGGGGACGCGCGCGTCAGGGCGGCCCGGGCGGCCCGCGGGGGAGAGGGAGCCCGAGCACAGGGTCCCTCGGGCCGCAGCCCGCGACGGCAGAGAACAATCCAGAACAGTCCAGAAGCTCCGCGCGGCAGCGGGAACCCGCCGGCTCCCGGCGCTCCCGGCGGTGCGAAGGGGACGCCTGGAGCCCGCGAGCCTCCCCGGCCCCGGCCGCAAACGGAGCGCGGCAGGACTCGGGCGGGCGGCCCCGGGACGATGCCCTGCCTTGGGCGAGCAGGGGGGGGCGGGGGGCCGGGGGGGGGCGGGGGGGGCGCTCGCAGGCCCGCCCGACCGACCCCAGCCCGCGGGGGAGAAAGCGCGGCTCGCGCCGGGGGAGCTGGGAGGGCGTCAGCCTGGGGGTGCCCCCCCCAGTAGAGCAGGGCTCAGCGCAGCCCGCGCGCCCCAGAACGAGGCCTCAAGCCCTGTGAGTTCACCCCCCGGGCCCGGGGGTGAAGCTTCTCTGCTCGGCCCAGGCGGCGGCCAGGTGGGCTCACCACAGAATTGGCCGAAGCTCGTGCCCCCATCTGCACATTCCTGCCCCTTTCGTTAAGCAAAACTGGTGAACCCCCCCTCCCCCCGGACCCCACCTGCGCGCCCCTCCCCCTGCCCCCAACTGGGCAAGTGTTTCTCTCTGCAGCCTGAAGGCCCAGCGGGGATTCTCCCCATGGGCCCCCCCCAGGTGCGTCCTCACCTGCGCTGCCCCGAAGTCAGGAGCCCCGGAGGCCCTCAGCACCCCTGGGCCCAAAGCACTGACTAAAGAAATGCCGGGATCAGAGGTTGCGGCCATTCAGGGAGCGGCGGCTCGGGGGGCCTTCGAGGGCCCGGGGAGAGGACAGCGCGAGGCCCACCCGCCGCCCGCGGGGCCCAGCGGGGAGGCGCAGCCGCGATGGCGCCTGGGCCAGGAGGGAGCCGCAGGGCTGGCTGTGCCCCTGGCGGCCCGGGCCTCCCCCGCCGGGCCTCCCTCCTTACCCCGGGGACGGGAAGAGCCGGGGATCGATCTTGGGGCGCAGCTTGGCCAGCTCCTCGGCAGAGTTGGTGGACTTGGGCAGGGCTGCCAGCATGCCCGCCTCTTCCAGCTCTTCCGGCTCGGACGCCGGGGACAGCTCCGCAGAGCCCTGCGAGCCGTCCACCTCCTCCAGGAAGTCCTCGCCGAGCTGCTCCGAGGACAAGGGCTTGACGATCTGCAGAGGAGACGGTGCTGCCCAGGGCCCACGCCGGGCGGGCTGAGCGGACCCTGGCCTCAGAGGCGGGGGCACAGAGCCCGGCTTGTGGCTCCTGAAAGTTCTGCGCCAAGAACAAAGCAGCAGCGCGGGTGTCCTCGCCTCCCGCGGGCCCGTCGCAGCGAGGCAGGACCCCCGCGCCGCCTGGCTGGGGAGCCGGGCTGAGCAGCAGGGAGCTCAGGCAGGGGAGCCGGCCCCCCGCTTCGGCGGGAAGAAGGGGTGCGGGTTCCCGAGCAGTGTCGGCCTGGCTGCCGGCCGCGGGGGGGCGGGGCGCAGGCGCTCACCTCGGCCAGCACGCTGCTGCCGTACTGGGTGCCTTTGCTGCCTTCGTCCTCCACGAAGTCGTAGGTGACGTAGTAGCTGTAGGTGACGAAAGGGCCCTGCGGCCCGGGCTCCGGGTCCGAGACACTGGGGTCCGGGAGCCCCACGACATTTCCGATCGTCACCACCAGCTGCGCCTCCTGCGCCAGGAACTCTGCAGGGGGGACGCGGCAGTGCGGGAGCTCGAGCGAGGGGGCCCCGTCCCCGCCACCCAGGTCTGCGCCCCGCCGTCCGCGGACTTCTGAGCCCGAGCACGGGGAGTGGGGGGCCCGGACACCGACCCCCGGCGCGGCCCCTGCAGCCTGTGCAGCAACGTTGCAGATCAAGGGCCTCTGTCTCCCTGGGGGGCGCCTGGGAGGCTGCCGGAGCCCCTGTTCTCACCCTGGCGTGAGCTCCCCAGCCTGGAGAAGGCCGCGGTGCACCTCGCGGTGAGGCCACCAGGGGGGGACCTCAGGCCGCCACGGGAGGCCGGTTTCCCGCGGCCAAGGGAGGGAGGGGACGGCGAGCAGCCTCCTGGCCAGTCCCGTCCCCAGGATCCCAGTCACGGGGGTCAAAATCCGGGTGCGGACTCTGACCAAGGAGGCGAGCCGACGGCCAGCCCGCGGCCGGGGCCTCCGTGGAGGCGGGGCAGCCCCTCACCCCCGATGTGGCTGAGCCTCCGGAACTGGTGCTTCTCGCTGGGAGACACGGTGATGTCGTCCAGCACGCAGAGCCGGGCCAGGCTGTCGATGGTGAAGCCGCGGTAGTAGGGCACCAGCGCCAGCGGGTTCCCCTGCAGCAGCAGCAGCCGCAGGCGGGGCAGCGAGCGCAGGCTGGCGACCATGCTCTGCAGGCCCGTCAGGTCGTTGAAGCTCAGGTCCAGGGAGACCAGGTTGGGCCTGGATGGTGAGCGGGTCCGGGGGTCAGGAGGGGACTGTCCTGGACAACCTCAGGCGCACGCTGACTTCAGCGCCATCCGGCGTGGCCCGAACTTCTGAACCCGGGCCACCGGGGGGCGGGGGTGCTGTCTGGAGACTGGGAGGTCCCATCCGGGGCCGGAGGCCGGGGGGCCGCCCAGCGTGCTGCAGGCCCGGGACAGCCCGCACTGAGTGACCGTGGGGCCAAGGGCGGCAGCCCAGGGCTGAGGACTGGCCGGGCAGCGGGGTCGGGGCGGGCACTCTCACTGCGCCCACGAGCCCCGCGCGGCTCCAGGGCCCTGAGGGGGGCATTCACTGCGGGGGACATAAATCCTAGGCCTGCAGCTCGCGGCCAAGCAGGAGCTGCTACAGAAGAGAGCAGGGCCGGCTCGCCAAGCCACTGGGGGCACAGCCCTGCCTGCCGCTCGGCCCCGTCCTCCCTCAGGCCGGGCCGAGTTACCAGTGGTTCGAGGTGACGAAGGCACTTTCCAAGGGGCCCAGCAGCTTGTTGTGGCCGAGCCCCAGGTGCTGCAGCAGGGGGGGCGGGCGCGCGCACAGGCACTGCAGGCTGCACATCTGGTTGCCGTAGAGCTCCAGCACCTGGCAGGGAGGGGCCCTCAGTGCACCCCGGGGGCCCCCCCACCGCTGCGGGAGCCGGAGGAGCCTCGGCCCTGTGCCCGGCTGGGCTCCCGCAGGAAGCATTCCCGGGGCGGGCGCTGTGGACCGTTCTTGAGGGGGAACTGGAACGGGTCGGGGCGGGCAGGAGAGGACACACCCGGCATTTTGGCACCTGAGCCCAGGCGTCGGCTCTCGGCGAAACCAGCCGGCCCTGGACGGCATAAGGGGCAGCCCCGGCCCGCAGGGAGCGCCCGGCCCTCTCCCCGCGGCCTCCGGTCTCGGCCTTTAGCGTGGACGCCACTGCCCCAGGCCCGGCCGAGGGCTCACGATGGAGCCCGGCCCACCCTCCGCTGGGGGGGGGGTGAAACACACGCCCCGCGAAACCTGCCGTCCGCCCGGGGCCCGGGGACGGTTCGCCGGCGGGAGCGTCCGCAGCGCCAAGCGGCACCGTCGCAATCTCCGAAATTTGTCACCGCCCCACGGGAGCTGCCCCGGGAAGCCACCACCCCGGCTGCCCGCCGGCCCGGCCGCTCCCCGCCCGGGAACAAGAGCCGAGCCCCTGCCTGCGGCTCTGGGGGGGGCCTGGGACTGGAACTGCGGGGCCTGGGCAAAGTCGCTGAACTTCTGCCTCGGCCAGACCACGCCCGGGCTGCGCTCGGCCCCAGCACCCCCCGGGCCTCCCGAGGCAGGGCAGGGCCTGCGGGCGTCGCTGGCCCCAAGGGACCTTTACCTTGAGGGTCGGGGGCAGATGGGCGGCGTCGATCTCCCGGATTCGGTTGGCGCTCAGCACCAGCTCCTCCAGCCTCCGGAACCGCAGCAGGTCCCTGTCCACCTCGTCCACCTGCGGGGGAAGCGGAGCGGGAGCGCTGCCCCAGGCCCGCCGCCAGCGGGCGGCTCCTCGAAGCCTTCTGCGTCCTTCACCCTCAGCCCTCCTCTGCCTGGAGCCCGCACCACACCCGCCGTCCCGGGTCCCCTCCGCCGCGAGCTGCTTCCCCGAGCCCCGGGGACCCCGAAGGGCTTGAGCAGTCGCGCCGGCTCCCGAGCTCAGGCTGGAGGTGCAGGGCCGGGAGGCCCGGCTTCCGTATGGTTCTGGAGACATCGGGCCTCCGGGGCCCTCTCCTCCAGGGGCACCGACGGGGCCAGCTGCGCCAGGATTGAGGGGTCCCCCGACATGACACTCGCAGCGCCAACACCAGGGAAGTCCTAGGCACACTGGTGGGAGCGCCCCGCCCCCCGCCCCCCGCCCCGGGCCTGGGTGTCACCGTTTCCTCGGGAAACGAGCCAACTCAGGGACCAGGTGTCCCCGGCACTTGGGGCTCTGCTGGGCCAGGCGCAGAGCAGGCTTCTCAGGGCCAGACTCTCCCGGGCGGCCGGCTCCCCGCCCCGGCCCGCGGTCGGAGGACGAAACCAGCGCGGGCCTTCAAAGGGCGCCCCAGGGCAGGCCGGGAGCGAGCTGCAGGGCACGCGGGCGCCCCTCTCCAGTCTCCAGCACAAGCCCCAGCTGGCCCGCGGCCTCCCACCGAGCCCCTGGGGCTCACCCTCATGCTGCCGCCAGCCCCCCCCAGCGGCTCACCTCCTTGTCCACCACCCGCAGGGACCGGAAGTAGGAGAAGAAGAAGCCGTCCGTGATCACCGGGGGGCTGCGGATGGCCAGCTCCCTCAGGAACCGGTCCTCGGCGCTGGAGCCCTCCGGCAGCGCCCAGGGGGACTGGGGGCTGCAGGCCAGGTCCAGCAGGGCCTCCACCGTCTCCTCCCCGGGGCTCACGGCCTCCTCCTCCTCCCCGGGGGCCGGCTCCTTCCAGGTTCGACAAGTTTGAGGCAGAAAACGGGACTTATTCTGCAGGGAGGAGAGAGACCTCTGGCTGGGACCGTCTCCCAGGGATCTGAGACACTCAGGCCCCAGCAGGCCGAGCAGCAGGACGGCCGGGCCGGCGTGTCTAGACCCTGGGCAGTGAGGAGCAGCGCTTGTGGCGGCTGCGGCTGCAGATCTCACGCTGGACAAGGGGAGACGCGCGGCTGGAAAGGTCCATTCCTGCCTCTAGGGGGTTGTTCTCAACCTGGGAACCTCGCGGCCGCAAGGCAGGTGATGAGACACTTGATGTGCCACGTGCAGGCTCAGGGGCACGCGTGAGTCAAGGAGAGCGCAGGGGGGCAGCGGGCTGAGGGGCAGGCCCAGGGCCTGTCCAGGCGGCGGTGGTGGACAGAATTGGCCCCAGAGGCGCCTTCTCCCACCGCTGCCCGGGGATGAGATGCGCGGAGACCCTCCACGGCAGCCCCAGCCAGGCCTGAGTGAATGAAGGGCCCTGACTGGCTCCTCCAGGCAAATGGGGCCACATAGCCCCCCTCTGCCCCGCGGGAGACCCAAAGTGGCCCCAGGCTCATTTGAGAAGCCGGACCCCTTCTCTGGGCCTGCTGGCGCCCCCCCCCCCCAGCAGCTCGCAGGACCAGCGCAGCAGGCAGAGGGGGCGGCCCTCGGGCGCCACCTGCTGGCTTTACCCCCCCACCCCGCACCCGTCCCGGGGCAGGGCTCGCTCCACCCCCCCGCCCCCCGGGAAGCGGCGGAGGGAAGCCTCCCTCCCCCAGAGACTGGAATGCAGAAGTCGAGACTCTCTCCGATCCACCAGCCTCTCGGCGGCAGAACGGAGGGGGCTCGGGGGGTCTGGGGGTCTCCCCATGTGTCCTTTGGATCTTCGCCCGGATGAGCTTCTCTCCCCAGGAGCCTGGAATCTGCTGGCCCAGGTCCCTGCGCCCCGCCTGGGTGCGCGCCCACAGGTCCAGGCGGGCCCTATCCGTGCCCCCGCAGGGCCCCGGGCCCCAGAGCGCCCGCCCCACCCCCAGGTCAGGCCGCTCCCGAAACGCCCAGACCCGCACCTCCCCGCCGGCTGCTCCCGGACCCGCGGCTCCCGGGGCGCCCCGCCCTGCCCCGGCCCGTGCCTGCAGCCCCCGGGCCCGGGCCCGCAGGCCGCCCCGCCGCACCCCGTTACCGCGCCCCGCCCGCACCCCGTTACCGCACCCCGCCCGCGCCCGCCCGCACCCAGCTGCCCGCGCCGCACGGGAACTCGCGCAGGCACAGGCGCCGCAGGTGCTCGCGGACCGCGGCGCTCACGGTGCTGCGCGGCGCCTCCATGGCGCCCGGCCGCTGCTAGGCAACCGCGGGACGCGCGCCCGCCCAGCCCCCCCGCGCGCACCGGGGCCTCCCTCGCACCCACCTGCGCGCCGCCCCCGAAGCACCGCGCACCCCGCCCGGCGGAGCCCGCCTGCCCCGAGCGCGCCGCGGCCGCTCCGCGGGGTTCCGCCCGGCACCCTCCGGGCCGCGCGGGCCACCAGCCCCGTGGGGCCGCCAAGGAGGCTAAGTCCGAGGCCCGACCCCCTGAGCGCCTCCACGCGGCTCCCGCGCGGCGCTCCTAGCCCTGAGCCCCGGCTGCCTCCCCGCTCGCTTCAGCGCCAAGACCCGGGCCCGGCCTCGCCCCGCGGCCCGTCCTCAGAGCGTCGGGCCCGGGCCCAGGGGCGCTGGGGCCGCGCGTTGGGAGCCGGGTGGCGACCTCACGGGAGAGGCCGACTCTGGATCCCGCGGTGGGGGTGGGGGTGGGGGTGCAGCTCGTCCCGGCAGCTGTTGCGCCAGGAGCAGGACAGCGCGGGAACGCGGAGCCCAGCGGCCCGGCGAAAGCAGGAGGCGCCGCCACTAAGCGCCAGGCTAGGCCTAGGGAGGCCGGGCTGTGTGGCACAGCTCACACCCCATGACTCCACCCGTTTAACGTGCACGAGAATACAAGGACTGGCTGCAGGCCAGAGGCGGCGGGAGTGGGTGGGAGGATCCACCAGGACAGTGGGGAGCAGAACAGGGGGATCCACTGAAATCCACTGCTGAGGGGAGCAGCGGGGAGACAGGAGAGGTCTGTGCGCCCTGTGGGCCAGCACCTTGGCTGGTGATCGAACTCGTGCTGCAGTGGCTGGCGAGAGCTTGATAGTGCTGAGATCTTACCCCCTGCACCACCAGGGAGACCTGGCTTTGGTCATTTTAAAACTAGGTTCCTTCTCTCTCTATTGTCGGGTTGTAGGAAGTTTTCTGTGTTTTGGACCCTAGCCCCGTCTTCTATATGATTTGCAAATGTTTTCTCTCATTCTGTTGATGCAACTGCGTTTTCACTTTCTTCATGGCATCCTTTGACAAGCAGAAGTTTTTAATTGTGATAAGATGTAATTTATCTATTTTCCCTGTGGCTACTGGTGCTCTGAGCATCCTTTCAAAGATGCCCTTGCGGGCCCCCTTGGTGATGTAGGGGTTAAAGTCTAAGAGCTATCAAGCTATTGCCAACCCCTGTGGCCTGAGTACAATCCCCAGCCAGGGAGCTGAGCCATGTGATACAGCAGACCTCTCCTGTCTCCCCACTGCTCCCCTCGGCAGGGTATTTCAGTCAATCCACCTGTTCTGCTCCCCCCTCTCTTACCCCCACACCTCTGGCCTACACCCCAGTTCTCTTTTTTTAAGATTTATTTATTTGTTTGTTTGTTTGTTTATACAAGCACTGGGTACAGTCAGAAGTGCAGGAGGGTGAGAGAATTCACCAGAGCCAGAGGGGAGAGCAGAGCAGGCAGACTGAGGAAGTACACTGCTGAGGGGAGCAGCGGGCGGCAGGAGAGGTCTGCGCGCCATGTGGGACCCTCGCCGGCAGCCGGGGATCGAACCAGCGCTGCAGAGGCTGCGGGCAGCTTCCCAGCCCAGCGCTCAACCGCTGCGCCACCAGGGGAGGCCCTACACCCCAGTTCTTATATGCATAAATAAATGAAAAAATAAATCTTTAAAAATAAATAAAGATGCCCTTTACTAATCCTCTGTTAGATTTGTGACTGGCAAATGTTTTTCTGCCAATCTAGCTTGTCTTTTCATCATCTTAACAGTGTCTTTAGAAGAGCAAAATGTTCTTTGAGAAAGTCCAATTTATTGATTGTGATCTTGCCCCAAACAGCCACTGTGGAGACATTTGTCGCTCATTTTGAGTCTCTTGTATCAGAACATCTTTTGACTGTCATATCAGCACATCTTTACTATATTAGAAAAATTCTCCAAAACTGCAAAGTAAGGTAGACAGACTATGTTCACTCAAAGGATGAACTAATTCTCTATCATTTGTATCATGGCATTAACAAATCACAGAGATGGGGGTGACTTCTGATTAACGAAGCAGCGGGTGGGGATGCGCAGCGAGGCTATCTGGGGAGGGGGACGGGAGTCCTGTTTGGACAAGTTGAGACAGGGATGTCCGAGCAGCCCTCGCCCTGACGTCAGCTCAGCCAGTGACAGGGCGAGGGCAGGCCTGCGTGGTCTTAGAGCCCAAGAGGCAAACAGGAGGAACAGGGGAACCCCCTCGGTCCTGATTCCTGCTCCCCTGCCAGTTGCTGCTGTCTCTTTCCTCTTCGGATTAGGGTTTCTTGACAGAGTGGTCTCGGCGCACTTCCCTGGCGGCCCCAAGGTGGTCCTCAGCCGCAGCCATGCGCTCAGACTCCCCTAGTGAAGCCCCTGGTGACCCCGGTCAGCCATTATCTTGTTTGACCTCTTGTGGCTTATGGTGGTGCCATCATTTCCTCCTTGAAACCGCTTTTCATTGTTCCATGACTACGCGCTTCCTCCTGGCCTTGCTTTCCTCTGAGAGCCTCCTGGAGGTGTGTCTGTCCCTGCGCCTGACTCAGTCTTCTGCGGGTCAGCTCTCACAGCTCAGGATTTGGAGTCACATGTACAGCAGCACCCCAACTTATGTCTAGTTCCTCAATCTGTTACAGGGAGAGGGGCACCCCAGAGGCCCCACACCTGCCTGCTCTAAATGGGTTCTGCCGTCCACAGCATCAACACAAAACATATGAGACCGTAATGGGAAGGAACTTTCATACAATTAGTGAGCAACACAGGAAAGGCAAAGATATAGTTTCTAAGCCAAGCACCCAAAGTTACCCGTCCCCTCATGGGTGAAAGTGCACCCAAATGGGACTGGCCCAGAGCAGGCCCGAAAGCCTGCCAGGAGTCTAAAGCACCCTCCAGGGGGGACCCACAGAAAAGGATCAGAAACAACCAGACAAGCCTGGGAGAAAAAGAGCAAAATCAAAACCAAGACAAAAACCGCCACTGTCACCTCCCCACGCATCTCTCACCCGCGTCTGTGTCACCCAGTCCACGACCACAAGGCAGTGCAGTTTCTTCACGTGTCTCTTGGCTCCGCGTGCCTCCCCCAGGGCTCCTTCTGACTCCATCCTGCTTCCTCCTTCCTCAGTCTCCTCTGCAGCTTCTCCTCTCCCTGCTCAGCTCCGCCCTCCCTGTGGGTGGGGCAGGAAGCCCGAAACTCCCCCCTTCCTGGGGACCACCCTGTCACACCTCGAGCCCCACATGCAAATGCCCGTGACCCACATCCATCTCTGCTGGGGAGTCCCAGCAGAGTCCCACGTCCCATGTCAAAACCGGATTCGCCACCTCACCCGTGTTCCCTGACCCCTTCAATTTGTCGCAACACCGTCTACCCAACTGCTCAAACCCGAACCCTGGATGCCTCCTCCACCCCTCTCTGCCCACTGTGCCCAGGCGATCAGCATCTGCGGGTTCTAGCTCCCGAGGCCTTCTCCACTCCGCCCTGTCTTCCACCCTCTCACACGATCCCCGGGCTCAGGCCTTGGCCCTGGTAGGGCTGCAGGCACAGGCGCCCACTAGGCAGCCGGGCATCTGCCCCTGGGATTTGAAGGCGAGAGGCGTCCGTGTGGGGAATCCAGCTGACGGCTGGCTCCTTGGAGACAAGTCCCCTAAAGGGCCAGGCAGGGAGGGTTTTCAGCCCAAGCAAGCACTGACAGTGGGGCGAAGTATATCGGGACGACGCTATCATGGGAAGAGGGAAAAGGAGGATGCGGCTGGCACTGTCACACGCACGTTGCTGGCGAGCACACGGAAGGCTGGAACGAAGCCAGTACGTCTGGCAACAAGACCACCGGGGGCCGTCTTGGTTCTCCATCACTCGCTGCTCTCACAAACAGCAACAAAGCCGTTTAAAACCACGAAGGTGCTGTCCGATGTCTCCATGGGTCCATCCAGCGCGGGGAGACGGGGTTTTCTGCTCGGGGTCTGACGGGGCTGAAGTCAAGGTGTCAGCTGGGCTGCGGTTCCCATCTGGGGCCCAGGATCCTCTTCTACCCTCACCGACTGTTGGCCAAATTCATCTCCGTTCTATGTCCCGTGGCTGCCTCCACCCTCAGCCAACACTGGAGCCGCGTCTTTCCCCTGCTTTCAAACTCGGACTTCTGCCCTCCATTTTTTTTAAGGCCTGATGTGATCACATTGGACCCACCTGGTAATCAACCTAGTTTATTAATAACCTTAATTAAACCTGCCAAGAAGAGCTAAAAAGATACTTCTTCAACGAGGAAATGCAAATGGCCAAGAGGCATATGAAAAAATGCTCAACAGCACTTATAATCAGGGAAATGCAAATCAAACCACACTGAGATACCATCTCACACCAGTGAGAATGACCCAAAAGCTGGCAACAACAAATGCTGACAAGGATGTGGAGAAAATGGAACCCTCTTCCACTGCTGCTGGGAATGCAAACTGGTCCAGCCACTCTGGAAAGCTGTGTGGAGGACCCTCAAATTGCTAAAAATGAGCTACCATAGGACCCAGCAAGTCCAGTCTTAGGAATTTACCCAAAGGACACAAAAACATTAATTCAAAAGGAAACCCGCACTCCTGAGTTTTTTGCAGCACTATTTACAACAGACAAGATATAGAAACAAACAAAAAGCAGAGGACTGGTTCAAGAAGATGTGGTGTATTTACACAGTGGAATACTACTCAGCCATCAAAAAGATAAACTCATGCCATTTGCAGCAACATGGATGGAGCTGGAAGGGATGATGCTGAGTGAAATGTCATAAAGAAAAAGAAAAATATTGGATGGCTTCACTTATAGGAGGAACACAGGGGAGCCAAGTAAGGGATCAGGAGAAAAAAAGACAAAACTAGCAGGCAGCTGTCAATCAGAGACACTCGGCAGGGAAGGGGGAGGGAGGGGGGGGTCAAAAAGGAGAGAGAAGAGCCCAAGAGACTGTGGAGAAGGCTCACGGGTGATGTGGTGGCAGGAATTTTATGGGGACTCCACCTGAAGGAAGAAATCAGTGTACAAAAATGAACAACGATGTAAAAAAACTAAACTAAAATAAACACACCTGTCAAGCCCCCTTGTCTATGGAATGGACACAATTCCACAGAACCCGGAGAAAACAGCAGAGCAAGTTCTGCCTACTGGGACCCTGAGCGAGTGTGGAAGAGGAACCTGCTGTCTCTTCTGTGGAGGATTTTGGGTTCTGCCAAACACGCAGGCCTGACCCTACCCCTGAGCTCCTGACTCCCAGCCAGCAGCTGACCCGACATCAAACACATGCTCGTTGGCATTTCAACCTCAACTCTCTCCCAACGGGACTCTTGGTTTCTCCTCTCCCGACGCCCTGTTCCCTCACTGCATATCCGCCACCCATCTGGATGCTTCATCAAAATCCCAGGAGACATCCCTGACTCCTCCCTGAGGCACCTCCACACCACTTGTCGGCCAGTCCTGTCCACGCCATCTCCCTCCGCCCCTCCCTGGCCCCAGTCATCGTCAGCTTCACCTCAGCTGTTGTCCACCAGGCAGCTGGAATTAAGGCCTGGAATCTGAAGAGACAGTAGAGTGAGTAACACAGGCCGAGTTTGGGGCTGGCAGACATGTCCGTTCAAGCAGGAAGGTGATTCAGCCTGAAAAAGGCACCATCACAGGGGCAAGCGGGGTCGGGATGACATTGTGAGGAAAAGAGGAAAAAGCACCGTGAGCTGAGCGCCTGGGCCGCTGCGAACTCCTGGTCGGCCCTCGGCTCCCATCTTGGATTCCCACGATCCATTCTCCACTCAGGACCCGCCTTGCCCTCCCTCGTGAAAGCAACCAGGTCCACGCCCTCCACCTGCAGCCACCCCTCGCCGTCTTGTGAGGCCCTTGACCCTGGCTCTGCTACCACCCTCAGACTCCCCTCCTGCCCCCTTCACTCCAGCTGCCAGGACCGGCTGTCCCCTCCTGGCCACATCAAGCTCATTTCGCCCAAGGACTTCTGCACAGGGGTCCCCGCTTCTCGGTGGTCTGCCTTCTCCCCTAAATGTCACCTCCTCGTGTTTTCCTGAGCACCTGACTCAACGTAGCTCGCCTGTCACTGTCCCTGCCCTGGCCTTGCTTTATTTTTATGACTCTTGTGGCCCGCGACGTGGTGACCAATGCGGCCGCTAGCCTGCCCCGTGCCGCGGGAATGCCAGCTCCGGAGGGCCGGCAGCAGGTCTCACTCCTTGGCCTCTACTCCTGAGACCCTAGAATGGGTCATTGTGGGCAGCCGGAATCCCAATAAGTGGTTTCGATAAATAACGCCTGAGCAGACTCTGGCGCGAGGCCTCGCAGACGCAGATGCAGTTGAGAGTTCAATGATGTTCGAGATGGAGCCGAGCGGAGATAAGGCCTTTGACTCACCACATCCACGGTGCTTATCAGCGCTGTCCCCACGCGGCATGGGCATGCTTCAGAAATTTCCAAAGATAATACATTTTGCAAACCTCATGCCAACTTTACGCCTACGCTCACGCACTGTGACCCCCCACCCCAGAAATTCCCTGTGGGGCGCTGACCCTCAGCTCCTGTAAGTCACGGGGGGTTGGTGGTTGTGTCTGCGAACCCCGCGCTTCAAAATTTCTTTCGGTCAAATCAACAAGCTCTTTCCAAGAAGAAATGATAAAGCTGTGTGTGTCTTCCTGTGTGTGCCTCTACTGAGTCAGGCCTCTGCCCGGCTTGAGGGTAACCTCAGCATTTCCTTCCAACCCTTTCACCCAGCCTTGGGTGGAAGAATTTTGAAAGTGCTTTCTGGAGAAAAGCTGAGCAATGGTTTGCCATGGGCGGGGCTTGGATTGTTGCTCTCCCTCACATCTGGCCCCTTATATACCTCCCGACACCATGGCGAGCACACCTGGCTCGGGAAGCTGCCGCCGAGGGAGGCCCTGCCGCGCCCCACCATGGCCTCCCGCACAGGTACCTGGCGTCCTGCCACCTGCTGCTGCTGGGGCATCATCTTGTCTCCTCAGACAGAGGAAGGCTCTGGAGGGGCTGAGCCCGCCAGGCGCTCCACGGCAGCTCACGTGATGGCAGCTGGGGTGCGGGCCCCCGGCCTTACTGCCTCTTCTCTCTCTCTCCAGGATCTGCCAGGCTCACCCTGTTCCTGCTGTGCTGCACGGGAACCTGGCTGGCGTCCCACCTGACATCCATCCATGAGCCTCCAGCAGCGGACCGGCGGAAGATAATCTCGATGTTAGAGAAGCTGTCTTGGAAACTCCTGGAGGGCTACGTGAGTGCCCTAGAGATTTCTTTCCCAAACTCTCTCTTTCAAATGCCTTCCTCTGCCCCTGGGAGCAGCTACTCTTTTCAGAGCTGAAGCTCGGACTGTGGTAGCCCGCAAGGGGGCTCGGAGCAGGCTGCAACGGGAAGCTCGTGGACACAGGAGTCAGAGGCAGAGATTGGCGCAGACGGACCAGAGCGCCGCGGCCTGTAGATAACACTAGCAGATCTGCGCAGAGCGGCCTGCTCGTCCCCAGCGCTCTAGGTCACAGCAATGGTACATGAGTCACCCCGAGGGCCCGCACATCCCTGGGTGGGCCGACTCGTCCCTCCAGTCACCCGCGGGGGCAAGGAAGGCCTGGCCGGGCTGTCGAGCACGTCCCGGCGAACGCAGGATGTTCCGCTCCTGGCGTCTCCCGCCACGGGAAGCAGGGGGCGCATCAGGTGTCTGCTTCCTGCTCGATGTGTTTAGTCAGGACCCAGCCTGCCTCAGCAGGGCAGAGCCGGCCCGTCAGGAGGAAGGTGTGTGGCTGGGGAGATGGAGGTCCTCTTCCCTCTTCTCAGAAGCTCTGAGGTCACGCTGAGCAAACAAGCCAATACCCAAACGTGGGAACAATTTGTGAAACTGCTCTCGCCCTTCCCTTCCACTTGGCACTTAAACCTCAGCCTGGACGTCCAGACACCACAGCAGAGCTGGTTGTCCGCGCGAGCGTGTGGCGGGCCCAGCGGCCGGTGCTTGCTCCTGGAGAGGCAGGAGGAGAGGGCGTGGCCTGGAGTCCTTGGACTCACGCTCCCGGCACCTGCAGCCCCGAGACCCCTCGCCCCGCATGAGCAGGGGATGGGCGGGAACAGGGTCACTAAGAGCCCGGAGAGGCGTGAAAACCCAGGTGTTCTCCTGCCCCACCGCCCTGGACCCCTGAGGGCAGGTTCTGGCTGTGAGGCCTCAGCCAGAGGGGTCAGGGGGCTGGGGCAGGGGTATCGGCTCAGGGTCGGACCCCGAGGTCTCCCACTTGATCTGGGACCAGCTCGGCCCACCGGCTGGGCTCGCGTTTCTCGTGGGAGACACTCTCGGCCTTACAGGGGTGGGTGAGCCGGCGAGGGGACGCCTGGCCAGCCGGGCACCAGAGCCGTCCAGACCCGAGCCGCTGGGTCTGCAGCTATGCCCGCCCGCCCAGGCCCGCCCAGCGCTCACCCTCTGCTCTTCCCGCAGCTGGCGAAGGAGAAGGGAGTGCAGGAAACCAAACGCTACTCGCTGCCCTGCTCCACGGCGCCCTCCCAGCCAGCAGACCTCGTCAACAGCTCGGCCATCATGCCCTATTTCCAGGCCATCAAGCCACTACTCCCCGACCTTGCTGAGGGGGGCACAGAACCGCCACTCAGCCGTCTTGTTGATGAGATCATAGAACAGCTTGACAAGCTCAAAGCCCCACACGAACCAGAAACAACTGTCGCTCTGCCCCCAGGAAACTTCCAGCAGAAAAGTTTCATCGTAACCATTTTAAAACGGTTCTTGAAGTGCATGCAAGTTAAGTCTGCATTGCTGAACCCTGGGACCCAGAGGGTCATGTAAGGCTCTGGCGGAACCTACCCCTTTCGGAATGGCGGCAACACAGGAAGCCAGAAAACAAGACCGCCCCCGCCTGCCGAGAGCTCTGCTGCGAGCTCCTGAGTAGAAACGTCTATTGAACAATCTCCAGTGAGTCCCCACCTGGGTCAGCTCCAGGAGGACCAAGATGCAAATGTGCGAATTAACCTGGAAAAGATTTCAAGGTGTGCCACTGGGCGCCGTCCTGGAATGCACAGCACGCTCTCCCGCGCAGGTTGAGCCCACTCGCACGCCCTCGTGGGGGTGGGGGGGGCACCGTATTTATTTATTAATATTTATTGTGTTGAGAGTTGTTAATGCTCCTGGAGGAATCTATTTAATAAATTATGTTGGGTTGTTTTCATGATCTGTTTTGGATTTTGTGAGGTGGTTAAAGGGCGTGACGGGAGCCCAGGGTGTGTGGTGCGCGGCCGGGGAAGCGGGGACACGCTGGGGGACAGAAGCCCCTTTGGGGTGGCTGCCACGTCTCCTCCTTGGACAAACAGCTCTGACAGCCACGGCCACACTCAGGGCATCCTCTCGATGCCAGGCCACACAGGGGCAGTTGGTCCTCCTCTCGGGGGAACTGAGGCAGGAAGCAGCCCCCCGCCGGGCAGGGCGACTCAGCCAGGCTCCAGGAACCTCCACGCGCCCTCCCTCCATCCCTGGTGGTGAGTGGGCAGTGAGGCACTCGGTGTCCCACCTGGCATGGAAATCACTGCGTGTCTGCCCTGAGTTGCCCCTGGAGCTCCAGTGCTGTCCTGTCACTTCAGCAGCCGCTTCTTTGTAGCCAGGGCCAAAGGTTTCATCCTCCGAGTGAATGTTGAGTCCCAAGTTGTGAAGGTACCAGAGATAAACTGGAGAGTGGCTCTCACAGCGCGGTCTCCGGGCCAGCACAGCACTGTCAGCGCCATGTTGGAAAGCAAGTCGTGGGGCCCCACCTAGACCTAGTGAGTCAGACATTTAGGGGTGCAGCCAGCAATCTGTTCAATTGAGGCCTCCAGGCGATTCTGAAGCAGCACCCACAGCTTCATCTTATTTGGGGGGAAGGCAGTGTGATGTGTGCAGGTTCACACATGGGGGAAACAAGGCAGGGGTTGGGGGTGTAGGGGCAGGATGGTGCAGAGCAGGTTCTGTGTGATCCGGCAGACGGGTAAAGGAGAGTCCTGGAGCCCTCGGTGGCTTTCTCGGGCTTTTATTGAGCTGTGACATGTAGTGTGGCAAACAGGTACAGGGCAGGCAGGGGTGCGGGGGCGGGGGGTGGCAGGAGGCCAGCAGGCCTCCAAGCCCTGGGCAAGCCTTCCCTCCGGGCTTCTCTCTCTCTTCTGGCTTTCTTCCTCCCCTTCTCTCTCCAGCCTCTCTCTTGCTTCTTCTCTTGGTGACTCTGTCAATACTCCTCCCAGGGCCACGGAAGGAGGCAAGGCAGCTTACAGCAGTGTAGCAGCTGCAGGTGCCCATCAGGCGGGGCCGTCCGAACGGTGGGAGGGCAGGAAAGCCTGAAAACCATTTACCCTACGTCAAGCTTCTCTTACAATAACACCTATTATTGTAGGAAAATATTACAGAAAACTCATCCAAAAAGTGGGAAAGAAGCAAAACAGATAACCACGGTCCCTCCAAAGAGCACACACCAGCGACCCAGGGCTGAAAACAAACGAATGGAGGAAGGAGGGAGGCGGACAGCGAACCCTCCCGCGGGGGGTGCGGCTTCCCGGGAATCCGAGTGTGTGAGCCTGGCACTAGTATCATGACATGCCCTGTGATCAAAACACTCGAAAATAACGCCTTTTAAAATCCAGAGTCACCAGGGCCTCCCCGGTGGCGCAGCGGTTGAGCGCTGGGTTGCGAAGCTGCCCGTGGCCTCTGCGGCGCCGGTTCGATCCCCGGCTGCTCCCCGGCCACAGGAGGAGGGTCCCACATGGCGTGCAGACCTCTCCTGCCGCCCGCTGCTCCCCTCAGCAGTGTGCTTCGGTCCTTCTGCCTGCTCTGCTCCCCGCTCTGGCTCTGGTGAATTCTCTCACCCTCTCGCGCTTCTGACTGTACCCAGTGCATGTATAAACAAAAAAAAAACAAAACAAACAAACCAGCAAACAAATAAATAAAGCATGCCTCTAAAAAAAAAAAAAAAAAAAAAAAAAAAAAAATCCAGAGTCACCAACTCACAGTGGACAGGAACGAGGCCCGGTGGCCGCGTAACGGTCAGGCAGGCTGGACAGTGCCGGCGGGGGGCGGGGGGGCCCTCAGGGAAGCCAGGGCTGGGGGGGCCCTCAGGGAAGCTGGGGCATGGGGAGCCCTCAGGGAAGCCGGGGTGGGGAGCCCTCAGGGAAGCTGGGGCATGGGGGGCCCTCAGGGAAGCCAGGGCGGGGGCCCTCAGGGAAGCTGGGGCGTGGGGGGTGCCCTCAGGGAAGCTGGGGTGGGGAGCCCTCAGGGAAGCTGGGGTGGGGGGGCCTCAGAGGCCAGGGTCTGCGCGGCCACAGAAGCACCTAGGCAGCAGAGACGCCGGCGACGGGGGTCTGCAGTGTCTGTAATTTTCCTGTGCCTAAAATTATTTCAAAATAAAGCATTTTTTAAAAATACAGGCCCTCCGCGACTCTAGCTGCCCGGTGCACAGGCCGAGGTTTCCATCCCCGCGGAAAGTTCTAGGCTCGGCTCTGCGCTCAGGGTCGGGGCCGCCCAGGGGCCGTGGCTCGCAGGACGGGCTAGGCCGCGAGCCGGCCCGGCCTAGCCCGGCCGGCCGCCACAGGCCGCAGTCCACAGGCTCGCGGGCCAGGCCGGGATCTCACCAGACCTGCCGGCCGCCGGGCCTTTCTCCTTCATGAAAGCCACAGCTCTGGAGATGACTCACCCCGCGGGGCTCCACGGGGCCTTCTGACGAAAACCGCCCGCTGCTCTTGCAGGGGAGGAAGCCTGCTCTTGAGGGGTTTGCTTTCTCCTCTCCTCCTTCAGCGCCTCCACCTACAGCTTCTGCCATGAAGCCGGGTGGGCCCCACTGGAGCGTGGGCCTCGGGCCCGCGGCTGCCTTGGAATTCGACATGACTTCAGAACCAGGGGCCTTCACTTTCGTTTTGCATCGGGCCCTGCAAAAGATGCGGCTGGTGCCATGGGGGACGGAGAGGGTGGGTGGGAAATGCAGATTCCTGGGTTTCACACCAAGATCCTGATTGCAGGTCTGGGCTAGGCCCTAGAATCAGTGTTTCAAACAGTTGCGTTGCCATGATTTACCTATCATGAGGGTCACCTGTTCCAGAGCACAAGTCCATGTTTTATAAGTATATTCAGAGTTGTGTAAGTATCACTGCTTTCTAGATCCAGAACATTCTTATCACCCCCAAAAGTCACCTCACACCCACTGTGTGTTCACTCCCCTCAGCTTCTGATCCCTGTTCTGTCTCAGAGAGTCCATTCTGGACATTTCACCTCAGGGTGAAACGCTCTGGCCACGTGTGTGGCCTTGTGCGTCTGCTTCTCTCCCTCAGCTGTGCTTCAAGGCTCAGCCAGGTCGTAGCGGATGTCAGGGCCTCGTTATTTTCTACAGTTGAGAGGTTTGGAGCAGCATCTGGTAAACAAGTCCCCATGTCCTGACGCCACCAGGAGGGGACATTGGATGCCTACCATCCCCATTTCTTAGAAACAAAAAAACTTTTGAGGGGACATGAGAAGGAGATTAGGGGCAGAAATTTACCCCTAGTCAACACCACCTACCACAGTATTTGCAAGAGGAAAGCCCCTAGGTCACCTCTGCCTTCCCTGAACATGGCAGCATAGGCCGAGGTGACCACAGGTGGCCGGGGGGACCGGTTCCTAAGTTACCTGGAATTCAATTAAGTGAGAGCCCACAAATAATTTGAATTTCCAGCCAAAACCAGGAAAAAGGCAGAAAAAAGAAAGCATTTTGTGTTGAATTGAATCTTTTCCATCCAAAAAATAACATGATATATCTTATGTTCAAAACCCTCCAAAATAATGACTTTTAAAATCCAGTGCCACCAACTCACAGTGGAAAGGAAAACAGGTAATCAAGGCACAGAGAAGGGTTATTTCAGGGGGAACTTTTGGAGACCAAATACAAATACACTTGCCCAACTCGTAGAGGAAGAACAGGGACTACAAAGCTGTGCGAACAGCATTTTGCAACCATGTCTTTGCTTATTTTAAAGAACTAGGAGGTGGGAGGAAAATAAAGAACCAGAGAGGCAATCAGGTCATGAGCAAAGAAGAAGAGAAATGGTAAAATGTAACCTAGCAAATCAAACGGCCGGTGAACGTGACACTGCGCTCGAGCTCAGTAAGCCAAGAAGTGCAAAGAACCAAGGGACCCAGCCGCCAGGTGCGCCGTGGCTTGAAGGGGCTGGGACTTGACCAGGTGGGAGCAGGAGGAAGGCCTGCCAGCCACTGCCAAAGACGCCGCTTCCCTCCCTCTCCCAGCAAGGTCTCCCGGGACGCCATCCCTATGACCGCCGACATGAGGGCAGTGAGCGGGGCAGGACTGCCAGCTTCCCATCCATCACCGCAGCCAGAGCATCAGAAGCCAACAAGGAGGGGGCAGTGGGAGCAGCCTGTGTCAGCCCAGGCCCCTGGAGAAGTGAGCTGAGGCGCTGAAGGCTTATCAGCAGCCAGGCACCCCACCCAGGGGAGGAGGGGAGAGGGAGGAAGGAGAGGGAAGGGAGACTGTTCCAAGGAAGCTGGGCAAGGCTGCCCGGGAAGTATACACACTACCCTCACCTTCAGAGGAACCTGGGGTGTCCTGGGGTGAGTCAGCCTCTGAGTCCTGCCACATGGCTGGGCCTCCACCTTCACACTTCCCAGCAGATGGGGGGCAGGCTTTCGTGGCTGGAACAAAGACTAGAAATAAGGAAAAGCAGAGGAAAACCGCTGTGTCTCTGTGAGACGGCCTCCTGTGGCCATTCAAAACTATGTTCTCAAATATTTAAATGGTATAGTAAATGCTCCATATAGTGCTTGTAAAAGCAGGATGCAAAACCCTATTGATGATGATCCCTATTGAGTTTTAAAAATGTGCACGTGTATGAATATATACACCTTTTATTTCCTTGAAGAACTGGGGTGCAGGCCAGAGGTATGGGGGGGTGAGAGGACTCACCAGAGACAGAGTGGGGAGCAGAACAGGCAGATCTATTGAAAGCCACTGCTGAGGGGAGCAGGGGGGAGACAGGAGAGGCCTGCTGTGCCATGTGGGAAGCTCCCTGGCCGGAACTGAACTCAGGCCTCGGCGCTGCTAGTGCTCAGACTTAACCCCTGGGCCCCACACACCGTTTTTGTGTCTATATAGAACACAAATAGTCCGAAAGCAAGACTGGGTAAAAGTTTCCTCAAGGATGGGGGTAATTTCCTTTATATTTTTGGTATTTTCCAAATTTTCAAAAATGAGTATTATTTTAGAAATCAGTAAAATAAACACAACTCCAACTGTTAAAAGAAATGTCCATGGGAGAAAAGAGGCTGAAGAAAGGAGAGATGTGGAGGCTCTCACAGGAATTGGGACGCTCCAACTCCCCAGGCACCTGTCGACCACCCCTTGCTCTTCTCTAGTCTCTGAGAGCTCTCGCAGGCCGCTGTCTGGGCTCTGCCCGGCGCTCCGCACGCCCCTCCGCGGGGAACAACGAAGCACCTGTTATGGTCACATATTCCTTGGGTAGCAGAATCAGTTTCTGGATGTCACCAGTGCAGTTTTGTGTCTCCCAGCTCTTCCACAAACGATCCACAACGATAGTACTTCATACGAAAAGGAATATTCAGAACAATTCTTTTTTTTTTTAAAGATTTATTTATTTATGCATACAAGAGCTGGGGTACAGGCCAGAAATGGGGGGGGGGTGAGAGGATTCACCAGAGACAGAGTGGGGAGCACAACAGGCAGACTGATGAAATACACTGCTGAGGGGAGCAGCGGACGAGACAGGAGAGGTCTGCTGCGCCATGTGGGTTGCTCCCTGGCCAGGGATTGAACTCGTGCTGCAAAGGCTGCAGATCACTTCATAGTGCGGTGCTTAATCCCTTGCGCCACCAGGGAGGCCCCCAGAATGAGAATTCCGAAGCCGAGTTCCCTACTTTTTTGACTTGTTTGCTCAGGGGCTCAGGAAGCATTCCTCCCAGCAGCACTGGTGCTAAGGGTTCCACTTGGTGATCCCTAGTTACTGTACGTGATGCAACCTTAGACAAATTACCTCATCTCTCTGAAGCATGCCAAGTGGTAGCGTGTGTATAACACATTCACAGAGTTGTGTATTTCCGGGACATTTTCATCACCCCAAAAGAAATCCTGCACTGCTCAGCAGTCACTCCCCTTCCGTCCATTGTCTCTGGCCACCGCTGCTGGCATTCTACCGCTACGGAATTCTCATGTTCTGGATGTTTCATAGGCGTGGAATCATACAGTATGGGGTTACTTTTTTTCTGGTTTCTTTCACTTACCACCTTGTTTTCCAGAATCATCTTTGTGGTAGCCTGTATCAGGATTTCATTCCTTTCTGTGACTGTGTAATATTCCATTGTATGGATAGACCGTATTTTGTTTTCCTGTTCATCAGCTCAAGAACACTTGAGGTGTTTCCACATTTGGCTACTGTGAATAGCGCCTCTGGAAACGTCAGCACGGTGTCTGCGTGCATCATGGCTCTTGGCCCTCCACCTGTGACTGGCACCACGGGCCACCGAGTAACTCCATTGGAGGCAATCCCAGAGCCGTAGCCATGCCCACCAGTCATGTACACACGAGGGTCCCACTGTCTCCACATCCTCAGCACTTGTTTTCCGTTTCTTTTATTTGTTTAGATTATAACTGTGTTGGCAGCTGTGACACCTCATTGTGGTTTTTATTTGCATTTCCCTAATGACGATGTCGACCATACTTTCTTGTGATGATTCACCATTGATCTATCTTCTCTGGAGAAAGGTCTGTTCAAAAATCTTTGTCTATTTGTAATTAGGTTTTTTTCCTTTTTTTTTTTTTTTTTTTTGGTTTTACTGTTGAGTTGTACGAGTTAGATGTTCTGGAGGGCAGCCTGTTATAGCATGTATGATCTGCAAATATTTTCTCCCTTTCCGTGGTGGTCTTTTCACTTTTTTGATAGTGCAAAAAAAATTTTTTCAACACGATTTTTTTTTATTTTTGGATGAAGTGTAATTCATCCGTTTTTCCCATGGTTACTCTTGATGCCATGGCAAGAAACTGTCGCCCAGTCCACGGTTGTGAAGATTTACATCTAATTTTCTTCTAAATTCCAACACCATTTACTGAAGAGATTACCCTTTCCCCACGGGGTCTTGGCATCCCTGTTGAAAATCATTTGCTAACAGATTACAGACGTATATCTGGTCTCTTGGTGGACAGAATCCCCCTCGGCTGCACATCTGTGAATGTCAGTGCCTGACTGATGACTACGGGCAGTAGGAAAATCGGGAAGTGTGAGCTCCGTACCGCTTTCTCAAGATGGTTTGGCTGTCTTGGGGCCCCGCGTGTCCATGTGACCCCAGGGTTGGCGTGTCCACTTCTGGACAGAGGTAGCTGTGATTTGATAAGGGCTGCACTGAGGGGCTTTGGGGAGCAGTTTCATCCTAACCACATCTGCTGAGGGCCGCGTCCTTGGTGAACACAGAATGTCTTTCCGTTTATTTAGATGTTCTTTAATTTCTTTCCACATTTTAAAAACTGAGGTGAAAAGCATGCAGCAGTCAGCCATCTTAAAGAGTATAACTCAGGGGCCCTGGTATGTCCACAATGTTCTATCACCACCTTCTATTAAGGTCCAAAATGTTGCCATCACCCCTAGAGGAGACAGGTCCCCGTTAGTGGCTACCCTTCACCCCACCCGCCACTATCTCTGCAGTTATCTGGCTGTTTCTCAGTGCAGGGCCGTGGGCCAAGGCCTCAGGTATTGAGGCTCACCCACGCTGGGGCAGGGGTCAGCACCTCACGTCTTTTTACAGCTCTACCCCCTTCCTCAGGGTAACTGTCTTACACTGACTGATTAAATTTATTCCTAAGTATTTTATCCTCTTGGATGCTATATTGTGTGGAATTGCTTTTGCAGTTGCATTTTGAGGTTTATTTACACAAAAATACAGCTGATGTTTATATGCTGGTCTTGAGTCCTGTGGTCTCAGTAGCTTTACTAGGGTGTGTGCATGGGTGTGTGTCCTTTAGGATTTTCTCTCCAGAGCATCACACACTCCGCCCCAGGGGACACAGGATGCCTGGTGTTTTTCGTCTTGCCTGACCACCTGGCCAGAGTTCGGGGGCACTAAATGGGGCCAGTGCAAGCAGAGTCCTGCCTTAGCTTGAAAGTTCTGCCTCCCGCCATCAAACATGGCAGCTGTGGGGCTTGTCAGATGCCTCTGTGGGGGTGAGGGAATCCCTTCTACCCCTGCTTGTTGAGAGTGTTCTTATCAAAGAGGCACACCCCGGTTTTCTGCTGCATGAGAGAGGGCTGCAGTCCTCAGCAGGGTCTTCTGAGGACAAACATCAGCATGGGGCCCAGGCAGGCCCGGCTGCTTCTCTCGCCTCGCACGCGGGCAGGAGGGGAGCTCCACCGCCGGGCTGCAGGCCTGAGACCATTGTTGGGGGACAGTGCCCCTCGGCAGGTTATGTAACTCTTGCCACCTCAACCTCCTTATCTCTGAAGCGGGGCTAGTCACAGTGCCTATTCGCGGGCACTGCACCTTCGCTGGCAGGTAGTGGTAGGTTTGATTTATTTTTATTTTTATTTTTTTTAAAGATATATTTATTTATTTATACAAGCACTGGGTACAGTCAGAAGCGCGGGAGGATGAGAGAATTCACCAGAGCCAGAACGGAGAGTAGAGCAGGCAGACTGACGAAGCACACTGCTGAGGGGAGCAGCGGGCGGCAGGAGAGGTCTGCGTGCCATGTGGGACCCTCGCCTGGTGGCCGGGGATCGAACCGGCGCTGCAGAGGCTGCGGGCAGCTTCACAACCCAGCGCTCAACAGCTGCGCCACCGGGGAGGCCCAGTAGGTTTGATTTAAATCACAAGCTTCCCAACTGCCCAGGACCCAGGAGCGACGTGCTACGGCAGACGGTAAAATCAGCCGTGAGCGCTGCCATGGGAAGGGCTGGCATTGTGAGTGCTGAACTGACCCTTGCGGCACCCAGCCGAAGGCAGCGGGCGACCTCAATGAGAAATGGAGTCCGAATGGGGTGGCCAGAGCAGGCGCAGGAGGGGGCACAGACCCCCAGGAAGGGAAAGCTGGCAGAGGGAAGAGGCGTGGGGGGGGCGCAGCGGGGACCTGGGCCGAGTCACAGGAGTGAAGTTGACGAGGTGAGTGCGGGACGCGCCTGCGGACCAGAACTGAGCTCTGAGGGCGGGCCCCGGGTTTTGAAGCACGGGATGGGCATTAGGCTGCTGAATGCTATTTCCTGGCCCCTGGAGGCTGGAAGTCTATGAGGACGTAACCACGGCACGGCAGCGGGTCAGTGGGCAACATTTCCAAAGAAGAACTCACAGCACGAGCTCCCACGGTGGAAAAGGGGGTGAGTGCGATGCTGGGGGGAAGTACAAGTTAGAATGACTCCGGGTATGAGAAAGAGGACGGCCCTGGAAGTAGCTTTAACAAGATGGAGAAACTGGGGGGAACCCAGGATGCCGGGGGCAGTGGAGAAGGCAGTAAAGCAGCAGGAAGGGAAGGCATGCGCAGAGCTGGCCCATGGTGCTGACTGTAAACCCAGGGGGCTCCCCGCCCCCACCCGCTGGGGCAGGTGTCTCTTTTTAATCCATTGTCTGGATGAACACTTGGCCTAGAAAGGCCACCAGGGCCAAAGCCATAGGCTGTCAGCAGGCAGATCTTGTTCTGGACGCAGCAGGAAGCTGCTGGAGTGAGAGGGAGCAGGGCCTGTGTGTATCTTTAAGAAGCCCACTGTGGCCGCTGGAGATGGACAGGAGAGGGGAGGGCCTGGGCCCCACCAACGATGCCCTGGGGACAGCCTGAAGCTGGGGTGGGTTATGGGGGGATCGCTGACAGCTGACAGCGGTTATGCGGGGCTGAAGGCGGGAGGGGTCAGGAGGAAGGCCTAGGATGATGTCTGAGCTTCTGGCTTGATCAGCCGGTGGCGGTGTTCACTGAGATGTGGGGTACGTGGGGATGAACACATTTCTGGCAGGAGAGATGGAAAGTTCAAGAAAGGTGGGTCAGAAGTAGAGACTTGAGAGAGAGTGTGAGTCAATGGAAGGGGAAAACGGCCACAGGGAGATACTGATAAAAATCCCCGCAGGCAGAGGGCAGCCTCCCAGGAACCAGGCACTGGTTTGTGCCTGGAACACTCACCTTAGTCCTGCCCCCCAGCCTGGCTAACGGGGGGCCCTGCTGGAGGGCCTAACTGGGGCTGGGCCCCCACTCCCGGACGCTGGGCTCCTCCAGGCCTGTCCCTGCACCTCGATGGCCTCCCGGTGCCCACGTTTGCCCTGTCACTTGGCAGGAAGACAGATTGCCTTGTCTCCAATAAAGTCACTATGGTGGTCCCTGATTCAAATGAAGCCTCCGGCACAAACTTCTTGTTCAAAGAGGGGAATGTTGGGAAAACCCGTGGCAAGTGTTGGGGCAGGAGGGAAGAAACTGAAGACACACTGGAAACCCCAGGGGGGACAGCACATCACACTGCGGGCAGGCGCAGGTTGGAAGCTGGGCGTCAGGACCGGTGAGGGGGGCTGCCCACCCCCACCACAAATCTGTAATGGAACCCGCCAGCCCTGCTCGGTCCCTTCCCCTCCAGGGACGAAAATCAGTCAGAGCAGATCTGGAGATTAGACTGTTTACTGTGCCATACCCATCGAGGCAGGAAAGTAGACGCTTATCTTAGAAAGCTTTTCCCCTGTTCAAACAATAAGGGTTTTCTAGCGAATGAATCAGAAAATCTGATCAATCAGAGCTCCCCACTCCCTAGGCTCCTCATCAGCTCTAGCTTTGCAGCTTTTCAAAAAGCTTCTGCTGGGAGTCTTTAAATAACCAGCATTGCAGGTGTATATGCAGGTGAACGTGGTACTAGAAAAAAAGGAAAACCCATTTACTCCTAACAGATGAAACCCACACGGGATCTGGGAGTTGCTTCTTAACAGTGGGGCCAGGGGCCACGTACTTGTCAAACATAACTGTGACTGTTAAAGCAGTGAGGGGCAGGCGGCTGAGGGGCAAGTGGGGGCTCACTATGCTACTCTCTACTTCTGAATAGACTGGGGTTTTCTGAAATAAAAGGGTAGGAAGCACATTAACACTTGGACAGGTGTAACCACACCACCCTACCTGAGCAAGGCTGAACCCAGACCCTGACATACAAAAAAAAAGGTGCTAAAGCAGCAAATGGTGTTCGACAGAACCAAGTCCACATCCAAGAGGAGACACTTTCAAACGCCAGGTTACTCTCCGCACACCCACATTACTAATGTCGACGTCTTAAAATTAGACAGGTCATCTTAGGAGTTAAACTTTAAGCCCTACCCCTGTCTTAGTCACGGTCCCCACGCCCCTGGGGGCATGAGGAAGGGCAGCAGGGCAGGCAGGAGGGAGGGATCTGCGGGCGCAGACAAGTTACCTGGCCACCTGCGCCCGTGCTGGACAAGAGCAGAGCCAGCAGGACGCCAGCCGTCCCAGAACCTGGAAGGGAAGAGACCACAGCCAACGTGGCTGTGCCCCCAGGAGACAGAGCCAGTTTCTAAAGAACGAGCCAGCGAGGAAAAGGGGTGGAGGTGGGCAGGGCCTGGACAGAGGAAATAGGCCTTGGGAATGGGAATAAACAGCTGCGGTTTTTCAAAGACCCAAAAAGCAGACTTGAAGAAAGCCAAGCTGGGATGCGGGGGAAGGACTGGCAAGAGGGCTTAGCCTTTTCCTGGAAAGCCCTGGAAGGCCATCACCAGGCTTGGGCTTTTTAAAGCTCACGCTGGCCGGCAGACAGGACGGAGGGTGCAGCGATGGAGCTGGGAGGGGAGTGGTGGCCGGACTTGGGTTACATGGGGGGTGGGATGGGGGGTGGAGAAAACGGCCAATGTGTTCAGACAAGTTTTGAAGTGGGACTCGACAGGACTTGGGGTGGGGGTAGGGAGGCCGTCAAGGACAATTTGACAACTGACTTCTTGGTTTATTTCTTGGCCTTGTTATATATACCTTCCTGGATCCTTTATCAAAAAGGAATCACTGTCCACCCAGCTGTGAGCTGCTCTGGGCCCCAGTGGTGGCCTGCTGCTGAAGGGAATGGGGATCTTAAATTCTAGGGCCCTGGCCACTCTCCCTGTCCACATTCTGCTGCCCCCTTTGCGGCCACTCCCCTTTCCCCAAATTATGCCCCAAGCAACTTATAAAATGGCGCGTAGAACTCAGGGCTGGGCTCAGAACACTGGGAAGAAGAGATACCTGTTTAGCTCCGTGGAAATCCGCCTCCTTTTGGCCCAAGGAGCTGGTGAACACTCACCTCTCGCTGGGGTCCAGGTTCTGAAGGTCCAAGTCTTGCCGGCAGTCATGACGACTCTCTCCTCAGGGGGTGCAAGGTCAGTCACGAGTCCACGCACCTGTCAGGAGCTGCTCTACCCAGGACGGGTGGCCTGCAAGGGGACAGCAGGCTCTGCTCATCCTGTCACCCTGTGTAGGCACAAGGAGCAGGGCAGAGGAAGATGGTGTGGGAGAGAAAAGCTTCTGAATTAAACAGACATCACCACAATCTCAACACAACCAAGGGACATCTCCACTGGTCGCTTCCCAGCATCCTCTCGGAGTACTGGGCCAAGGGTCGGCGGGCAGACCAGCCCACGACAAAGAGCCCTCTGAGCTGGGGCCAGCGCTGGCGTGTGATGACAACTGCACCCCAGCACGGTGCTTCCTGGCTTACCCTGTGTAACCCCCAGCACCTGTAACGTGAGCACGGCAGGTGGCTTGGTCCGGGATCCAGGTGAGGCAAGAGGTGCTTTGTATGAGTGCGTGGATGCCGAAGTAGGGGGGAGGCCTGAGGCCCCGGCCCCACCCAGTTCCAGGGCAGACCCCAGCCTTCTATGTGTGTGAGGCTCTCTTTAGGACAGCGTGTTTCTGGACACCTCTTCAGAACCTCTCAGGAGGGGCCTCGCCTCACCCCAGGGCCTCCCCTCCAGGCAAACCTACACCCCCAGGTTGGGAGCCGGCTGTGGCCATCACTCGCTCTGGCCATGCATCATCTCCTTCGGGGCCGCGTTCAAGACCACACATCACAGGCTTTTCCAAAAAATATGTCTTTTTATTGTCTTGGATGCAAATATATTTCAAAAATGCATTGTAGTGTTGATATAGCTGGTGGGGTCACTTCTCACAGCAGAGCATCAGAAGACCCCTTTCTGGGGGTGCTGGGGGAGGTCAGGGGTGCCTCCATCAAACAGGACTGCTGAGGTTTGTCTTTCAGATCACAAGTGTAACTACCTCCCCCAGGAGCCCCGAGATACAATCACCAAACGACAGAGAAAACGAGCCATTTACACAATAAACCAAGCCCCCCCCCCACCCCCCCAGGAAAAGGACGTGGTGTTCAGCTGTGGCATTACAAAATAAGCAAAGAAACAGGCTTCGTCTCCGGGGCCGTGTGAAGATTCAGTTGTGGAAGCAGGGAGGCATCCTGAGGAGGCACTGGCTTCTGGGAGGAACAGCCTGGAATCCTGTGTCCCAGGACTGAGCCCTTCGTGCCTTTTGAACTGCAGGGTGTGAACTCCATGGAGAAGTCTTTAAAACTTCAGCTCCGCCCAGCCCTCCACAATCTCAGCTCTTGAGTGTAGCAAACCTCTATTCAGAAACCCAGAATTCTTCAAATTAGTGATGCTCAGGATGGGTTGACTGTGGAACCAAGAGTTTGATTGGGAGACAGAGGTGAATCCTGCTGTAATTGGAAAGGAATTCCACAATAGCAAAATGACACACACACACTCAAAATTCAACATGAAAATTCCCTTTTCTTTCTCTAGGCTCATTTTTGCAAGCCCTGACAGGAGACCGCCCTGTGCACGTGAGCGGGGAGTCAGCTGCAGAAGGAAAAGAAAAGCAGACAGTTGATACCCCCCTTCTCTGGCCAGTGGATGTCAACTCCGGTGGACACATGGGGAGGACTGAAGGCTTCTCCCCGTTCCTGGAGCCTCGCTGAGCTGCCTCTGCCCCCCGGCATGACCCTCCAGTCACAAAACCTGCGAGGGGAGGCTCACGGCTTAAGGCCAAGGTGTTGGCTGAATCCTCTCCTTATCTGTGCTCAGATGTGGTCAAAGTCCTCTTTAACAAAAGCGGCAGGAGGAGCAGCCAGTGCAGGGTGTCCCATCGCAGGGCTCCAGGGCTGCCTAGGTCACAGGGCTTCTGAGCCCCCGCCCCAAGGAGACCAGGACCGAGAAAGCACTTTGCAAAGAGAAGTTCCAACGAGGCTCCAACAAGCAGTGGCAGGTTCCACCTCCAGCAAGCGCCAGGAGAAGCGGGTGATTCTCAGCAAGGTGAGCGTGCACAGGCCTTGGGTCCACACACCTCCCGCTGAAGAGGGGTCTGTCACCCCAGGCAGCTGGTGAAAACTTGGGATCCTGAAAGCCACACACCTGCGGTCGCAGGACCCTCTGGGTGAAGAGCCAGAGAACAAGAGGCAGGAGGAGTGGCAGGGAGGGTGCCTGGACACCATGGGGCCCAGGCACCTTCCCACGTACCCCAGCCCTATGGGCCTGCCAGGACCAGGCAATGACGGGGACAGCAGTGTCGCCAGCCCCTGTACCCCTTTGCCTGCAGTGGGACAAAGGGGCCTGGGGCCATCCTTGGGTGCAAAGTCCCCAGAGTATCAAAGTGGACACTTCAACGGGCCAGAGCAGAAAGGCCTCAGGCCCCGCTGAGCAGCAGAAAGGGGCGGCAGGGCAAGGTGATGGGCCAGGAGTGGGAGCAGCTGGGTACGTGGGATACCTGCGGCCGCCTCTGCTCCTGCCAAAGGCCCAGGAACATGGGGCTGCGCTGCCCTCCCGGCCCCCCCGCCCCCTGGAGGAGACCCAGAGACCCCGCAAACACCAACACCAGACCCCAGGTTGCTTCCCTCGTGCTGGGAAAAAACGCAGGCGCCGCCCGCCAGCCCTCCGAGGGGGCAGCTGCGCGAATGTCTGGGCGGAGGCACAGGCCAGTCAGCTTCAGAAAGTCCCACGGCCTGTCCCTGCACGTCCCACTCAGCGAAAGCACGTGGCGGCACGAGGGGCGATGGCACAGAGGATTTCACGGAAACGCTTTCAGAGACTCCCGTGCCAGACAGGTTTTTTTTTTTTCTTTTCAGACTAATTTCCTGATTCTCCAAAGTATCAGCACTTGTTTCTTTTAAGGGAGCAGGGATGGGAATGGGGGTGAAAATGAGTGTAAACAAACCACAGCCTTGCATCAGCATCCACAGGGCCACAGGCAGCGGCCTCTGTGTCCCCACACTCTGACCCAGGAGCCCAGGACAGAAGTCAACACCAGGCCAGGTTCCTCGGGCAAGATTCCAAACGGGAAAAGTGCTGGGACAAGAAACAGCCGTGTCTGCAGTAAGAGCTGCAGCTTCGTGGCCCAGAGCGGGTGACGGTGAGCACCAAGATAAATGGAGTTAAGTAAATATCTCAAACCAAAAACATGCACCCACTTAACAGTTTGCTGGGACACACGGATGGACAGACCAACAGACGGAAGGACAGACAGACACACATACACACACCCTCTTCAAAGTCTCACACCAACTAACAGCCTTAAATATTTAACAAAACAGAATCATGAACATTAATTCAGCAAAAGGGAGAGGTAGGCCAAAGCAAGAGGCCAATTTTATGGAGTTTGTAAAAAAAGCCTCCCCGGGAGGGTGGGGAGAAAGCTATTGATCTGGGAGCAGCCCTGGCTGGTCAAGCACTAGGCCATCTACGCATTTTACTTGAAGGCACAGGAAGTAGAGAGGGGCCGAGCTGACCCTCCTGGGCCCTCATAGCTGGGAACGTGCTTTTTCCTTCGACCTTGTGAAATTCTTACCACAGTGGTCGTCCCCTTTCCAAGGGGAACTCCATGTTTATCCTGGGGGTAAGGACTGGTTCTGTTACCACTCCCAGGGGAAATCTCAAGGACCAGTCGCACTCTGCCTGGGGCTCATTCCCCAGGAAGGCCTGTAAACATGTTTTCAGGGGAGGCTGGGGGCGCCAAGCTGCTCTTGTCAGGGCAAAGCACAGATCAGGGGTAGGGACCTGCAGGTGATGGTGCCCCGGCTAGAGGCAGGGACAACCTCCTCCATTCTCGTCAGCCAAGGTTGAGGCAGGCTGCCTGCCCTCTGGGCACCTTGCTCAGGCCTCAGGAGCCCCTGAGAACACGGCATGCAAGTGGAACTGAACATCAGCCCCCTTTTCATGTATTCCCGGGCCCCTTCAGAGCCCCTCAAGACTGACGGCCAAGCAAGCACTGCCAGGTCCCCGCTTCCGCCAGCCAGGACGCAGGTCCAATGCAGAGCCTGCTGGGCACCTTGACCTTCACCACCACCGCTGTCCAGAGCACATTCCTCTCCCCAGGAGGGCCCCCTGGGGGGGTTCCTGAGTGTTAAACCAGCACCACACGCCTGCATCTACTCTGCCAGACACAGAACTCGGCCTGGAGTCCCTCCTGCTGTGCCTTCCTCCCAGCCTTCCGGTGGCGGCACCCACGTTCCAAAGCAGCCTGCTGCCCCAGACACTCCTTCACTGTGATCAGATCTGGGACAACGCTCCACTGTCTGACCTGGGATGCGTGCAGACAGCTCCAAGGCTGCCTGTTAACATTTCTTTCTCCCTCCAAACACAAGACAGGCTGGACTCTGGGTGGGCAACATCTTTGGTCCGAAAACTGTCACATTCGGGGCTCCTGGTTGAAGAGTCCAGATGAGAGGACCAAGCTGGGGGCAGCATTACGGAGTCTGGCCTTTCCAGCCTGTGCCCCGAGGCCTATGAGCTTCCACTGGACACCGGCTCCTGCCGGCTGCAGTGAGGAAGCAGGTGAACAGAGCAGAAGGGCCATGGTGGCCAAGGGGCCTGGGCTGGGACTGCGGGATCCTCCCTTGGGCGTGCCATGGACGCCACAGCCACATGGTACGACGTCACAGCAGACCGGAAGGCTGCAGAGCTCCCAGGCCAGCGCAGGGCTTTGCATTGTTTGTGCTTTCCTTCTCCATGTGCATCATGCCCACCGCTTCTGCACACGAGCGCTACATGTGCAAGTCTGAGCAGATGTCACTTCTATCTACACGGTCAGAGAGAAGGATGCCTGCCGCGTGCCCACGGGCAGGCCAGCATGGGTGCAGGGCGTCACTGAGCAGTGCAAGTGTCCAGGATGCAACAGGCACAGGCAGGGGACCCATGTGTCCCCTCTGCCCCAGGGTCTGGCAGGGCACTGATGGGACTGGAATGGGCGGTGCCCTGTCAGGGCTGCCCAGAGGGTGGAGGGTGGAGGGAGTCGGTGACTGAGGTCGCTGAGTGAGAGTTTACAGCAGGGATTCCCAAAACAGGGACTGTTGTCAGCAGGACCAACCTGCTTCAGACCTGAGCACAGCACTGGGAGCAGCCGGGGGCCAGTGCAGCCTGGGGCCTGCAGCTCTGCATCCGGAGGGCTGGAGCTCGGCCTCCTCTCCACAGCCAGGGCAGGGTCCCCACGGCACCTTGCGCAGTCACGTGCCAGCTGAGCGTGGTTAAGACTCCCCCGACCTCTTGCCGATTCTGGTGACAGCCTTTGCCGCCTGCTCGGGCAGCTGGGCGGGGTCTGTCAGGATGGAGGTGGTGGTGCTCAGATGGCGGAGGGTGCTCAGCACCGCTGCAAGACAGGAGGGAAGCCTGGGATCACGTCGCAAGCGTGCTTTTCCACACCCCGCACGGTGATTCTCACATGCTGAGCCTGCCCACAGGAAACCGGTGCCCCCACCCCTGCCTCTAAAGTAACGCTCCAACTCCCAACGACACGTGCAGCCAAGGGAGTCCTAAGCTTTCCTGCTGGCCCACGAGCTTTAACCATCACTTCTGAACCTTAATATTTGGGCACAGCTCTGTGATGACAACTGAACACCACCATCAAGTGACAGCCCTCGATACAGGCCCAACAGTAGGTGCCAGACCTGGTCAAAGCAACATGCACACTGATGGTGGCAGCCCAGGAGGGGCCCTAGGAGGTGCACCCCACGTCAGGACGCCGCAGCACCACGCGCCTGGCTGGGCTTTCTGCAGCACTGCCGCAGCCAAGCGCCCCCTCTTCCAGGAACAGCGTGATGGGGCGGCAGCCCTGAGCCCCACTCACTTGGCCTGAGGACAGGCAGGGCGCAGTGCTGCTCTAGCCAAGACAGCACGGTCCGGTGAAGCTCTTCCAGGCTGCTGGTGGACACCATGCCCTTGAAGGACTCAAACAGAGGCTTGATGATGATGCTGAACTGCATGGCACGTGGGTTAAAGAAAAGGAGCCAGGAGGACGGGCAGCCGAATCCAGGGCCAGGCCAGGCTTGCCAGGGACTAACTGCTCTCGGACGGGCAAGCAACTGTCCATAGTGAGTTGAGAACAGAGAGTTCTAGACGAGGAAAGTGTGTCCTTCCACTCGCCTAAAATATCTCCATCCAACCAGCCTGAGTACAGGTTAGGCCGTGTGCAGGCCGGAAGCAGGGACAGAAACATCTCTCTGGTCTGGATGGGTCCCGGCACAGTGGCAAGAATAAGAACACCAGCGGTGCCAGGTGGATGGAGGGGCAGAAGCCACCTGTCCAGAGACGAGGTTTTGTTTTGTGTTCTGCACAAACGTGTCAGTTTTTTCTCATATTCTGTGGTCTCCCAAGCCACCTGTACTCAGTGGAGGCACGAGGGCCATTTTCTCTCTGACCTGAGCCGGCAGGGCACACACAGCTCCCACACTTCAGCCTGAGGAGGAGGGCCGGGCCTCCTCCTTATCCCTGTGCTGCTCCCTGCCCCACCAGTGACTGGGGACAGGGAGCAGAGCCTGGTACAAGACAGCAGGGCAGGGAGTTAGAGCTGCCCTCTGTGGTACCATCTTCTCCTGAGGCTGAGCTACCCCAGGCCGACTGGCAGCTGTTGGGCAGGGACAGGCCAGAAAGGGGCTGTGCCAGAGGAGCCCCACCACCTCTGGAAGGCCTGGTAGGGAAGCTTCAGCTCCAGAGAGACCCTGGCACACAAGCGTACGTGCCTCATCACAGGTTCAGGGCCACGTGGCCCAGTTGCGGAAGGCAAACTGGCAGGACCTGACTTCAAATCCGGGTTCTGCCACACAATCACCTGGTGAGCCCAGTTCCTGTCTCAGCGGGACAATGCCCTCGTCAGTGCAGTGAGGACTGAGCTGGCCGCCAGGACCTGACCTAGTCCCACCTCCTCGCTCGTTACTGAGTCTGCAAGAGGCTCCAGCCCTGCTCCTTCTCCAGGCGCCAGGGAACCAAGCTCTGCCTCCCAGGAAGCCTGGATGGTGCCCACCACAGGCCTGGCCAGGGCCCTCTCCGAGCAGAAACTAGCCTTGCCTGTCTGGATGAAGAAAGCAACACCAGTGAAGCATGACCTGCAGAGTCAGGGGGCATGCCCGCTGTTCCCAGCCCTGGTGGGGGGGAGAGGAGCCAAGAAACCCAAAGATACGATCCAGAACTTCCAGTTCTGCAGGGTCCGGCTCTTCACATACTCGTCGAACATGTCTCGCATGTGATCGAACTGGCGCCGGGCAACAGGAACTCCTGTGGCCGGGAGCAGTTGCTGGCAGGAGCTGGAACAAAAGGAAGGGTCAGAAGCGGCTCGGAGTGGCTGGGGCACGCGAGGACCCAGGCTCAGGACAGCAGGCAGGGGCTGCTGATGGGCAGAAAGACAAAAGCCAGCGTACAGCTCTCGGCCAGGTCACAGAGGACCAGTTGTCCCCCCACCCTGCTGCCACCCCCAGCCTCACATAATGGTGGCGTTGAGCGCCTCGATCTCCTCCCGCAGCCGCCGGCCCTCCTCCTGCATCTGGCCGCGCTCCTGCTGCAGCTTGGTGATGTGCTCCACGGCCTTCTGCAGCGTGACGGCGTGGCTGGTCTGCAGGGCATGGCCGTTACCGCTGCCGCTCCACACCGCGCGAGCCCAGGCGACTCCCCACCTGCCCCCGCCCCCAGCCCACCTACCAGCTTGGAATTATTAGAGATCAAGCTGTTGAGGGTGTCGAAGCCCATCTTGATGTTGAAGCGCCTCTTCTGCTCAGCTGAGATGTGCTTCAGCTGCCGGTTCTGGGGGGAATCACCCGTCACTGTGACCCCACCCGCCGCCCCTCCCTCCTGCTGCTAAGTGGTGGGCAGACAGGGGCCCTGCGCCAGGCTAGGGCGGCGTGGGGAGGGGGGCGGGCTATAGAGAGCTAGGAGGCGCCTACAAGAGTGGGGTGGGGGGCGCTGCGGGGTAGAGCCTGGCTGGGTCGGAGGGGACGGCCATAGACAACACTTCAGAGGGCGAGTCCCCTCCCCAGCATGGCCCAGTGAGGGGTGCAGCTGCCCCAGAGGAACCTCAGTGTCTTCTCCCTGCCTCCTCCTCCTCCCCGCAAAAGTCAAGACCCCAGAAAGACATGATACCTTCAGAGCGGCCACGTTCTTGGGGTCTGCAGATTTCCCTGAGCAGTTGTTCTGAGGAGACTGAGGACTAGGGCTCTGTTCTGACGTGCACGGAGAGGCCTGCCCTGAGCTTGGCCCGTCTCGGCCTGGAAAGGACAGACTCCCTCAGGCAGCAAGCCAGGGACAGGCAGGGCAAGGCGGTGCTGGCTTCTACCTCTTACCCTTGCGCTGCGCGCGCAGGTACCTGTTTTACTTCTGTTCTTAAAACTTTATTATGCTTTTTTTTTCCAATCTTATTCATCCCTGAAACTTTTTAACTAAAATAACAAAAAAACTTCTTTTCCCACAAAGAACAGGATGGAGGAACCCTGAGAGCAGCCTCCAGGCACTGGGCCTGCGCAGGAGACCCTCGCAGTGACCCCCACCCTCTACTCCTCTACGTGGGGCCAGAAGACCTGACGCGCTCAGGCTTCCCAGCTCGGCTCTAAGTCCTGGCCTCCGAGATGCGGCAGGCCTGCCACCCACCTTCTCGGAGGACTTCAGTACCTGCCAGTTACCGTGGCTCCTCACTCTCCAAGTCTGCCCTTGCGGTCCATCCCTGCTGGCTGCCCCCTGAGCTAGTCACCTTCCCTCCCGGGTCTCCTCTGGCAGGAGGAGCTGCCGCTGCCGCTTTACTTAAGACAGGAAGACACTGGGCTTTACCTCCCTGGCGGCCTCCGGGGAGAGCACAGGTCTGAGAGGAGGGCCCCAGCCCACCTGGAGGTTGGCAAGTCACCTCCCCTGGCCCCTTGGCACTTACGATGTCTACCAGGCCATGGGCCCCACCCAGCAGTCTTGCCGTGGAGAGACAAGACAAGGAGACAGGAGCAGGGACGTGGTGCTGGGATGTAAGAGGCATGCCCCGAGGAGGCTGGGCAGCTTCTGTGCCCATAGCAACCCAGGCTGATGTTTTCTGTAAACTGCTGACAAGGGCTGCTTAGCCCCTGTCCTGGGGCAGAACCTTCCTGAAGCAGGCTCAGGGGGTTTTCCTGAGGATACCAGCCGCCTCCCTGCCACAGACCTGCTACTTTTCTGCTCGGTTTGTTCTGGCCTGGGCACTGGTGGGCTTGGAGACATGCAGGTGCTGGGAGCCCAGGTTCAACCCTGGGGGCCCCATATGGACTTCCCTACCCAGGGGTGGGCCCGCTCACTTCCCTCACAAGGTCCCAACTGTCCCAAACCAAGTGACCACGCACTGGGAGCCGCAGCGGGGACCTGCTCGCCCTTCACCAGGCCATCCTGCACTGTCCCCGAGGAGAAGAGCCGGGGGCCGGGGGCTGGCTGGCTGCTGCTGCTGTGGCCAAGGTCTGTCACCAGAATGCCGCTGTGGAACTCCGTGACTCCGGGAGCCTGCGATGACACAGGAGAGAGGGTCACCCCCGACCAGTCATGTTGGCTGAGGGCCCCAACAAGCACGGCCAGGCAGGGTTGTAGGGACACCAGGGTCCATGTGGCCCCTCACCCTGGCAATGGCAGCTGGCGCGATGACCACGTTGGACTGGGAACCCGGAGAAGCCAACATCCCCTCTCTCTTCAGAGGCCCCGGTGCCATGATCACTGTTGGCGACTGTCCTGAAAAGGCAGCTGCCGGAACAAGGAGGAGGCGGGGCGCAGCAGTCAGCAACCAGGGCACGGCACACCACCCTGCCACGTAGGACACCACCTCTCTCACCCAGGGGATGGGAGGACAGACACACCAGGGGGTCAAGTGGTGAGGAGCAACTTCTCCAAGGAAACTTATTACAGACCCAGGGAAGAGAAGACCAGGCCTGTGTTTTTTTCAAACTATGGGCTAACAACTACGTTTTTAAAATGACACAGATGACACATATAGTATTCCCTGACATTGTGGTTTCATCTGAATCTGCATGTCAGAAAGGTGCAAGTGTGGGTACAGGGAATTACCCTGGGGGTCACTCTGGTTGCCCATCCTGGACTAACCTGGGCTGATGCAGGCATTCTTCAGTACCAAGGACACAGGCTCTGGTTTGGGAGCAGGCACTATTTTGGGGGGCTGCTTGGGCCTCCCCCCACTCAAGGATACAGGTTTGGGTTGCACAAAAGTTAAACGGGGCTGGGGAGGCCCAACTGTCGGTGGCTGGGTGACAGGAGCCAGGGCCAGGCCACAGGGGCCCCCCGTGGGGGTGGGATGACGGGTGGTGATGACCAGACCCTGGCTCTGGCTGAAGGTGGTGGCAGAGGCATCATGGGTGAGGGTAGCGGAGGCTGTGTGGGTGATGACAGAGGGTGACTTGCTGACTGCAGCAAACTTCTGGGGCTGTAGGAAGGCAGGTGGGGTCGGGGGGTTCAGGGCAGTGGCTGGAGGAGTGACTAATGGCAAGGCCGGGGAAGTGGGTGCCGGGGCAGGACTGGGGCAGAGCAGGGGCATGGTGAAGATGGGGAGGAAAGGCTGGGTGGCACCCAGTGGTGGCGCAGGGGGACCAAAGTCTGTAGGCTGGATAAAGGGGTCCCCAGGCCTGGAGGTACGTTCACAGCCCTGCCTATTACTGGGATCCAGGGTGGTGTCTGCAGGGGGCACGATGAGGCTGTCTGGGAGGCTCACAGCGGGGAGAGTCGGGGTCGTCAGGATGCTCTCCTGAGGAAGGAAAAGGCGGCACTGGTGAGGAGCAGATGCTGGCATCACACACTTACCGTCACTTCCCAGCGTGGTACCCACAGGTCCAGCAACACATGCTGGGTACCTGAGATGAACCCCTGGGCAGAGGAACAAGGACAGCGTGTGTCCTGTTACTGCTAGGCAGGGGATGTGGAACCGTGTCCCCAGACATCTGCAGGGGTCGCCCACCCTCTCAAGCACGCTAAGTGATAACACTGTCTGCACACTGCTGGCTCTCGGCCCGGGAATATCTTGTTGCTGGAGTCCAGCGGGTCCCCCCAAAGTCCCTGCCATCTTCTGTTACAGAGCAGAGGCAGCCTGGATCACAGCTGCGGCGGGGGCTCCCCCAGGACAGTTTCATATGTCAGTTGCTAGAGAGGCCACCACTTCCTAAAAGGGAAACGCTAGAAGGAATCAACTGCTCTCGGTCTCCAGAGAAGAGTCTTCCCAGAGCTAAAGGAAGAAACGGGGCCAGGTTACAGGTGTCTAACTGGACAGTCACCAGCCCCACAGCCCTATGGGGAAAGAGCCACACCTTGCTCAGATCAGAGGCCCCACACCTGGCGGCCAACCATGTTGATACTGAGTAGAAAATGAAAGATGTTCCCAAACTCTATTGGAGGCCCTCGCATCTCCTCGCTGGTGCGCTCACCCTGTGCTAGCTGGTGGGAGTGGCTCTCTGCGCACAGGCGAGCTCAGAGCAGGGAGCTCTGGGGCAGGGATGCATCTACCGCATGGTCTCTGGCGTACGGAGCCTAGGGATGCTTCCAAAGGGGCCTGGAGTGCTCGCCTACACGTCATAAGCATGTTCAGCGCTAGCGCCAGCCGCCTCCACCCTCCGCTGAGGAATGACACTATGCCATTGGCTAGCCTCAGCTGCAAAGGTTCACTGTCCAGTATGAGCCCCTCCCCCCGCTCCTCTACCTGAGCAGGTGGGCTGCTAGGATCTGGTGCAGGTGCCGAGGCAGGTGCAGGCAGCATGGAGCCAAAAATGGAGCGGCTGGAAGAGAAGAGGTCTGAAAGACAGCATCGGGGCTTTTGAGCTCCATGTGCCCATCGCTTCCTTGAATTAAGATGCAAGCAAATCGGGCACTGGACCCCACCATACCCAGAGGAAGGCCATGGCCAGAGGGCATTCCCCCAGAGGTAACTGCAGAAAGAGGCCCTCTGATGGGACCCGCACATGCTGGCACCTAGTCTGGGCTCTGAAATCTTCCAGGCCTGGCGCTTCGCTGGCTCTTACCAAGGGAGCCCAAGGACCAGTTCTAGAGGCAGGAAAAAGCTGGGTGGCGGCTGTGTCATCAGCGCCCTCTGCTGCCTGGAGGGAGAATTGCTTACAGTCCTGAGCAAACCTGAGGTTCTACCTCCAAACAAGGTCACCTTTCTTGAGCAAGAACAAAGTCTCAGAAAAACTTCCACACCTTGCAGCTACCATCAAACAAAAAATAAGTTGTGGAAAAACCCTCAGTCCTCCCTTTGCCCCTTCTAACAGCTCCCTTTATGAAACGGAAGCACCAGCCGGCTTTGTCCTGGGCCAAGGGAGACACAGGGGGTCCCGGCCCGCCCCTTCCTCACCCTGGAAAGGCTCAAAGGTGTCCATGAAGTCCAGGTTGGGCTGCAAAGGCATCAGCCCCGGTTGGATCATGTCCGCGTTCCCCAGGTGTGCTATGAGAGTCAGAAAGAAGGGGGTCACTTTGCCTACTCAGACAATGGGGTAGGGATGTAAAAGGCCTGGCCCTATTCACATTCTATATTCTTCCAAGGAAAACTGTCAGCAGCTGGCTGGGATTTCTATCTTCTTGTGAGTGCATGGCCATTCTCCTCCCTCAGGCAGGAAGGAGAGTGTTTGTGAAGGAGAGGCAGAGGAGGTGCTGGGGGACAGAAGGAAGCACTAAGCAGCCTGGCAGAGATCCCACTGGCTTTGATGTACAATCAGGGGGCTTGTTGGGCTGACCGGAAACCCAGGAAGATCTCTGATTTTCCAGAGTGAGTCCTGTGGCCTGACACTAGGTCTAGGCACAGCCACTGCCCAGCTGCCAGCTGCCCCATGCTCCCATGCTCGGGACCTCTGGATGTCAGTTGCCCATCCCAGCCCAGAGGTGTTGTGCAGCTGCTCCCAGGTCAGACCAGGCTCAGAGGGAGAGGAGAACACCAGCAGGTGTGTGTGTGTGTGTACACGTGCGCACGTGGGGGTTACCTATTTCCCGTGGGTTGGGCCAGGCCACTGGCTGGTGTGAAGACAGTGTGGAGAAGAGGGTGTCACTGAATTCTGACATGAGCATGTCTGTGTCCAGCAGGGGGTCCTCCTCCATGGGGACTGGGGTCTTCCAGCCATCCCCATGTTTGTGCCAATAGAGCAAGTCGTCATCCTACCACCAGCACAGGGGGAAGACAAACAGGGTGACAGTGAACTCAGGGTTCCCAGTCTCATCATGGCGGAGAACCCACTGTGCAGAGTGGCAAGGGCATTCCGCAGTCAAGGTGTGAGTGTGGCGAGAGCAGAAGGCCCCTCACAGGCAGAGAGATCTGGCCTCTCCTCCTAGGGGTTGGGGGTCCCCACTCACTTACCTGGGCCAGGCTGGACAGGTCCTCATCCTTGTGCTGCTGCAGCTGTGGAGGAAAGGCCCAAGGTGGTCACCTGGCGCCCTGGGAGGGATGAGGACCCTGGCCTCTCCTCCCTGAACGTGAGTGAATTCTGGAAGCATCTTGGCTTTGTCGCTGTCAGAGGCAGGCAGGGGGAGGGGGTCCTGCTCCTTGCCAACCCCAGGCCAATGCCAGGCACACAGGAGATTCCCAACCCTGGTGTTTATGGAATACAGTCCCCCCGGCTCACAGCTGGGGAAACTGAGGGCAAAGAGAACATGGCCAAGCAGGCTGCTCCTTTGGGCTGGATTAGAACACTGTCCCCAAGTCCCACAAGGCAGCAAGGGAGCCCCACTCAGGGGCCACCGTCCTTCCCCTCCCGGGGGGTCCCTGAACAGGGTCTCTGGAGCCCAGCCCTGATACCCTTTTCTTGAAGTAAGTTCTCCACTTGTGATATTCCCTGATGACAATCTCAATGCGGCTCTTCCAGTACTTCCCTTCTGTGGTGATGGCCTGGGAGAGAGAATGACAAGTCAGCGTCTTGGTGATGAGCAAAGGGCACCTGTGAACGAAGACCTGGACCCTGGAAGTCAGCCCAGGCCCTGGGCTCGGAGCACCTACCAAGGACCCAAAATTCCACTCGCCCACCATCCGTGCACTACGACCACCTCCATCTCAGACCCAGAGCAGCCCGAGGCTTGGACAGCACAGGCCCTGAAGATCCCACTGTAGTCCAGGACAGACGGACGGACATTTCAATGATCTCTGCCACATGCCAAGTCACAGGTGACTGCTCAAAACTACCTTTCCCAGGGGGCCTCCCTGGTGGTGCAGGGGTTAAAGACAGTGCTATGAAGCTATCAGCAGCACGAGTTCGATCCTAGGCCAGGGAGCTGACCCACATGGCGCAGCAGACCTCTCCTGCCTCACCTACTGCTCCCCTCAGCAGTGTATTTCAGTAGATCTGCTTTTTCTGCTCTCCACTCTGGTGAATCCTCTCACCCACCCCCACCTCTGGCTTACACCCCAGTTCTTATATGCATAAATAAATAAATCTTAAAAAAATAAAGAGGCAGAGATCCTCCCAGCTGAGAGTGCTTGAATCTTCAAAAAGAAAAAAAAGAAAAAACTGCTTTTCCCTGGGTGGCTTTCTACCTCCCCGCTTTCGTCATACTAGGAAGACCTGCCTGGACAAAGTGAAACACCACCACTTTGGAGTACAAAGTGAAGGCCCCAGTCCTCAGTCTATCCCAACCCTCAGAGGGCCCACCAGTGAAAGGTGTCTGTACATCCTTTCTTCTAGACATTTCCTGTACATGTACAATCACAGACACACTTAGAGGCTAACATTAAGGCCCCAAGAGCACGGTGCACTTGCCCTTTCTCATTTCCCATTGCTTCCATGTTGCCCCACTCAGTATGTAAAGACCAAAGTGGCTCCTGAGTTGTCCTGCCTGTGGGAGCCAGCCCCTCCTCTGTTATTTCCAGAATATTGATCTTAAAAGAAAGTGAGTCAAACCCCTGGCCCACTGCAGAGTCCAGCCACGAGTGACCCCACGGGTACCTCTGGGCGGCGATGCTCATCTACGTCCACAGAGCCGTCCAGCGGGGTGACAAAGTGGCACACGGGGTTCTTGCGCTTTTCCAAATCTGGGCGGAGAGAGGGGACATCATGACTCCCCAGGCCACCGAAGGAACCCGGCCCCTCTGGCCATCACCTCCCCTCAGAGTGGACCCTCCCAACTGGTCTTTCCTGCTCCTTAGAAACCTGGAGATTCTGGAGAAATAAGAGGTCCGGGTGGGAGAATCCACCAGTAACACATGAGCAAGAGAGGAAGTTTGGCTTATCAAGAAAAGCAGAGGGGAGCCCCAGCATGCCCCAAACGTGCTGGCCTCCCGCCCACCAGCTCCGTGCGGGGCAGAACAAGGCCCAGCACACGTCTGCCTAGACACACCTCTGTTCTGCCCTCCCACGACCCTCCTCTGCCTCTACCACACCGGAGCAACCGCCGCTCTGTCCCCTGCACGACAGGGACCCTGGACTGGCCCCTCTGGGCCTGGCAGCTAGTCTGCTAGGTAGGGCGTGCTCTTCCCCTCTCTGCTGACTGCGCTCTGTTTGAAACCCAAAGTCTGAAACGAAGTGGTGGCGGAGGAGGCCCGCAGGCCAGGGCACTCACACTGCATGTACCACGCCCGCCAGATGGCGTTGTTGAGCCGGATCTTGTCTCTCCACTGCAGCTTCAGGCCCTTGAAATTCTTCCACTTTGGAGACACCAGTTTCCCACTGAAAGAGGCAAGACCAAGAGGGGAAACTTAGTGATTCCTCTAAAATGAAATCGGAAAGTGCCAGCAATCACTCCAGACCTCAAAATTTTTGATTAATCCATCACACACCACAGGTGAGGCTTGAAGAATATAAAAGACTGGGGTGTCTTCAGTGATATGGTGGGGGGGGGTGTCAGTTAGGGACTGGAGGAAACAGGGAGGGCCACGGCCGGTAACTGAGAGCAGGTGATGAAACATGGGGTTCACTACCCTGTCTGCTCCTGCATAATTACATTTGTTGATTTTTCTGTGTGTGTGTGAAATCATGCGTTTTGTACACCTTAATTTTACATATTAGATGTCAATTGTATCTTCATAAAACTGAGAAAGATGAAGAAATAAATTTGCTGACCACTGAACAGAAGCCAAGTCCTGGAGCCTGGCCCCAGCTGGGTGCAGTGCCGTCTTCCCTGGGGACCGTGGGTCTCCCTGGCCGCTGCACCTGCAGCCTCCCCTCTCCACGGTGCGCCCTGCCCAGACACTGCTCAGCCTCCACCTCTGGGGCTGGGGCTCCCAGATGCACACGACTGGAAGCTGGGGCTGCACTCTCCCTCACCCTACCAGCATCTGTACCCCGCCTCCCCACCGGCAGCTGCAAACTCTAGAGGGGACAGCTCTGCAGCCAGGGCCCACCCTGAGCACCTGGCACACAGCCTGGCACGGCGGGGCTCCAGTATGGCGGGGCTCCAGTAGCAGCTCCGCATCTGTGAGCACCTAGCTCAGCAGGCACGGCCTTTTCGGGCAGCTGAGTTTGCCGAGTGCTGTCCAGGAACCCCTGGGCAGCCAGCCTGAGACAGGTAAGGCACTATCTTTGGTCCATACCACAGGGGGCTCTGGGGGTTCTGCTTGACCGCAGGCCACAGACTCCCCTTCTCCAAACCCACTCTGAAAACCCAGGTGACCAGCAAAGATGCAGCCGTGGTCACCCAGCTGACAGGGCCAAGCAATGAACACGACCGCGGCGCAAAGCTGGTTTATGTAACGACAGCCCTACTGTGCATCTGATGAAGCCTTCCACCTCCCGCCCACCCCAGCCCAAGCCAGGCTCTGTTACAGTGGTCAGAGGCTGCGACCCCACTCCCGGCAACGTCAGCACCCCTTAGAATCTGAGGGACAGTGTAGGCTAAGTAAAGTACCAGGCTTTCTGCCCTCCTGCCATTAGAATAGATGACGGAACCCTGTGGTCCTGAATGCACGCCTTATGGCGGGCACCGGGACTGGGGTGTGGGCATACGTAAGTGGGTACACCTGGGCTGAGAGACTGGGCTTATAAGGGCGGCATCATGGGGACGCCAGCAGTGCAGAACAGAACTACCAGAAGAAGCAAAACCAGCAGAGAAGCAGAGGCCACGAGAGAACCCTGGAGAGCCCAGAAAGAGTGAAGATAGGCCTGCCAGCCTCCCGGCCCCCAAGCACCCCTGCCTGCTGTGTACCTGGTAAATCCCAATAAAAGCCCAAAAAAGCTACCAAGGGCTCCAGGACTCTCCTCCACCCGTCTGCTAGAGTCAGAGAGATCCTGCGCTGGCCCATCTTGCCTCTACAGGCAGGCAGCAGCAGCTTCAGTTCAAAGGGTGAGGGGCTTCAAGCCAGTCACGCCCCTTCTTGCTTCCTGTCTTTCCTTACCCAAGTTCAACAGCCAGCGGCCTGGCGCTGTAGCCTCTGCCGCTACAGCACATCACATCCCAGACGAGCAACTTCTGCACAGCAGCTTCCTGGGGGAGTCAGGATAATTCCATCACCTCAGCACTTTCTAAGCAGGATTAACTATGGCGAGTGTGTACATGTGTGTGTTGGGAAGCCCTGATGTAAGGTGTAAAGGTAAGACATTAACAATCACCGCAATTATCCAGATTAAGTTATTACTGAAGGGCCTGATTTTCACCACTTCCTGACTTATTAGAAAGTCCTTTGTTTTGTGTCTGCCACCAAGATCTTCTGGCTCCTCCCCCATGGGAGGAAAAGGTGACACCCACTGTTCAACCTCAATGCCAGCTCTGCCTGCACTTCCTAAGTGCCCCGAAGCCAGAGACAGAGTCTCTGTTCACTGCCCGGACAAGCCTGAGTCTACTCTGTCATGCAAGTATCTCCAAAGGGACAGATGAGGCAGGTGAGGTTGCTGCCTTGGGGGCATACAAGTTGCTGAGGTGTGAGCCCCACCCAGGTGCTGAGCATTGGGAAGATAAGCAGAAGCAGTGGGACTAGCTGGTCAGCATAACTACTCGCATCTGAGCAGTCAGGAGAGGCTTCCTGGATGAGGTGATGGCTCAGCTGAGGCCTAGAAGACAAGGAAACCTAAACGAGGCTGTGGAGAGGAAGACATACGTGCTATTTCTTCTGCCTAGTTTGTGATGGCCCTGGTCATGGCTGATCAGGCCTTGAAAACCCCCATATAGTGCACCTGGGGGGAGGCCGGGGTGCTTCTAGACCAGCTGGGGAGCAGTGACCAGAACACATCACGCCTCATCTTTGGCAAAGTCAGCCCACGCGCCCCTCCTCTGTAAGCTCTTCCAGGAACCTGTTCAGCTAGGCAGGGGGTTCCAGGAAAAACAAAAGAACAGAAAACTATCCTGATCTTTTTATTTCCTTAAAGGTGAAAATAGCTTCCTCCTACCGAAGCCGAGTCCAAAAGCCACTTTGAATGAGAGCAGGGCCAGACTCTCGAGGGGCACCTGCCTCCTGCTCAAGGATGCAGGTTGGGAGCAGGAGGGTGTCTAAGCACGTGACCTCAAAGCCTCTTCTCAAGAGAAGCTCTATGCCAAAAGCTATGGAGAGGGCAAGAGAGGGCAACTCTGCAGGTTAGAAACCCAACTGGCAGAACGTGGTTTGGGGTTTGTTTGTTTTTTTTTTTAATTTTTATATAAGAACCGGGGTTGCGCGGGAGGGTGAGAGGATTCACCAGAGACAGAGCGGGGAGCAGAACAGGCAGACTGACGAAATACACTGCTGAGGGGAGCAGCGGGTGAGACAGGGGAGGTCTGCCGCGCCATGTGGGACCCTCGCCGGCTGGCCGGGATCGAACCCGCACTGCAGAGGCTGCGGACAGCTTCACAGTGCGGTGCTCAACCGTCTGCACCACCAGGGAGGCCATGGGGTTCTCGTCTTTTTTCCTCCCCCTCGATTGCTGCAATGTCTCACTCTCCCTTGAAGTCAACATCAAATGATGTCTAGGTAGGAGTCCCAGCATCCAACCAGTATTACGTCTCCCCAAGTTCTGTAATATCTCCACAGGCAGCAGGGGGCGCTCCACCGACAAAGTAGTGAAACCAGACCTAACCCTCAACCCCAACAGCAGCAGAAGGGGTGAAGAGTTCAAGACAAGGTGTGGTGCAGGGAGACCCCCACCAGCAAAATGCTTTGACCCTGTCTCCTCCTACGTCCCCAGCCCAGCGGGGCGGCCATGTGACCCGTGGGGATGGAGATACGGAGGTGGGTGGCCCAGGCCACCTCTCCTCTCAGCACACAGAGCCTTCTGGGGACCCCTCTCCCTGCTCCAAAGGCTGGGGATGAGGCCTGTCCCAGGCCCGGGCTGCTGGGGCATGGGCAGAGGCAGTCTGGGGTCCACTGTGAGCCACGTCCTCAGCCTGACAACACAGGTGCTGTTTGGCCGCTGCCGGCTGACTCTTACATAACAGAAAATGGATGTTTCCATCATTTCGAGCATACGACTCAGGTAGCTGCCGCTGCTATCCTGCTCCAGACATTTTCATCAGCCGGAAAGGAAAAGCTCGCACCCAGGGCAGGCACGCCCCCACACCTGGCAGCCACGGGTCTACTTTCTGCCGAGGGTTTGTTTCTTTAGGCCACTTCCTCTGCGTGGCCTTTCATTCAGCGCCAAGGTCTCGAGGTTGAGCCCCCGCTTGTGTCCTTTTCCCACGAAGGGCTGTGGGCTGTCAGTGAGCAGCGCGGCTGGTTCAGGGCCCGGCAGAGCACAGGGGGCAGGCGTGGCCGTCGGGCCGGAGCAGCGCTGGCCCAGGCTCTGGGCCGCACATCTCTCGACTCCCGCGTCCACCGCCAGATCCACGCTGCGGACCCGGGACCACGGCACTGAGCGCCGGGCGGGGAGGACAGGGGTGCGGGGCTGTATGCGGCAGCACAGGGCGGGAACCCGGTGTTCACCAAAGAAAACTGGTTCTAAAATGTGTGTCCATGCCCCGTGCAACAGAAAACACACCTCTCTGTGCGGACAGGCAGGCAGCAGCTGCCCCACGCCCGGTGGGGGACAGCAGGGGCGCCATTTGTGTTTTTCACCAAATACGGGAAGGCAGGAAAAGACGGAGCGGGAGGGAGGCCGTCAGCCAGTCTCAAGAGAGACATGTGAGAATGGAGGCCACTGCCCCTTGGGGAGCTGAACTGGGGATCAGGGCACAGGGAGAAGACTCAGTTCTCACTGTGCCACTTCCAACTGCGTAAATCTAAGGAAGGGAGGGAGTATTTTTTCAAATAAACAAGAAAAAAAGACCAGACACTAGCAGACCTTGTGGGCTTGGGGCTCACGGAGGAAGGCAGCAAGCGCACGCGTCAGCTCCGGGCACTGGGCCCAAACGTGAGCTCGATGGTCGGCGTGCGGCTCCTTTAACAGGGAGCCGATGAATGGAGCTCAGCCTGCGCGCTCTTCCAGGACTCCGATTCTCTTTCTTCAAAAGAGCGGTCTCCACTGGCTTCTCCTGGGATCTGGGCCGGGTTCCACAGACTGCTAGGAGCCAAAACCAACAGGCTCCAGACAGACAAAAGCTCATTGAGGAGCCAAAATGTGAGGCGCAGCCGCAGTGACAGGCCCGGCAGGAGCAGGGCGCCATGGTTAAGGGATCGCCCCACAGCTTGGGCCTTTGCTGGGGGCGGGGGGGGGCTGCTGCCCAGCCTCCCCAATAGGGAGCCTGCGGGGTCCGCAGGGTCTGCTCCCATACCCAGGTGTGGGTCCTCTCCCCTGCACCTGAAATTTGTCCTCCTCACAGGCCTTCA